CAGATAAAGAATCTCAAAATTGCAGAGCTACTCGAAGGGCAGCTTCAAGAATACAGGAAATCTGACAGTAGGGCTTTTAATGCTGAACTGAAAACTACTATGGATGAAAATGAATAGCTTTCCCTCCACCCCCCAAAAACGGGTTATTTTTCAGCCAGCTCAGTCAGTTCCCTGTGCAGCATCACAAACAGGCTGACACAAGCTAGGAATTGTGTTGGAACATAAACACCCAGTTGCACCCAGTAAAGCTGTTTTTTTTCAGAGGTGAGCCCAGCTCAAAATCTTCGTCTAAAAACAGCCTTTGTACAGACCAGCTTTAGAAGAGACTGTTTTTTCTACCCTTTGGCAAGTAACACCGTACCTGAGAAACTTTGGCTCACACCCTGCTTAGTTGGACAGAATATGACTGAATTTGTACAGAATTTCTGAATCTAACTTTGTACTGCTGTGGGATCCAGTGCAGAGAGTTACACTTGGAACTGAAGGGTTTGGATCCATCACCACGCAAATGTTGTTTCTCAAATCCAGCTGTACTGAGCAGCTAGATGTCAGATGTCTTTTTTCTAACAGCTTAATAAAAAAAAAGACACAGCTTTTTAAGGGCTAAACCTTTAACTATTTAGATCTTTTCAAATAGCAAATTAGCATTTCTTTGCTGCCTTGTTACTAATTTAATGAGCTGAATAAGCAGCTTGAAGAATTGTGGCTATAAAGATATATCTTGACAGCCGCAGCCCTTTTCAGCTGCTTTTACATTTTCTAGTTAAAAAAATTGAGAAACGACAATGAAAGAAAAAAAGTCACCACAAATACTGTTATTCCAGGTATAAATGGCAGGATGAAAAACAAGTGTCTTTAACATGCATAGCATTTTTGTTCATGTATAGGCAATTTGTTTTTAAAAGCAGTCTGTTCCGTTTAGGAAAAAAAATATATGAAGTGTGTTTGTGTATGCATACATACAAATGCACATATACCTTCACACTTACTTGCTTACATACAGAATTAAAAAAATATACTTTATTTAGACAACTGCGGGAAAGAGTCATGCATAGTAGGGAAGCTTCTAGCAAGAGAGAAAAGCAGCTACATTGTTTTACCCTCAGAATTACTGGTCCTCCTGAGAGGCAGGGAAGCATATAGAGCATACACATTTCAGAGCTGAGTACAAACTCTTTGGGAGATGAGGCTCTTAACATCAGCTTTTCATCAAATATCTGAATTCAAGGATAACGTTGATGGACACTGGACAGAACTGCCTCTGATCAGAAACACTAATAACAACCAGAATTCAAGCAAGGACAGAAAACTATATAAACAAGTAGAGCATTCACTGAAAAATGTTATTTAAAACTTCCTTCAGACCCTTATTCAACGTTACAAACAACTGGATGTATAAAATGCTTAGGAGTACTTCATTATCCATTGATGATTTTGTTTAAACAAGATACTGAAAGAATTTTTTTCACGTAAGATGTGTTTAAGTTTGCAGTTAATGGTATGTGAACTTTATGGAGACATACTAAGTAATACCTGTATGCACTTTTATGTCACTGTTAATCTGTTAATGGAGCTTTGCAGAAAGACTTAAAAGCTAATATGAAGCTTTCCATCACAGCAGCTCTGTCTTATCCTTTCTTCATCATCACTGATCTAAATGTCTGCAGTACAAGACCTGGCAAGGCCCCACAAGCCTGCAATTATTTAAATTACTGGAAGCCAGATTATACTTTGGCTCAGTATTTTCCTCTTTAAGCTACCTGAAACTGGAGCTATGATGCTGACGTAAAGAATTCTATAGATTATGCAAGAATTTTGCTGATTTGTCACCTTAAAGTTCTGGAAATCCTTTCTTGAAATGAGTAAAAACTGATTCCAGAATAAAGTTTTAAATAGATTTTTCCCCAGGTTTTTACAAGAACATGTAAATATAATATATAATGTAAAGAGTTGAATGGCTGTGTTACAAGTACTGAAAATCAGGGGATTGGCCCATTTTTAGGGTGACGAAACAAAGGTGCTTTGCACAAACTGCTGGACTCAACTGGCAAATCTTGTGCAAGTTTGGTATTGGGGATTAAATCTGAGAATGTATCCAGCCTTGCTGACGTTGTCTGCAGCCGCCTGCAACATCTGTAAAATAGTCAATTACTATTTTCTTTTCTGAAGCGTTCCAAGGACAGACTGCAGGGCCCTATTTTGTCACTAGGCAATGCAGATCTTGTCCTCTACTAATCCTGATTTTCAAGCTCTCTAAAACCCACACCCAGCAGCTTTGCTATTCATGGGAGTTACCTTCTTTGCAGTAATGAGTAGGGAGTTCAAACAAGCTGAGACCGTCCCAAAGATGTCTCTATGCCTGAATAAACAGTTGCAAACAACCAGAGAACAGGATTTTCCATCTGCCCCCTTCCCATATAAATGCTACTATGGGTATCCTCACCAAGTATTTCAGAGTAATATGATAGCCCTCCAAAGCAGGTCCACCAACTGCTGCTACCTATTCTTCCATACCTCTTCCTGAGAGGTTGGTTCTTGAAATCTCTTTCCAGAGTATAGGAATTTGCTGCTTCCTTCTGAAAGTCCAACATTCTGAGCAGGAAACGGGATAATTTAAAATTCATATTTTACTCTTCCTTTTGGGTCCATAATTGGGGAGAAGCTTTACTTTTCTTTCATCCCGAAACTCATGCCCTCCAGAGGTACAGTCTCACAATTTGGTCTCAGAACTTCCACTGAAAACAAAGCTATTGCACCAAAGTAAGTAAACTACACTAAACCCATTCTGAAATCAAGATTAAATTTAAAGCACATGTCTGTTTACCTAGTATTTTGTAGGCCAAACAAAGTTTAAAATGGACTTATCTAAGTTTATGTTCTGCAAAGCTCAGTTTAGACAATTCTTTTTCCGTACTCCCTCTAGTTTATCAGCTATATTGTATCATCTGTACTGAGAAAGTTTCATTTCTATAATTACGTATTCTATTAAGCAGTCCCTCCAAAAGTGATACTTTTGGAAGTAAACAGAAGGATTTGGTGTTTTACCAGTAAATCAATCTTACTGGGAAGAAATGCTGAGACTTGAACAGAAGGAACCATTGAGTTCCATATTCTTTGCTCATCCCTGGCAGAGTCACTGAAGTGCAACCAGGCAACACTCCTCGCTGGACAGCCTTTGGGGAATTTGTTTGTATTCTTGTTCGGAAAGAAGAAAGAGAGAAAGTAACATGATTGCCCTCTGCCCTTCAGCAGATCCTCAGCAAAACAGTTTGCAACCAGACTTGAATTCACTGTTGTCCTTCACATTTTGCGATTGTGACACAGAATCCAGTTCAGCTTCAGTCAAATCCCTGACAACCTTTCCTGGATCTCTGATGCATGGCCCACATGCACACATGCATAATTAAAAAAAAAAAAAATTAAAAATCGGGTCCCTGCTTGTCAGAAAATTGCCACCATCTCCATTTTGGCGGGGCCTGCCAGTGCTCTGCCATATGCTCACGGCTGCTTTGTCGAGGGCTGCAGTACCATTTACCATGATTTTCTGTATCTCATCTTACCACTACATTTACAAACAGAGAAAGCTTATTGACTGTTCACCGTGATTCTGAGATGCCATCATCTTTTGACATTACAAAAACATACCTGAAAGTCAAATTATATGTAAGTACATCATAAGACACAGGTATCACACATGCATACATGAGACTTCTGTAAAGCATGTGTGCTTTTCTCAACAGCCTCAAGAAGCAGAAGACAGCAAGAACACAGAAAAAATCCCTGGCTGACCCGAAACGCGGCAGCTCCACCTCACTCAGCAGATCAAGGTGCTGCCAACAAGCCATAAGCCTGCGCCGCAGCAGCGGTGGCACAGGGTGGTGGCAGAGGGGCAGTGCCCGTCCTGCTCTGCTCGTGTGCGGGGAGCGTTGAGTACCCGGGGGCAGTGGAGCAGAGAGGTGACAGCGTGTGTGCCCTGACGGTCGGGGGGCCCGGGGCCTGACCGCCGTTTGTCGGGGACACCGGGCTATTCGTGAGCGTTCCCGCCGCCAGGAGCCCCGCCGGGACGGGCTCGGGGCCGCCGCGGAGCTGGGCGGGAGGACGCCGCTGAAGCCGCTCTTTCCGGGGCGGCAGCTGCGGCCCCGCCCGGCCCGGCCCGGCCCGGCCCGGCTCCCTCAGCCCGGGGCGCGGCCGTGCCCGGCGGGCGGGCGGGGCTCGCCCCGCCGCGAACAAAGCGGCCCCGCCCAGCACCGCCGCCGCCATCTGTCCCTCCCTCCCTTCTTCTCTCCCGCCCCCGCGGCGGGGCGGCCCCGACCCGCCCCTTTCGCTTCTCACTGAGGCGCAGAGGGCCCCGGGGCGCCGCCGGGCGGGCAGCGGTGCAGGCGGGCACCGAGCGGAGCGACAGCGGCACCAGTGCCAGCCAGACCCCGGCCCCGGGCCGGTCCCTCTCGCCGCGCAGCCGCGCCCGCCGCCATCTTCCCCTCCCGCCCCGCCGGTGCCGGCGCGAACGGGCCGCGGGGCCCCGCAGGTGAGCGACGGGAGCCAGGGCGGGGGCCGGCGGGCCCGGCGGGGCTGCGGCGGGAGGTGGGCTCTTCCCGGCGGCCGAGCCGGCGCCGGGCCCCGTCTGTGGCTGCGCGGGGCCGCCGCCGCTTCCCCCGCGAGGGGCGCATCGCCCCGGCTGCCGGCGCCGCCCGAGCGCCACCGCCCCTTTGTTGTGCCCCGGGCCGGGCAGCGCGGCCGGAGCCCGGCGGGTGCGCCCTGTGCCCGGGCCGGCCCGCAGGAGCCGCGCCGGGGCCGTGCGGCCCTGCCCGCCCCGGTGCTGAGCTCACATTCCCGAAATGCTGATGCGGGCTCGGCGCGGCGCAGTTCGCCGGGGCGGCTGCTCCGAGTCCGGCGGAGCTGGATTTTGGGTGGAAACCTGCGTGAAGAGGAAGAACGTATTGGAGCAAGTGGGGGTATCAGAGTCAAAATGCGTTCATTCCTAGTTTCTGGAAGTTGTTTGGGCTTTTTATTTTTTTTTTCTTCCTTCTGTTTTCACTCTAACGTGAAGCATTGCATAATTTAATGTCACCTTTTTGTCATTCGCGGTGCGGAATGCGCTGGGTGAGGCGTGTGCGTGTGGGAACAGGGACTGACGGATGCCGAGGGCTCTGCGGTCACCTCCAGAGCGTGGTGAGACCAGGATTACCGGGTGGCTCTGAAGCAACAGCTGATCTAAGCAGGGTAACAAAATGGATTACGAGAGGGCAAGCCAGTGAAAAATCTGTGTGAGACAGAAAAGGCGGGTGTGTAAGAGAACACCGATTTGCTGTGTATTGGAGTAGGAAAGGTTTCAGTCATGGAGTTCAGCTGTGCAAAGTTTGGCGAAGGTTTTCTATGAAGGCTTAATATGCTCAATGCTGTTCATTTGAGATAATGAATTGTGCGATCTTAGGGTGAAATGGGTGTCAGTGAGTGCGCTGACTGCTGTGGAAATCAATTGTGATAACAAAATCTGGCCTATAGCGTTTGTTTGTTTTTTGTAAATTCCTTTGATATAGAGTAACTGGAAGATGATTGAGGGCACATCAGAAATGGAGCCAGTAGGGACTGACCGGGCCCCGAGTCCCCCTTGGGCTCTGTGTGGGCAGAACTCTGGAGTGGCCTCTGGGCAGGCACGAGAGTCATATGTAAGTGACTGTGGGGTAGATTAAAAGGTGAAATAACTTAATGCAAAACAGCCAGCTATTTAAATATGTATGACTTGCTCCCATTCGGGATTTCTGTGACATGGCTCACCAGGATGCTGAGGTGATGGGTAACGCATCGCAGCTGTCAGTGAAGTCAGTGAACCAAGGCTCCTAATTTGGCTTCACGTCTCACTTTAAATGTGTCACTGCTCTCACAGTATGACACTTAAAATTTGAACTATAATATTTTTTTCTTGTGTTTGAGAGTAGTTAGAGATTTTATATTCCTTGCCCAGTTTTCCAAATGTATATTGCATACTATTGGCAAGTGATCTATTTCAGTTAGTAAATAACACAGGAATAATGCTTATTGTAGAATTTCACTATTGACTTGCTCAGAATATTAAACTTTAAATTTCCATTATGTGAATGTGTATGCATTTTAAATTTTTTCTAAGGAAGGTGACTTAAACAGAAGAAGTATTTAATACTGGTTTAGATGCTTTTAGTTTAAAAACATTTTTCTGAAATAGTATATTTTAAGGTATAAGTGAATATAAATGTTTTAAATTTTTTTTAAGAGTTGTTTTCTCTGCTTATAATACCCTGAGAGGATTCTTGCTGTTGGCATGTTCTTAGAACATGAGTAAGAGCAGAATAAGAGTGAAACCTCTCTCTGGAGGATTTAGTGGTATTTAAATACCACTGTGTTCCAAAGAGTTTTTTTTAAAGGGTGTCTTGTCCATTGAAGCTACAGAGAAAAGTTGTGCCAGGTTTGTGGTAAAAAGTTTTTTGGTTTTTTTGGTGTAGGAAAACAAATTTAAACACAGAACTAGGTGGAGATAAGGGGGAGTGAACAGGAGAAAGAAGGAAGGAGGACAGGTGTGGAGAAGTACTGTTCTGCAAAGACTGGGAAGAATAAAAAGGTTGCAGCAGAAATGTGGTTGGTAGAAGGCACCTGAAATATTAGGGTCTAATTCTCATTTGCTTTCATTTATACCTCAAGCTAATGCTATGCCTCAATCGTTCTTGAGTATTAGTGCTTGAGCTGATCAGATTGTGACGTTATGTGCCATATGTGCTGGCAGAAAGCAATACAGTGTGATGGACCAAAGATGCAGCTTGAGCTCTAATCTTGAGTTTCCCTGCTGTTCTTTGCTATTTAATTATTATTATTTTTATGTATACACATACAGACATACCACTGAATGTGAGAAAACCTGATAGATTTCATAGAGGGTGATGTGTAAGCCTATGTATATTTATGATTTCGTGATAGTGTTAGAGGACTGCTTATTACTTTGACAGCATAATTCTTAGAAGTCTGAGCTCATAAGACTAAAAAACATCAATTACGTGAAAATCTTCTCTAGTGGGTTTACTGTTCTTTTCTAGCCGTTTGTGTTGCTCTGACAGCAAATGCACACTAAATATTTTCATAATACTGTTAATGTATGAGCTTATCAGTGTGCTTCAACTCTTTTTCAGAAGTTCGGTGTCCAAACTAGGTTTGGGTACTGTATTACATTTTTTTTTACAGTATCCAAAAGTGCTGTTACTAGTCTTGTATCAAATATGGAAGATGCAATCATTCTTTACCCTGATCTGTGTAAATGAGGTTAAGTGTTAGAATTGTCAAAGGCTTTATGTTCAGGACAAGCCTGTTATTTCAAAAAATCTAAAAAGGAAAATGGAGGACAACTGCTTGCAGGTGCTTAAGAGTACAAATACATTAACTAAAATCTAGCAAGTACTGAGTTTTATGCTCAGTATCAGTACAATATGTGAACGATTAATTTTAAGGCAAGCTTGAAGCTGTGTAGGGTGGCTTCCTATTTCAACTTGAGTCCTGTAGATCCAGTTGAAAAGAAAGCTGGACTTGGTGTTCCTTTCTTCAGAGGGAGTCTTAGTCTGATTTTCTGATGAGGAGTCTCAATATAACTTTACCTAAGTTTTACTTTGTCTTTTGACAAGGAGATTAATTTAGTTTATGTATAAAACACCAGTGCCAGAAAGCATAATAAAAAAGAAATGTAAATGCTTCAGGTGAGGTTGTGAATTAAGATGTCAATACTAAACTGCTGGTTAAATTTGTGTGGGGTTTTTTTTTTCCCTTCAGTATATAAGCAGGGTTGAATTTTTCTCTGGGACCAGAAATCCATATCCAGTTGCCAAAGGGGGAAGTTGAAACAGTGCTAAAATGTAAGGAGAAAAGCACCTTTCTACAAATTCTGGATTTGGATTTGTGGGTCTAGCTTTTTTTCCTGCAGCAAAGCTTTCTGCAAGCCAGACTTTAATTTTTCCTGTTGACTTTACTATCTGCGAGTGTGCTCGTGGTCTCTGGGTGTGTCTTTCATGAGACCCATCAAAATACTTGTTGATTGGAGTCTTCTGTGACTAAAATGAGAATTAGACCCAGCCATTTTAAGAAGTTAGGCCATTTCATCTGGTACAACTAGGTCTCTGTTGTTCCAAAATAAACTATGCTGCTATAATCAAATGCTTTGCTCTTCAAATGTTCTGGCAAAAATTTACATGGAAAAAAGTTGACATACAACTGTGAGAAAGATGAAGAACTTGGGAGTTTAGATAATAATGCAAAAAACCATGTTATTAATGCCTAAGTTTTTGTATCCTTTCAAGTTCACTAGCATTGGTTTATGGTGATCAGTGAGAAGTTTCACAGGAGTATTTGTCTCTTCCCCTCCTCTCTGGTAAATAATTCATTTCTTGTTAATACTCTGAGTGTTCTCTTTGGTTTATTCAAACTTATTCAGTTTCTCTGTGTCTTGTCCTGATATGAGATAGATAACTATCTTATTAACTCCAGTTTTCTAAGGCTGAAGTATCTGAAGTCTGTCTTGGGAGCTGCATTGCCCACAGCTGGTTGTCTTTCAGCATCCTAGTTGCTAGATTTCTGCATAAGTGAATGAGTGCATGAGGGAAGTACTTTTATTTTCCCCTTTGAATTATAAGGGGAAGAAGCTGGGAACTATAACCTGTTGCTGTGGACATCTTGCTCTCTGTGGTGATCTCCCTTCATTTTTTGGATCACCATTGTCTCTCCTTGTTGCCTTCTGCTGAGGGTTCATCACTGCTTTCCTGTGTTTTTTGGTGCACTCTCATAATCAGTTTAGGTTGGGTTAAGACTTTGCTACTGCCAGAAAGCAAAGTTCTGTTAGTTCCTTGTGTCCATGGAGTGAATAAGTGTTTAACTTGCCCCCGGCTCAGCACACGGCCCAGCTGGGGATGCTGTGGGGTGGCTGGGGATGTGTGGGAGTGTGTGGCTGAGTGCAGAGGTGACAAGAGACTGCCCTTTTCTGCAGTAGTAACATGGGATTACACTGGAATCTTCCTGATCTGAAACCATACTCTCCTATACAGGAGTGCTGCTAGGTGGTTGTTTGGTTTTGGTTTTGTTTTGTTGGGTTTTTTTTAGAGCTCCTGATAAGGCGATGCCCTGTGGCTTGGCTGTGTTGTAGTTTTTCTCCCCACATTCCCTGATAGTTTACAGATCATCTTAGGAGGTACAACTGTAACGTCTTTTTAAAGTTTGAAAAAGGAAGTTCAACAGCTTCTACTTTAAGTCAGACTTAAGCACTCAGGCAAGATTTAACCAGAAGTAGAATTTAATTTAGGTTTCCTAAGAGGAGTACATGTTACAACTCTCATATCCTTTGAGGAATTATGCTGCAGAGGAGCTCGGACCTTGTACCTATGGGAGCTTTAAACAAGGTGACTGCCGGCTGCCAGGGCCCCAGCTGCATCTTCCTGCTTCTCCTTTCTGCTGGCTGGACAGCTCCTTAGACCCCTGAGCCACTTTATGTGTGTTGGTGGAGAAGCTAAGGCAATGACAGAAGTGAGGAGTGCTAGGGAAGGGCCAGGACCGTGCAGCTGGAGGCAGGTGAGTGAAAGGGAGTTGGCAACCAGCGGGCAGACTGTCTTAGGTCACCTTGGGTTTGCAGCTTTAGATTCTTCGTGAAGGGTATAGACAGAAATAGGCATCCTTACAAAGGAAGAATGAAAGCCCCTGGCTTAATTGCCATATGCTACTTCAAAATTAAGGTAGGGAGAGAAGGCAATTTTAGTGTGCTATGCCTTTTGCATCTGTTAGAATGCGAGATCTCTAGATAATGACATAGTAACTGACTCTTATGCTCTTTGAATTTCACTGTTTCCATTTCAGAAAGGAAAATTTTACATACTGCAGGCTTGGTAAGCACAATATTTTTCACACTGCAAGAGGACTGATTTCTTGTTAGATTTGTTGATATGAGCCCTGTATATGCATAGGACAGAAACCAAAAAGTTGCAGATGCAATGTTAGGTCTTAATTATGGCTTCATAGTCAACCTCTTAAAATCAATTAATTAATCTTGTAATTTAATTTTTGTAACACTACTACATTCTGTTCTATAAAACTGTATTTTTGTTTTTGTTAGTAGCCAACATTTGTTAATCAAGCATAAAGTAAGATACTGATCATAGCTAAAATTCTTTCCTTTTAGGCTGCCATCATGACGGCTGAAGAAACGGTGAACGTTAAAGAAGCTGAAATAATTAAGCTAATACTAGATTTTCTTAACTCAAGGAAACTTCATATCAGTATGTTGGCACTTGAGAAAGAAAGTGGGGTCATTAATGGCTTGTTTTCAGATGACATGCTCTTTCTAAGGTAGGACTTCTTTTTCTGGTGCTTAAATACTACATATATGAAAACAGAGCTGGACTGTGATTCAGTGGGCAGCCCTGTGCCACTCAATGGGAGATCTTAACTTGTGCCCTCATCTTATACTGCTTCCTCCTGATCCCATTCTGTGGTCCAGCCCTGGAATGTGTTCCAGCTCTGAAGTTAGTGACACCCTTCTATGGGCCACTTGGAGTAAGTGACTGGGCATCATCAGCATACACTGAGCTAGATTTTTTTGGTTGCTTGTTCATTCGTTTTAACTTGGTTATTTTTCTGGCACACCAGTGAATTTAAGTGGGAAGGAATCTTAACAAGTGCCAGTGTTAGTGCAGGGTAAACTGGGGAAAGACCATAAGCAGGAATAGTATGGGAAAGCAAGCCCATTCTTCCATTCTTTGAGATGTATTCATTGAATTAATATCTTTATTTAAACTCTTCAAGTAAGATTTTTTTGTAAAAATAATAATTACAGGTAGAGCAGGAGACACAGGACCATTTCGTGCTTTTTGATGTGCCTTCAAAAGTAATTCATATTTGTCCTTCTAGTATGCAGTTATTTTTACAAAATATTGAGAAAACATTTTGCTCTTGCAGTTGGTCACATCAGACAGTCCTCTTGGCATCTGTGCAAAGCATTAGCTTTTCAAAACTGGTTGATCACTTGTGTATTTAAATTATTGTTTTGTATTTAAGTGGACTTCTTGAAAAAGGTTGTTCTTGTCTAGTGAAATTCAAGGAATGATCCTTTCTTTTACTAGGCAGTTGATTCTTGATGGTCAGTGGGATGAGGTTCTTCAATTCATTCAGCCTCTTGAATGTATGGAAAAATTCGACAAGAAAAGGTAAAATAGAATGTATGTCAGAGTTCAGTTTTCTGAGTTGTGGAAAATATGTGAATTTCTAACTATTGTCTATGAAAACAGTAGTTGTAAATTTGTCACCTTAGTTTTGGGGGTTTTTTTCTAACCTGTATACTCTTCACAAAGTGTATGCATGCATTTTTAAAGTTGTACTTAAAATACATGCACAGGATCTGTAATGAGGTGTCATTGACCATACGCTTCAGAAATATGGTGCATGTTGTACTGTCTTTTAAGAGATGGCTGCTCTGTCATATTTCTGTTTAAGAAATAAGTACGTTTGCTATACTTCTCATACTAGCTTTCTGACATTTTTAATTGAACACTTCTGAAAGCAGTAGTGGAAAAAGACATTTCCTGTTAAAAAAATAATGTTGTGGTTACCAATTTGTTAAAGTTTGAGATGAGTTCCTTGTCGTGGCAGTTTCTATGCCTGATTCAAAAATTTGCTATGAAATACCCTGCATGTCTCTAAAGTTTACCTACTAGAGCAAGATGTATAGTATTTAACTTCTCACCTGCAGATTTCGATACATTATAATGAAGCAGAAGTTCTTGGAAGCCTTATGTGTAAACAATGCGATGTCAGCAGAAGATGAGCCTCAGCATGTAAGAATTGTCTCTGGTTTGGGAAGTTTTTTTGTTGTCAGGAAGTCTCTTGAGAGATTCTGATTAAAGGCAGAGCGGAAGCTCCCAGCATTAAATGCACAAATTTTAGGTATTACTAGATGGTTTCATAAGCACTGGAAAAAATAATTGGTGTCCTTTGGAAATTAATGTGGCGCCCAGGTCTCAAATAGAATTCTATATAAAAGGGTTGTTTGAAACTTTGCAGCATGGATCAGTAACCATATGCTGTGCTTGTGGTCCTGGTCTCAGATTTACTTTAGGCCATTATGCTGAAGTACAAAGCTTTTTCCTTTTTTTTTCCTCTTTCCTCTCCCCCTCCCCCCTCAATTATTCTGGAGCAAGCCTCAGAATTGCAGAAATTTATTTTCATAATGTGGGCCAGGTAAAGGATTCCGATTTGAATGAATCTTAAATTTAATTTCTGTTGCTTTTGGAGAGAAAGGTCAGAGTTGGTTTGTTTGGACTGTTTTTTTTTTTTTTCTTGAGGGAACAGATGTGTTCACAAAGGACTCCTTCAGTTAAATGTGCAAACAGCAGGAGTTGTGGACTTAGGTTTTTGATATGGAAAGAGGCACTAACTCAAACTGGCAAAGAAGGTTTGCAGATTGTGAACTTATAGTTTTTCATTTATTTTGAGGATACAGTAATACCAATTTTCTAACACTAAAATGTTATGGAATTAAAAATGAAGAACACCAATAGCTTTAAGGTAATCGATTTTGTTTTCCAAACAGAATTGATTTTAATTCTCTGTCCCAGTACATGTACATTATGCTGCAGGGTTTTCTCTTGACAGTGTAGAGAAAGTTAAAAGTCCATCTTTATAGTTGTAGATGGAAGCTGTCTATTCCTTTAATCACTCAATCTGTATACTGTTACTAGACAGCAGTAGAGGGAAAAAAAAAACATACTAATGTTCCTTATTTTGTTACCAAATGGGTTGGCATGTTGTGGATGAACGGCTGCTGTATTGAAGTATCTAGGTAACATGGATAAGTGAGGATTTTTATCTTTTTTTAAAATCTTTGCAACTAAAAGTGCCAAGTTTTGTGTATGTAACGTGGTTCTTGGCTATTAACAGGCTTTGTAATAAAGCCCTTTATTCATTTGGAGGTCTTATCTTCTGAGAACTCTTTGAATGTTTCTAGCATTTTTGATTGGGGAGCAGAATCTCAGTATAAAAGCTGACTCAAAGTTGCTAATCACTGGAAACTAGAGCAGTCTATAAGCCTTTTATAATGTATGCCAATAGCTTCTCACAGGAAAAAAAAAGAGGGATATAAGTCAGCTGGCTTTGAGAATGGAAGCAACCTGTGCTACAGTAGAATTGTAGCTGTTCAGCTACAGATTTAAAATTTAATCCTATCAAACCTGCAGTGACATGAAAACATTCCACAAATGTCTAGGAAGTGGGACTGGATGGGGTTTTTTAGGAAGTCAGAGCGTCTAGGAATTTATCTCTGTAACTGCATTTGCATCAGCAATTTCAGACTCTATCGTATGACTTTTTAATTTAAATATAACCAGTAATAGTAATAAATGAATGAGAACAGGGAAACTCTGCTACTGCCTGTTCAGCTGTTTTACTGTGGAACCACATGTCCTGCGAAGGGCTCCGCTGACGTTAATGTTTCTGTAGCTGGAGTTCACAATGCGAGAGGCAGTGCAGTGCCTGCACGCGCTGGAGGAGTATTGTCCCTCCAAGGAAGACTACAGCAAACTCTGCCTGCTGCTGACACTGCCCCGCCTGACCAACCACGCCGAGTTCAAGGACTGGAATCCCAGCACTGCTCGGGTGCACTGCTTTGAGGAAGCCTGTGTCATGGTGGCAGAGTTCATCCCAGCCGACAGGAAGCTGAGCGAGGCCGGCTTCAAAGCAAGTAACAACCGCTTGTTCCAGCTTGTCATGAAGGGATTGCTTTATGAATGTTGTGTGGAATTCTGTCAGAGTAAAGCAACAGGAGAAGAAATCACAGAAAGTGAAGTATTGCTGGGCATTGATCTCTTGTGTGGCAATGGGTGTGATGACTTGGACCTTAGCTTATTGTCATGGCTGCAGAACCTGCCAGCTACTGTGTTTTCTTGTGCTTTTGAACAAAAGATGCTTAATATTCATGTTGATAAACTCCTCAAGCCTACAAAAGCTGCGTATGCTGATCTTTTGACACCTCTCATCAGCAAACTTTCTCCTTACCCATCGTCCCCAATGAGAAGGCCTCAGTCAGCAGACGCTTACATGACCCGCTCCTTAAACCCTGCCTTAGATGGGCTGTCCTGTGGATTAACAAACCACGATAAGCGGGTCACAGACCTCGGGACCAAAACTTCTCCAATGTCGCACTCCTTTGCTAATTTCCATTACCCAGGAGTACAGAATCTCAGCAGGAGCCTCATGCTTGAGAATACTGAGTGTCACAGCATTTTTGAAGAGTCACCTGAGCGGTAAGTGCAACTAGAGCTCTGGATTTTTTCTTAGCTAATGTTGTTGATATTACTGTGTTCTTACTGGCACTGTAACTCTGAACATAATTGTAACATTGAAATATAATTTGGTTGTTTGATTTCTGTTGTAAGTAAAACTGTACAAGGTAGTTTCTTCCTTCTGCTTTTATGATTCAAGTAGATTTTCATATTTGGTTTTGGGCCATATAGATTCAGTCTGGGCTTTCTTAAAGTTGAAATCCTAGCATGGAGCACCAGTATGCTCTGAGTACATAATAGAGTCTAGCTAAGATTTATGTTCAGTATCACTGAGTTCTTTCATTCCACATAAATAAATGGAGACAGTGGAATAGCTGTAACTCTCGTCTTCTTTTTCCATTCCGTCCTCAAGTCTCTGTAAATTTTAGTCCTGACATCCTAAATCATTACCTATACTTGCAAAATTTGCATATCCCAATGAAGTTAGTGGAAATGACAATATGATGTCATTGTAGCATTCCTGTATCACTTCAAATGTTACAATAGTATTTCAGCTTAAATATTTACTTAATATTTTCCAAACCAATTCTGAGTCGGTCAACTTAATGTATTATGTTTTTTGTATTGGACTTAGAGGTAATTGGGTTATGCTATTAATAAGTTATTGATTGCAATGTAGATTGCAAAACTGTCCTCTTCTTTAAGAACTGCATCAAAGTTTTGTGCTTTTCTGCCTTCCGAGAGAAAGGTAATTAGGAGATGTGGTACTTGTCAGTTGAGAGTTTATCATCATGTTTTTGCCTGGCCTTTATTTTGATCAGCAGTTCTGTCCCTTCCTAAATGTAATATCCATGCTTCTCTAAAAGCAGCTGCCAGGTTTTTTTGGCTCCAGAGGACCAGATGGGTAGCTAGCCCTGCATGTGGGTGCAGTGGCCAACAGGAGACATTTTCAGAGCTGGGGTGGTCAATCTGGACTGCAGCTGGTGTCTGTTAGTTTTGCCTCGCAGCAATATTCTGTATATTGTGTCATGGTAAAGAGCAGCTGTAATTAAACTCAGTAAAAAGGAAACAAACACTATCAAACTGATGTCACTTCACCAATGATGATGGAAATACTTACAGTAATGTATGTATTAATACTTATTAATACATTAATAATGTATTAATATTTATCTTAATGCTTGTCTTGAAAGGACATCTATTGTTTGATTAAAATCTTTGGTTTTACCAGCCTCTTTCCAAATGGAGTTTTTGTGGATAGCTATTATGGAAGTATCCCTGGTGTTACATTTTTTACAAAGTGTACCTCCTGATTATAGTAATGAATTATGAATCCTCTAATTTAACTGATCTGTATAAAACCTTAACATTTGTGTGTGTAGACCAGGGTTCGATGTTCAAACTGATTCTTGAAAGGTTTTTGTTTCCCTTTTCAGTATTAGAGTACTAGAATAATTCTGCACAAATAGTGTTATGTTGTGGGCTAAATAAGGTGGTAAATTGCTGCAGTTCTTCTTTATGTAGGCCTTACGTGATGTTAAATGAAGTTTAGAGTTTTTAACATGTTTTTTTCATAAGTAATAGATCCCTTGAAGGTAAGACTTAGGTTATAGGGCCAGAGCCATAGTTTTCAAGAAGGCATTACCTTTTTCAGAACAAAATCCAACTTCAGATCAAGTGTGCGACTTAAATGGCAGTATTTGTAAGGATGGGAGCTGAGCTTTATTTAAATATGGCCTTTGCTTCCTCTTGCACATGACAGAAATATGGTATTTCTCTTACAAGTTGTGTTCATCAAGCAACTGTCTTTTAGTCAGCTGAGATACTTTTGTTATTGTACAGAGGTGTCCAAAAAGTTTAAAATAACTTTATTAAGAACTTTGTTCCAAGTCACTATGTGACTTGTGGCTATGTGAGCTCTGCATGTCTACTGATGGCCAAACCATTTCGGAAAGAGCGCCATGCAGGAATAGTTAAAATACAAGAATAATAAAACTGATACAAACAATTTTCTGTCTTGCACTTTCAGGAATGTTCAAGCTGATGGATGTTATACATGGTTTAAATTTAGATTGCTAGTAGTAATTAAAGTGATTATCTTAGGGAATATCTGTAGTCACATAGTATATGAGATAATATTTTATGCACATAATTGCTTTGAAAATGGGAGATCTTGAATAACTTGTTAGTTAAAAGGTATGTAATTCGAGTGAAGGGATAGAAAATAGGGAGTTTGCATATGTCATGGTGGTAAAGCTTTTTGGAAAATGCAGGGAAAAAAGCACAATGGCTGTGCTTTTTTGTTTGTTAGGAGTTTCATTTTTAGTGTAACCCCTTGCAAGTGGCATTTTCTTCCCAAGCAATATCTTCAGTTATATGTGACTTAAATAGTTTGCACACTTGTGTCATCAGACTTTACTCTAGAATGTTATCTTTCTCTACTTGATTTTTCTACTCTTAATTTTTCTCAGTTAAGCTTCTCTTCTTTTCCATGTTGCTGCGAGAAGTGATACTCCTGTGGAGCAACAGCGTCCCATCGGCGGTGAGGCTTTGTGCCAAGGTTCAGTTCCAGAAAATGAGCCACTCAATGCAGCACAGAGTCAGGGATCAGCCAAACAAGAAAAAAATGAGGTAGTGGATGTTTGTTTAAAAATAATGAGACCCTTTGAGCTGCGTTCTGATCACTTCATAATGATTTGCCTTTGTTTGGAGAACTTCATGCATGACAATGGGTTGCTTTGAATCTTTGTTTTTACTATATTAAAAATACCATATTGCAGCTTGTGTAAGAAACTGCTCCTTTTTTTCCCCGTTGTATAGAGTTCTGCTGTTGTTTGAGTTTGTAATGCAGCTGATGAGTGTGCCTTGTCACGCCAGCAGTGCAGCTAAACTTCACTTCCATTAAGGTCTTTGAGTCACTTCTCTGCTGCAACAGTATTTTGTACGCACCTTAGGAGGGAGGGAAGAGCAGATGCAGAATTTATAGGAGAGAATGAAGACAGGAGATGCTGTGGTGAAGATGTTAGCCAGGCTATTATACACAAGTAGAAAAGAATGTAGTACCCAGTCCAATTTCACCTTGTTTTGTTTCCCACATCATAGTGGGAAGAAATTGTAAGAACTAATTTCTGTGTAAGAAATTAAGTTGGTTTTTTTTCATAGCTTTATTTTTGCAGTGTTCCTGTAGAGACTGATTTAGAAGCCAGAGTTTATAGATTAGGGCTTCTGGGCAACATATTTTAGGTTTTCATGTTAGTTTGGGTAATAATAGCACGGAATCCAAAAGATCAAAGGATTGAATCCAATTATAACAAACAAGTATCAGTCATGGAAAGAAATAGAGACAAGAATGTACCTGTTGCCTAGAAGGGTTATAACCCAGTGACTGGGGAACAGTTCACAAATTTCAAATACAGGGAATAAATGCTTTCTAGACAGCTGGTGATTCCTTTGAAGTTTCTAAACTGCAAGTATTCGCCATGGGAAACCCAAGGTGATAAATACTTTGCAAATACAACAACATTAGAAAATCCATTATAAATCAGAAAATTATTGTGTCAGAGAACAAAAAATCATAATGCAAATATTGTTAATTAGAGGAAATGCAAAGGCTCTTAGTTAAAAGGACAGATCATGCATGAATTGTCTGAACTAGTGCAGAGTTATCAGGGTGTCCTTATACAACCTAAATTCATAGGTGACAAAGCTGTTGCTTTGGAAAACAAAAACCCCACCAAGGTTTTTTTTTCTTTTACTATTTTTTTTCCTACTAGTTTTCTAAATATGCAGTTAAGGGGTGTTTTTTTTAGAAAACGTAGGGCAGTTCTGTGTGGATCATCTGGCCTTGGACTGAAGTGCTTTTGGTTTTCTGTTTGTCTGTTTTTATCTTGTCCTCAGCTGCTGGCATTTGGAACTAGTGACACAGAAAGTGAGGATTGGGGAATGCAGGAGGCAGCAAGTCCTGGGCAGCTGGCAGTGTGGGGAGCTAAAGACAGAATGTAAAGGAGAAGGGACCATGAGAAAGCAAGTTGAGATGTTTGTGTTTGGCCCAGAAAGTACAGAATTTTTAAGTTAGAACAGAGCACCAATTTCAAATGTAAGATGTAATGCTTAGATAGACCACTTCAGAATTGGCTTCTGGGAGAAGGAGATTGACACCTCCCTGCCATCAGTCTGCAGAGCCAATGTGGCAGAAAATACTAAATTTGTAGTGAAAGTGTGACTTTGAATTTGGAATGTTGCTTATGTTGTTTTTTGATTTTTATTTTCAGTTTTAAATCATTTATTTGTTTTGATCTTAAGTAATACTTTGGAAGTTTTGTAGGAAAGAGCAGTCTCCTTCAGAATTATGGCAGAACTGCTTCAACAGTGAATAGCCTAGGCTGGCAGTGGTTGCTTTTTTTAATATGTAAATTGTGTCTGGTTTTAAGGAGGAATTAAATCATTACTCCTCAGAGGAGAATCTCCTGGCCTTTTGATGCCTGTGTTGAAATAATGAATCAGAAAGTAAATATTTAGGTTAAATACCAAAATTAACTATTTAATTTTCATCAGTGATTCTCATTTCTTTTTAGCTTCGTGATTCAACAGAGCAGTTTCAGGAATATTACAGACAAAGACTACGTTACCAGCAGCACTTAGAACAGAAGGAACAACAACGACAGTTGTACCAGCAAATGTTGTTGGAAGGAGGAGTAAATCAAGAAGATGGAGCTGACCAGCAACAGAATCTTACTGAACAGTTTCTTAACAGGTTGGGGACGTTTGTTGATTCTCCTTCTACCCACCTGTATCTCTTCTTAAGTCTCACAATAACCTGGTTTGATGGTCTTTTTTTTTTTCTCTTGTCATTTGTTATTAGATCTATCCAGAAACTAGGAGAATTAAATATGGGTATGGACAGTCTTGGAAATGATGTACAAGCACTTAGCCAGCAATGTAATGGGAGCAAAGGGAATGCATCTACCAATCCAGCAAGTAACTTCACATCACCACCCTCAGATGGCAGTCAGAGGATAGCAACTGATAGCCCAAATGTTAATACAAGCACTCCTCGAAAGTGTGGATCAGCCAATCAGATCCCCTTTCCTGAAGAGTCACCTGTACAGGGGAACCAAACGTAAGTTATTTGAAAACAGGGCAGAATGGGAACTGAATTTCTTCTGTTCACTAATGGTAGTGCTGAAAGAAACAGTAATTTTTCCACCTCTGTGTGTGTGTTTATGTGTATACATATATACATATGAATGTTATGGAATGAAAAATTTCTAACTTGCATTCACTTGTCCAGTGCTTGGAGTTGCTGCACAAAGAGCAGCCCCTTGTAAAAATAATGTTTTAATGGTAATGAATCAGACACACGTAACACTTGTCCTCAGATTAGTCAGTTCTGAGAATGAGTAATTGAGACTGTAACTTTAGTCCAGAAAATCCATACAAATAAATCCGTCTTTGCTCTTCTTTTTTTGTCTTGTTATGAATTTAAACTCTTCACCAAATCAAAGCAGTGTATCAGCACATGCTGTCACTCAGCCACAGCTGGAAGACGCTTTGGGGAATTTAGCTAAGGCAAGAGGTGATGAGGTGAGTTTTCTTGTCACTTACAATTTGTGTTATCAAAAGATTTGGTATTTAATCCTGAGTATGTGACATCCTCATTCTAAATATCTATTAACAGTCAGAGTTTTTGGTTAATGCGGTACCTGCAGAATCACAGAAACGTTGAGATTGGAAAGAACATCTGGAGACTGAATCCAAACCCCCTGCTCAGAAGAGGGTCAATGAGAGCAGGTTGCTTGGGTTTTGAGTCTCTTTAAGGATGGAGGATGTTCCACAACCTTTGTGGACTACCTCATCCCATGTCTGACCACCCTCATACTGCTTTTAAAACAACAAAAAATGTTGAAGTGGAATTTGCTATGTATTATTGTTGTTCATTGCCTCTTGTCCTTCCACTGGGTCCCACTGGGAAAAGTCTTGCTCCATCTTCTTTACTCCTCCTATCACATATTTATATACACTGGTGAGATGTACACATTCACACCCTGAAAAGCCCTTTTGACCTCAAGGCCAAACAGTACCAGCTCTCTCAGCTTCTCCTTGTACAACAGAGGTTCCAGTGGGATGTCTTTTACAACCATTGTTTTGTATTTTCCAGGTTGAAACTTTGATTGTTAGGCTCCACTCAGTCCATGGTTTGAAAAACCAGGGAAATAGTTAGCAGGGAAATAACTGCAATAAGTACATTCAAAAGTTTCTGCATCAGATACATGAAAATCATAATCTTAGAAAGATGGTGATGAAGTCACCAGGAGGATGATGTAATAAAACTTAGCATAATTTAATGATAACTGTTTTTATATACAGGGTGAAAATCTGATTCTGTTTAGTATTATATTTGTTTTAGAACTTGTGTTTATGACTTGGACTGTTTTCAGTAAAAATGCAGCTTTGTTCCCCTTGCAAGTTTCACATAGATGAAATGTGTTTACACAAAAATAAACTGTAGTATAGTGCATCTGAAATGGGCTGTTTAGAAGAACAAAAAATGGGTGGAAGTCTGGAGGGGGAATGAGAAATGTTAATCTAATGTTAGCTGTAAAAGTGAGTTGAAGAAAAGAATTTGTTGGAGTATGCTATTCTGGGACCTGGAGTAGACATTGTTTTACAAATCTGCGCTTTGAATAGTTCAACCTGGTGTGATGCTACTTGTTAATACTTTGGTTCAGTAGCTTTACTTTACTCCACAAAACAGTCACATCTGCTTGTAAATGTCCAGTTTTACACTGAAGAGCCTAATTTGACTGTTACCCTTCTACACAGGATGACAAATCAAAAAAGCAATTCATTTGCATTAATACTCTAGAAGACACACAGGCTGTCAGAGCTGTAGCCTTTCATCCCAGTGGGAGTTTATATGCTGTTGGCTCCAACTCTAAAACTTTGAGAGTTTGTGCCTATCCAGAAGTAATTGACCCAAGGTAAGAAAGCTTGTGTAATCATTTCTATATCATAACCCTTCTTCCTCCTCATACCTGTACTTATTTGTTCTCTTTCCTTACTGTCAAGATGCACTGCCATGATACCACACTTTTCCTTATAAAGTGTTGGTTTTGCCTCAGCAGTTGGGCTTTTCTGTGTTTACTGTGATGGCTTCTGGTTCTGATATTCCAACTGTAAAAGTGGGAGAAAGCATGTGTCAGTTCCCAGCCAGCACAAGTTGGGCTTCATGAGATGCAGTTTCTGGCAGGAGGACAGACTTCACATTTGAGAAAGCAATATCTTCTTGAACTTTCAGAGCAAAATGTGCCAGAGCCTTTCTATTGGCCCATTATTACTATAAACATTGTTTTATAGGTATATTGGTTCCTTAAAGGGAAAAGCACTGTTTGTGGTTTGCTGTGTACCTGGTATTTTCAGGGGTTTTTCACCCATTTTTTTAATAGGAGGGGGAAAATATATTTTTTCATCTGGAAATAAATATTGCTGTGTCAATAACCACCTCCTTATCTCTGTTCCACTTCCATTATTTTCTTAGAGTAGGGGTGAAGTGCAAGCATCTAAAACTTCACAAGCTGCAAGTGTGCACAGTGTGACTTTATCTGGGACATCTTCCCAGTTTAGAACTGATGCTCAGGCTTCCAAAGTGTTCAAAAGTAATCAGATTTTTTTTTTTAGTTTCCTCCTTAAATATCATCAGTAAGGTAGACTTTGAAGTTTAATTCCAAAGTATTTATTGGCAATGTATGACACAACAACATAAAAAAAGAGATTTCTCCGATACTCAACGCAAGCCAACTTGCTGGGCTTGAAGCCCAGGCAGCTTCCTCTTGACTGGCAAACAGTGCAAAGCATTTCCAGTGGAATGGATGCTGCTTTATGGAGTAACTGTGGTCTGCTTCTGCACAGCTGGTTGTTGAGAGCACTGGGAAGGGTTAGAGCAACTCTGCAGCCTTAGTCTCTAGTTGCAGTGCACGATCTGATGTGACAAGTGACAAGCTGCATCTGGACATGAAAGGAATACTGACATTTCCTTAATTCTGAACTTGTAATTCTTCCTCTTACTGTTGGTTTTGACTATGCTTACAGTTTGCCTGAAACAATTCATCACAGGATTTACAAGACAGCAGAGAGATTACATTATCTTCAAGATACTCTAATCCTTGTAACAACATGAGTCCAGACATGCATTCAAAATTATTTGTGTTTTTCAAAAAGCTATAATTGTGTAGAACAGATGTTCTTTGAAGCTTTATTGGGCCTTTTTAAAGTTTTTTAAATTGTCCTTCAAACTGATGTGTGATTCAGGATAGGCTGGTTTGGAGTTGTTTTTTATTCCTTTCTCTAAAGGTATAATAGTAGTGTGGGAGTTTTTTTCTGCATATTCGAGATTAAACACTGATAGATACACATTACAGTTCTGCAGATATTGCTTAAATAATTCCAGTGCTTCCATGCAGTGGATTCGCAACGTGTGGTCTCTGAGCTGGGTAATTGCTCCTGTATCCTGGCAGAGTCAGTGATTCTCAGCATTTAACAGGTGGTGGATCCAAACTCGGAGTGCAAGATAAGGCATTAGGTCACTTAGGAAGCTCTGAAGTGTGTTAAGTGATCCTGATTTACACTAATCTGTCATGGATTTCCTCTCTGGCAACAAAATAAAATTAGCTTCCATGTAGATTTACTTTAGTATTCTTTACTAAAGCCATGTTTATCTCCAGAGTTTTTCAACAGACTTGGGTGATTGTCTTCTGTCTTTTCTCTCTGCCTCTTCAGGTATTTATAGTATGGTTTCTGAATTTTTTCAATAGTGATTTAATTTGTTGATTTCTATTGTTGATGTTACTGGAGTGAACATTGATGGAAGTGGATACTGCAGTGCTTTATCCTAAGTACTTGACTTCTTCCTGCTATGAGAGCAGAGAAAGAACATTGTAGGAAGGTAATTGATTGAACTTAAGGCAATGTACATCAGTGGGACTGTTGCTTTTATTTTAACCACGTGTAAAGCTGATGTGGTTTTAGAAATAGGAATGTATGGTGTGTTTAGATGGTGTGAAGATTCTTGCACTGACGTAGAATGGTGAATGTGTCTTTCTGGCACAGGCTGCTGTATTCAATTTTCTAGTAGAGAAGTGAAGCTTTTAGAGTCACTTTATTCAACAAGTACATTCAATGTACAGCTCATGATGAACATAAATGAGTTTTTTCTTTTGTATGTTTTTTTGGTTATTTTTGTTTAATGGCCAAAAAAGGAGACAGTACTTGACTTAGAGTAGCATTTTTCTTTGTCTTCCCAAGCAGGGATAACATTTTTTATGATCCTTTAGGTGCTTGATGAGTCCCACTTATTCGGACAGCAAGAATGGCATAGACAACAACTCTCTGGATAAAACATCAGGCTTCAGTTTTTATTGTTGCAGTACTAGTAGGCACAAACCAGCCCCAAACACAAGTATATGGAACCTACTATATGGCTTATAATTAAGCTGTCTTACCAAACACAGCCCTCAGTTAGGGATTAAATCTGCTGCGTGGGAAACTGGAAGGGAAACACCTTCCTGTACGCATGCACAGAGGTTGCACAGGCTCCTGCTTTCTTCTTTTTTCAGGAATTTGTATTTTTCCAATCTGCAGCCTAATGGTTTAGTCCCAGAGCCAGCCTTTAGCCATGCCAGTTGCAGTGGTGCTACCACAGACAGTGTGCATTATGAGCTTTCTTGGCCTGCTGTTGCATAATTGAACTCAAGTGTATTCAAAAGTGGCCATAGAATCAAGATGTTGAAGTATGAAGGATGTAGAGAAAAATCACACCGGTTTAGGACTCTCAGGATAAGGTTTCATTGTACTATAACTAGTAATTACTATATTTTATCTATATCAACCCCCAGTAGGTGAAGGGACTGCCTAAGTCCTTTTTGCATGTTTAATCACAAGTACAATGGGAAGATGAGGAAAAACTGAGAAAATGGGATGGAGATGATCCTTTTCTCTTGGTTTACATATATATGTTTCAATGCAAGCAGTCATATGAATTTAATGTTACTCAAAATAAAGAAAAACTGTATTTTCATTTTAAAATACTTTGTTTTCCTGAGAAATAAAAGGATATCTGATGGTTTTCTTTTTTTTTTCTTTTACCAGTGCTTATAATAGTCCTAAACAACCTGTAGTTCGCTTCAAAAGGAATAAGCATCATAAAGGATCAATCTACTGTGTAGCCTGGAGTCCCTGTGGACAGCTGTTAGCTACTGGTTCTAATGATAAATATGTGAAAGTACTGCCTTTTAATGCAGAAACTTGTAATGCAACAGGTACTGTGTGTCTCTGTTTAAAGAGTTTATTTTCAATTATTTGTCCAAACCATTCAAATTACACTGATTATGTATTTAATAGCTTTTGTTATTTTTATTCTAATACTTTAGTCTCTTTTCCCTTTCACCATCACTGTAGTCTTTATCCAGCAAAGAGCCACTGCGAGGTTGGGGATTATCTTTTGGGTTTCGTTTGGGTTGGTTGGTTGTGGTTTTGTTTTCTTTGGCAAGATTCCAGTATTGTGCTCTCTTCTGGCAGATTATCCTCCATATACAGTAAAACAGCCAGATGTTCTTATCCACCTCTGGATCTTGACTGTCACTAGGAATTTATTTCCACTTCTAGTTCCCCTTTTTTTTGCCTACTTCTGTCATCTGTCTTCTCACCCATCTTAAAAAGGTTTCTGGCCTGGCAAATATTACTTTCCATGCCCAACCCTCCTAATCAATACACTGAATATGGCTCTTATCTTTTCTGTTTTGAACTTGGGCTGCCTTGTCCTATGTGGTTCAGTGGTCTCAATGACCTCTCCCTCTGGGCAGAGAAAACCTTTTGAGTTTACCAGAGTTTATAAAAAGAAATAAACATACTCTGTAAACTTTGGCTGCAATTGGCTGTGGTGATGGTCATTTTGCAAAGCTTTAGGAAGTAAGAAGCTCCAGCAACACTCAACAATAAGATTCTTGGGGATTTTTTTTAAACTTTAGTAACTGAAATATTGTGTTCTATAGAAAGTGCACAGCAATATTTGTACTTGGTAGCATACCCACCCTTGCCTAAGGTATTCTGCATTATCACTGTAGCTACTTTAAAGAGTGTAGCACTAACAAACAGAGTATGCCTTATTTTGTTCCTCGATTTTTAAATTATTTTAGGACCAGATTTGGAATTCAGCATGCACGATGGGACAATCAGAGACCTTGCTTTCATGGAAGGCCCAGAAAGTGGTGGTGCTATTTTAATAAGTGCTGGAGCAGGGGACTGCAATATTTACACAACAGATTGTCAGCGAGGACAAGGCCTGCATGCCCTGAGTGGTCACACTGGTATGTGTACTGTGGCTTCTCTCACACTTTCTAAGCCTGTACTATGTTCTAATAAAGTTGTTGGGTTGTTTTGGGAGTGGTTTTTAAATTCTTTGTGTTTTTCTTTGTAGCAAGACTTTTTTTTGCTCTCCAGATTGCTCTTGAGGTCTTTTGAGGGGTGATGGGGAATGTTTGTTTTTACATATGTTGGCTGTTAATTTAATGGGTTAATGCAACCTCATTCCAGAGAAGATGCAAAGGTGGGTATTGCCTTTCACTGGTGTGTTAGATCATGCAACATGCAGCTTTTCCATGGGATAGTTAAATCTCTGAAAGCAAAAATATAATCTGAACTGTGGTGTTTCAGTATTTGATTAATGATGGTTCATCAACTTAAGAAGTCTTCTTGTTCACAGGTCATATTTTAGCACTTTATACATGGAGTGGCTGGATGATTGCATCTGGATCCCAAGACAAGACTGTAAGATTTTGGGATTTGAGAGTGCCAAGCTGTGTTCGTGTTGTGGGAACAACGTTTCATGGAACAGGCAAGAGTTGCTATCATGCTTCTGAACATTCTTGCATAAAAATAGACTTTGAAGACGTCAAGGTAATATAGGCAGAATGTAAGGGGGGGCGTTGTGCCACAGGCTGGAGGCTTAGCTTTAAAAGAAAGAAGCTGTGAGGAATCTACCTGCGTTTTGTTTTTAAAGTAACATTTCCTTTCAGAAGTTGAGTAGTGTTTTTGCCTCGTGACTTTCAAACAGACACTTCCAAATACATTCAGATAAAACATAACTGAAATTCTCGAAACATTAGGGCCAGGGTGAATTCCTTGCAGTATTCCACATTAGTTCATAAAGAGTGACTTTCTTTCCTGTGATGGAACAGACACTTTTTCTCATGCAGCTCTAATAGTGTCTTTGCTACAATTCCAGTGTGACCTATGGCTTCAGAGTTTTTAGTGCCAGAACATAAAAATTTTGTTATTCTAAAGTAACAGTAGCTGTGTGTGTTCACCTTAAATTTAAGGCCAACATTCAGTATTCTTTTACAATGTATATTCTGGTTTAAAAAAAGTTGGCTATTTGTGCAAATGTACAGAACTATAACGTGTGACCATGTGGATTTTTCTCCTCCTGCAGGCAGTGCTGTAGCCTCAGTAGCTGTTGATCCCAGCGGGCGACTCCTGGCTACAGGCCAGGAGGACTCCAGCTGTATGTTGTACGACATCCGGGGGGGTCGGATGGTGCAGAGCTACCACCCCCACTCCAGTGACGTTCGCTCCGTTCGCTTCTCCCCGGGGGCTCACTACTTGCTCACGGGGTCATACGATATGAAGATCAAGGTGACAGACTTGCAAGGTAATGTGCTGCAAAGGATCATAGGCTCATTTTCCATTTGGTGCCTTTAATGTTGAGATCTTGGTTCCAAGATCAGGTTTTACTTTAAATGGGGAGAAAACCAGTAGAGCTTTGAAGGGTTTGACGTGTGTATATGTGATTGTGTTTGTTGGCAATTGGCTAGTTGTGTAGCTAAGAGTGCAGGCTATGAACTAAATCTTGCTTTGGTCTCATTACTGTTGCCTAGTGAGATGGCCATTGCTTTCAGATAGCATTCATAAATTTGACACTTTAAAAAGAGTACATAATTTTAATTTTTATTGGAAAGAATTAAGAAGAGGGAAGATATCGGGTATATCTAATTGACTTCATTTTCTTGGGCCGTTAAACTTTAATCACTTTTTGTGAAAACAGTGAAGGTCTGCATTTTTAAGTTGTACTGTGTCCAGTAACACCTAAAAACTGAAACAGTGGGGCCCTGTGTTATGCTGTGTGTATGTGAATGGGGGGGAAATCGAGTGCTTCGTAAGATGAAATACATATGAGCTTCACTAAACAAACAAGTAAAAAAAAAAACAACACGAAAAAACCCACTCAGGAGCTGGGGTATAAATTCATGAAATGACTAATGATTTCTGCTCCTCTGCCACAGGGGACCTCACGAAGCAGCTTCCTCTGATGGTGGTAGGAGAGCACAAGGACAAAGTTATCCAGTGCAGGTGGCACACGCAAGATCTTTCCTTCTTGTCGTCGTCTGCAGACAGGACTGTAACCCTTTGGACCTACAATGGTTAGAGTGCAAACAAAGGCAACCTATGCAGCTAAAGCACAGAGACCTGAGACTACAGAACTGTCCAAACAATAATAATGAGGCATTGAGAGCAGCAGTTGAGCAGGAGAGTGTCTTATCAAGAAGAGGGGCACTTGTCACTGGTTTTTCTGGTTTCTAGGAGGTCTTGGTGTTTTTAGTATATTCTTTTGCAGTGCTTCCAGTCTTCCATGTTGAACTCATGCTGCTGTGACCTATTGTAGTCTTGTTGCCAAAGTCTATGAGGAGAACTCTTATGTTGTTGATGTGCACTCAGAGTAACATGAATGATGTGTTTACAGTTTGGTATTAATTGCATTCCTTGGTCTTTGCCTCAATGAGAATTTTGTACAGAACTTAAGTTGAACAACACTTTAATCAAGTCTGTATGTAACTAGTTACACCCATACACACACACACACGTAAAACTTCCACTGTTTTTTCAGGTTCATTGTATTGATCACTCCTCAACAAGAGATCAGACTTCATAACATCTCCACAATTTCAGTGTTTTTAGTAAAAACATCTGAACTTTAAAGGCTGACTAGGCAGCAATCACATCTTGATTATGGTCCATTATATAGTGTGGGATTTTTTTCTTTCTTTTCATCTAACCTGGGAAAAATGTTGCTGTTTTTACTACATAACATTGTTTTGAACAAGCTAACATGTTGGAGGGGGAAAAAGTAAAATATTGACTTTTTTCAGTAGAAACATGTAATATTTTACTTTTTGAATGCAACAGAATACCTCTGTGTATAATGTACTGTAGAAAAGAGTGGATTGGCAGCAGTTGTCACAGTGAGCTTAATGGCTATCAATTTTTCAAGTAAAAGGGATACCATTAATGCTATAATAGAAACCAGCATGGCTTAAAATGCTATGTCTGCATGATAATTTAAGAATTGTTTAAATTCCCAGTTCAGAAGCTTATCTGAATTTTATTTCTTGCACTGTTTATGTATGGGAAACTGCAGTTTTATTTCTACAAAACTTTAGATTCTAATGTTTATGTATTGTTATATTTTCATATTGTACAGTTCCTTTTAATTTTTAAAATATAAACCTTAAACTTTGGGTTATTTATTTATTTGAACTGCAGTTAAGTTTTGGATTCTCTTGGTTACTAAATTATATGTGCACTGTAGCAAGCATTTTTAACTATCGTATAAAAGTGGAAAGGTAAATATAGAAGTGTATCTGTGCTATAATCTCAATAAAGACCTCCAACACCTGCATCCGTTTTGGCTGTTATTTTGGATTCTTAGTTCGTAATTATTTGATACAACTGTGATACAGAATTAGACATATGACTTAACATGCCAGAACTATAAAATACTCAAGAGTTTTGATATTGTTTCCCTATATTGAATTTTCAGTGTGATAATAATCTTGTTTATTTTTCTCAATTTCATACATAATGCTGCTTCGGAGGAAAATAGTGTTCCTCTAGTTGTTTATCTGTGGACAAAGCTGGCAGACTTAATTAGTACTACAACTATGTAAAGACTGTCTTCTGCCATTAATTTTATTCCAGCTTGGGTCTATTAAAGAGCAGATCCAGATTTACATCCCTTGTTTTACGTCACAGCGTCTTGTGACTGAGCTCGCATTTAGCGAAGGTAAGTCCTCCTCTATGTCTGTCTGGGACTGGAGGCGATTCGAAAGAAACGAAAAATCCCTCTACCGGAGGAGAGGGGCGGGGATGGAGCTGGTGGGAGTTGCTGGGGCTCCCTCGGTGCCGCGGGGTTGGGCGGGCCCGGGGCGGGCCCTGAGCGCGAGCCGGTGCTTGAGGGCCGGGGCGGTGCCTCCGCGGCCGCTGCTCCGCGGCCGTTCCCGGGGCGGGGCGGCCCCCCCCGGGCCGGGGGAGCTGCAGGGCCGGGAGGAGCCGAGAGGAGCGCGGCTGTGGGGCGGCCCCGGGCCGGGTAAACACACCGAGATTCCTGCGGCCCTTCAGGTACGGCGGGCGGGACGGGCCCGGGGCCTGCGCCGTGTCCGGGCCCGGGCGAGGCGCGGGAGGACCGCTCGTCTCGGCGGAGCGCGGTGTCGCTGCCGAGATACAGGAGGCCGGGGCGGGGGAGGAGCGGCCGTGGCTCCGCTCTGTGGCCCTATCCGCCCCTACAGCGCTCGGCCGGGCGGCAGCGCCGGCCTGTGCGGGGCCGGGCGGAGCCGCCCCGAGGGCACCAGGCCGTGCGTCCCGTCCGGTCAGAGCCGGGGTGCCCCTGCAGGGCTGGCCAGCCTTGATTGTTGTTCTGCGTGACGGGCGTACTGACCCTTTGTGGAAAAATAATGTGAAAGGTCAGCGAGCAGGAGTGCGTGCGGTGGCAGTAATTCCCTGGGGACGAGCTGTTCTGCACCCTTAGGAGCGGGACCGCTGGGGGAGCGCGGTGTATCGCCCTCAGAGAGGCCGGGGACAAGGGATGGCGCGGCACGGAGGTGGTGTGGCCATGCTCCGTTTAAAACAATGCCGCCAACGGGAACTAAGCGAAAGGAATGATCTAAAAAGTGACCGACCAAAAGCTGAACTTTGTTCTATTAACTCGAAAATACGTGTCGCTTTTCACATCCCCACGTGGGCTAATGAAGTAAAACCTGTACATGCTTTACATGTGTGACTAAAGTCACGCAAACCACCTAAACGTGAAATGACATCAGCTGAAACGCTACCTTTTCCCCTCCCTCAAAGAAAACCATATAAATATAGGTTATGAGGGATGGGAGGTCAGGGGAGACTTCACCTTTGTACCCTGGGACTGTCGATGGTCTGTGCTTATCTCTTCCCTGTAGGATGCCTGTTGGGTAAGGCTCGAACACTCGGCGGTAGCAAGTGCTTCCTCGGGAAATTCAGAGGGCCAGCTTGTGTTTGTGATCGTGCTTTTAGCCCTAGATAGTCAGCTCCCAATGTTATGTATTTGCTGTCATCTGTATTATTTATATTTTTGTGTTCGTGCACTCCTGCAGACACTATGTAGCACCAGCAATCCAAGAGCCTGTGTTTCTGTTGCTTACCAAATAGCGTTGTTTTGCACCTAACAGTTATTGCATGAGACTGGGCTTGTGATCTGGCCATGAATCCTGGAGGAGTTCTGCACAGGTTTATTGTATTTAGCAATCCTGAACTCCATGTTACACCTGCTGATATCTGTGGTCAGTTATATTGATCCAGTTATGTAGTACAGTTTAATTGGTGCATATTATTGCTGGCAATTTCCTTGGGGGGGGGGGGGAAAGAGGGAAGCGAAGTTTAACCTGCTTAATGGAGAACTGAGTTTTTAAACAGCACCAGAGAATACTTCTTTCATGTAAGATTGTTGCATGTTACACCTTGACCTAAATATGTGGATTTCTTGTTACATTCAGTGATACAGGATGCTGTTCCCTCTGGTGTTGTGTGCAGTTATGCTGGTAGGGAGCGGTAAAGTTCAAGAAGATGAATGGATTGACCCCACGGATATGCTCAATTATGATGCAGCATCAGGAACAATGAGAAGACCTTACAAGGTAGAAAAAGAAAGGGTGTATGAATACATGTCTCTCCCAAACAGTCCTTCAGCCACATGCTGTTGAAAGATTGCTCTTAAATGGTGACATTAGATAATGATAGAATTGTGATATTTTTAAGGTCTTACTATGTTGTATCTGAATCCATTCACAGGAAAGTCTTTTGTGTCCATGGTTAAAATTGCAAGGAAAAAAATAGTGACCTATGTTATTGTAGTTAGCTCAGGACCCTTTCCTGTTAAGTTTCTGTTGCACATTGATCCAGTCACAGCAACCAAGCTTTTTGTCTTTTTGCAGGTGGTGCTTGATTTATGCAGGTTGTGGCACCACAAGTTACTGCTCTGAGAAGTACTGGGTTCAGCAGCTCTTGCTAGTTTCTCAAGTATAGTGTTAAATATCTTGAAATCAAGTTCCTATCTGATAACAGTTGGGGGAGTTAATGGTTGCATTTTACTTTAATTAACCAGTTTCACAGCAATATGGTAATAAAGCACATTTCTCGTGTGAGTGTGTTGTGAAAGTCACAATGTGTTTTGTAACGCTAGACATCAGTTTTCAGAAGCAAGATCAGAATAGGGGTTGAGTGCTGTGATTTGTGATTTGTGAACATTTAGGAGAAGATGAAGTAGGAAAAAAACTAGTTTTAATATGGTGAATCATCTCAGTTGTCCTGCGTGAGGGATGGACTCTACATAGATACATGTTAATCAAATATGTATGTGCACACATGGCACTGTAAACTGTGGTTGGTTGCACGGGCGCCTTTGATTTTTGTCATTATTCAGCTTTCAAGTTTGAATGATACTATTTAACCACTTTAGAATGTAATTTTCTGAAGTTAAAAAATGCAGACTGCATTATTTCTCTCCACAGCATTCCTCTTCAACCTCCACCTGCCTCAAGTCCACCTGACAGTCATTAACATCCCTAAAATTCAGCACCAAACTTTGGAGTCTTTAAACTTGGAGCCCAACTGCTTCAGCTTTTATACAAAAAATAGTAGTTTTACTGTTGTCTCTTACAAAAATAGAACTTCTGATCTTAAAGGAGAAAAATGCCTGCTTTGAGTTAATCCATCTTTTCAGGATTTCTTTTCTGCTCTGCAGTGAGTTTTTAGGTAGGCAGGCTGTGGGGGCCGTCCGAGTCCTCAAGACCAAACTTGGTTTCAGCATGAGTCACTGATTTGTGCACTGTTGTGCTTCCTTTTGGAGACTTCCCTCAACGTCCACTCCTGGTTGTGTAGAAGCAGCACTGCTAAAACTGGGTCTGAGTAATTAACAGAAAGCATAGAGTGTTCTGGAGCAAAGAGGGAATGTGACAGGAGAGGCCTGCATCCCAGAACGGGGGATTATGTTTACTTGCAGTCTGGCTGGCTGCGTGGCCAGCTGGGCTGGGAATTTGTCTGGCTGGAAGCTGCCCCTTTGCTTGCTGAGTCAGTTTTTAGCCAGTCCAGTTATCTAATCTGATGCTTTGTGTGGCTCACCAACACTCTAAGGAGGGGAAAGGGCGGGTGGGGGAGGACAGGCCTCACCTTTTGAAGGCAACAGGCATTTACATAAACTTTAAGCAATTGTCCATCTGGAGCCTAGAATAACAGCAGAGAGGCAGATGGAGTATCACTGGGAGAGTATTAGCAGAAAAGATCACTCAGATTTTAGCTCCTTTGCTCCTTTTAAAGGGATCTGACAATAGAAGTGTAACGGGGCACGTTTGATCAAATTATCAGATTCTAAAAATACATGTTTTTCTTCTGTTATTTTAGGCAAACTATCATGACTCTGAGGATAAGACTGTGGATACAGTCAGTACTGAAAACTCACCAAGTTGTTCCAGGACAATAGATTCCCTGCAACAGAAGGTTTGTTACAGAACTCCAGAATATTTTCCAGTCTTTAACAGTTTGTGCTTTCTGACAGTGCTTTTTCTGGATAGTACAGAACAGGTGCATTGCTGGCATAATTTATGAGAGACTGTGCTTTATGTAGGGGAACCTCTTTATTCAGAGGAGAGACTGAAAGTGGTCTGAATTCAATTCCAAACTGTTGCTCTCCTTCCACGGTCGGTTTCCTAAAATATTTTATGTCACACCATGCTGCCAAAAGCCAAGGTTGTTTTCAAGTTATTCAGTACATGGAAAGCAGCATCTTCAGTAACTGCATATGCTTTTTATCTGGCATACTAATCACAGAATCATTACTAAACTAAAGAAATGTGCCCCTGTTGATCCTGAGTTTAATGTGTTAGTGGGGGGGGGTTCTCCTATGAATGAACTGGTTTGAGCAAAGTGAATAAGTGTCTTTTGCTTGATTGCAGATTGCAGAATGTGAGAAGAGGAATGCCAAGTCACAGGAAAGCCGTAGCTTTTATATTTTTAAGCGATACTTGAATAAAATTTTAAATGAAGCTGGAAAACTTGGCCTTGTAAGTATTTGAACAGTCATTTAAAAAAATTAATTAGAATTCATATTACTACTTTATATGGTTTTCACAGTTATCAAGTATTGCTTAATTATTCTGGCGTATTTTAAATTAAAATGAAGGGAACTGAATGGCACAGGAGAAGGTAATAGCAGTGTGTGCATCCAGTACTGCTCAGGAGACACAGTTGCCATTTGATATGTAAAGCATCCAGAGGAAGGCTGTGTGAATCCAGTGTATCTAAATATCTGTTGCTGGGATGCAGCTACAGGAATACCTTGTTCAGTTCACATTAATGGTTGTTCAGCTGGAGTGGCTGCATGGTACTTACTTGTTGGGTGGGCTCTTTATTATATTGTCTTTGGAGATTTTTTTTTTCTATTCAGAGATAGAAGAATTAATTTTTAGTAATAAGCAAAATTAATATTTAATAAAGAACATTATATTTAGCAATGTGAAATTTCTTATTTCAGTATTTAATAGCTTTTGTTTGTATTATCCAGCTGTGATCAGGGCACACATAGCATGTATATCATTATTACTTGTTAGTGAGCCATGGTTTTAAAGTTTTAAGAACAGGTGAGATAATTAACTTCATTTCTATTAGTTTATTGCTGTAGAATTGAAGGAGTACAAACCAGTTGAACTCGAGTATCATATAGTTTAGAAGAATGAACAAAAAGGACACAGAATCATAGTTTTGTCCCATATTTTCATCCTGCAGTCTGCTTCAGAAAGATTCTGGTACAGCATGAAGGGTATATAATCAGGTTTTTGCCTAGGGATGCACTTCTATTTCCAAATAAGCAGCTTTTAACGTTATTTTGCTTTGCTTTTAATTCAGCCTGACGAAAACGTGGGCCAAGTCCACTACGACGCTGAGATCATCCTTACAAAACAGACATATCTGGAGATCCTCAGGTTTCTCAATGAGGAAAGCTGGCAGCCAGGTGCCATGGATGATGCACTTAGTGATATTTTGATCAATTTTAAGCACCATGATTATCAAGCTTGGCACTGGAGATTTGAGGACACTTTTGGAATTGACCTATATAATTTGTTTTTGGTAAGAGAATAAAGGGGGGTTGTTGTTTTTGATTGCAGTTTTCTCCAGTTTCTCTGAGGAAGTCTAGTCAGTGAATATATATATAATATAACCATCTTAACTCCACATGGAAAGCAGTTCTTTCCATCCTGCTTCAGTGAGTCATGGGTTTTTTCATGGTTGCTGAAGGAAGAGGGGATGTATTCATTTTAAGTAAGAATTCAAGGTTTTTATTCCTGTGGTCATCTTTTCTTACTGTAGCTTTGTGGGAGTTTTTTCTGTTATGCTTTTTTTTCTCTTCTTTTTGTCTTATATCTGTGCTGCCTGACTCATTAGGCTCTAGCACTTTCTTATCACTAGAACTGACATTTTGTGCATTACAGATTTTCTGGGTTTCTCTCTTGTTCAAGTAGATGCTGAAGTTGTTGGCTTCTGCAGGAGTTGGAATATATTTACACTGAGACAAGTATATATTTGAACTCTTACAGGCTCTTGCAAATTTTATGGAACAAATTGTGGAGTGTTGGAGAGGAGAGCATGACTATGGAATTATAAAGTGCTAAGCTGAGGATCTCTGATAAGATGAAGCTCTCTGAATAAAGCTTTGCAATTCAGAATATGCTGATGTTTTATAGTGACATAATCTTGAAAGGAACCTGCCTAGATTTTAGGGGTCCATGGAAGCCAAATCACAAAAGCGAGCTGTCTGTCAGTAGCAAAACCTCACTGTTAGGGGTCCTCAGATGGTGGAGACTGTGAAGTGCTTCTCTGAGGTCTTGCTGCTGTTACCCAAACTGTAACTTTGTCTCTTAACCAAAGTGCAGGAGTTGGCAGCAGTTGTTCTGTGGTTCATACCAGGCACATACTACTCAAGCAGTGACTGACACCAATTTTATAATTTAAAAGTGTGGTAGGTAACGTGATAAACATCATAAGGAAGAAATAACTCAGTATCACAAGAAAGAAATGAGCAACTGCAGTGTAAGGCTGTGATAGGAATGACTAGTAATGCCATGAAACTTCTGCCTTGTGCTGCACAGGTGTGCTGTGAAAGCAAGGAAAAACTGTGTAAATGACACTAGAAAAAAACAAAAGTTGGAAGTTTCTTCATGTGTACTGGCAGTAAGCTTGGAAAATGCCAAATCTGGATCATAATTTTTTCCTCTTTTCTTTTTCAGCTACTCTTGTGCTTAGTGTGCATTGTAACTGTAATAGCTACAGAGCTCTGGACACGTATCCTTTGGTTTGTTCAGCTAAAACGTCTTTTGTTAATAAGTTTTTTCATCAGTTTTGCATGGAATTGGCTTTACTTGTATAAGGTAAGGTCTCTAATCTTCTTGTCTTTTAGGCTTAAAATTTTAGAGTTATGAGGAAGTTATTTAGTTCCCTTAGGTAGTTTACATAAAGCTTTTAATTAACCACAAAATAAATAAAGGGATTAACATTTTGTTTTGCATGCTGATGGGTGTGTTAGGCTTAAAGAACAAAAGAAATTCTGAGAACTTTATCCTACAGTAGAGGTGCCCAAAATTCATAGAGTACTAGAATAGAACTCTGATTTCACTGTGTGACCTTTGACTAAAGCAGCTTGGTAGAAAAGTTATATGAAAATATATTGTGAGGAGTTTTTTCTTTTTGAAGATTCCCTGTGTTTGAATTGCCAAAGGACTAAACTCCAATATTCAAAGATACAAGTTCAAGGCAAAAGTCTCAGACTCTATTGGGAGGATAACTCAGAGCTAGCCATCATGATGGGTTTTGTCTATTCCCAGGAGGTGCTTGGAGTTGAACTCCATTAAATTGTTAGCAAACTTCTCTTATTATATATTTACATGGGGAGTTACTATTACAGGGGGGTGTAATGGGGAAATTATAATTGACATGGAGGACTATCCCAAGCTGGCTAAGAGCAAACAGGGATAGCTGAGGTGCAGCACTGCATGGATGCAGGTTCTCTTTGTTTCACAAGTCATTGTGTTTCCCTCAGTTGGCCTTTGCACAGCATCAAGCAGAAATTGCGAAAATGGGCCACTTTGATAACATCTGTGCTGAGAAGTTGGACTGGCGAGAAAGTCTTTTTGGTAAGTACTTGTTTCGTTATTTTGTAATAGTATTTAAGATCACAAAATAATAGTATCCAAGGAGAGTCACATATCTTCATGAGTAGTACACTGAATTTTCCTCAATACATGATTCTGTGGTTTTACCATTTTTCCATTCCATTAGACTTTTCTAGGCCTTTGGAGGAGAGCTGATCACAAAACTGTACTTGGAGCATGTCACGGTGTTCCTTCTTTTTCTTTTAACTTACCCATGATTATTTCCCCAGCTCCCCTCCCCAGAACCATCCAGTGCCATTTACCAAAGACAGGTGGGCAGAGCTCATGAAAAGGGTTGTTTTCTTTCCATCTGCCAGGCCTGTGAGTACAAAGGACTTGAGGAATTAGATCTGTAGCTGTTTTACTTGAGTGTTACTATTTTACAGAGAAAGCTGATTTTTTTTTTTTTATTAGCTGTAATTAGTATCCAGTGCTATAGCTGGTGGATGACTGGTGGCAACTCTTAAGGACTGCTTGTTATGGTCTTCCCTTTGTAATTTATTGACTTTGATTATTCTGTTTATGACAAATTTCAATGACTCATGTTCTGACTGCACTAATACCAAACTACAGAAACACTGATGTTGTAAATGACTTGTTTAAAATGTAAAAGTTCCCTTAAGAAGTGAGACTTTCTGCCTGTAAATAAAATAGACCCTTGAAATCTAGCAAGCAAAACAGAGAATTTTAATCTCATCTGCAGACTGACAGATGAATAATAACACTGGGAATGGCACTGTTTCAGTAGCTGTGCACACATTGTGCTAGATAATTGTTCTCACAGATGAGACTCTTAGCCCCTGAGGCTTCTAGGGAATAAGTTCATCAAATAAAGAGAACTTTCCTGACTCTGCATGTGAGAACTTCAGGTTCTTTTTTCTTTCTAGCCTTCCCTCTCCTTCCTCCATCACTATGACTGGATAAACTACACTGCCAAGCTGATCTCAGAATTGTAAAAATAAATCTGAGCTTTGAACCGCATCTAGAAGAGCTCTCTTACATCTGTAATTGAAATGCTACTTTCTCTACTACTGCTGTGTCATAGAATGTATTTTTAAGAAGTTGTAAAACTATGTCTCTGCTTTGACAGAATGGCTTAGAAGCACATGGACATTACAGGACGATCCCTGTCAGAAGTATTATGAAACTCTACTTGTAAATCCTATTTTGCTGGTTCCACCAACAAAGGTACATGCCAAGTCCAAAGGGACTGTTCGTGTTGATGTTTCTTGTTTGTGTGACAACACTGTTTTTCTATTTGTATTTTTCTAGGCCTTGGCAATTACTTTCACCAACTTTGTAACTGAGCCTTTGAAGCACGTAGGGCAAGGTATTGGTGAATTCATCAAGGCACTGATGAAGGAGATTCCGTTCGTTCTGCAGGTTCCAGTACTAATTATGATGGCTCTGGCTGTCCTGGTTTGTATACATTTATCTTATGTTTAAGAGCTCAGTTTTATTTTTTATATATTATTTTAATTTATATTTATTATCTATTATTTATTTGTTATTTTTACTTAACACAGGTGAAATTACTTCTACAAGGCAATTTTTTCTTGACCAAGGCTTCACAGTACAGGTGGTTTAGCAATTAAAATAGCCAAGTTTGTATTCAAAACACAACTCCCCCCTTCTCCCCAAGTGGTATAAAATAGCATTAAACTACTTAAAATCTAAGACTCTATGACAGTTTATTGCAGCTTAGTTCCCATTTCTTCTTTGTGTCATTACACAGAGATGCATATAATTGGCATTTTGTACACAAAAGCATTGAGTTAAAACCTTCAACAACTTCAGTGTAGCACCAACAATGAACTGCACCCAATGTGGCAGTTCCTGCAGTGTGGTCAGACTGTAGAAAGCTTGAATTTTACTGCAGCCCTTCTGATCACCTGAGCTTTTCATTCAGGGTCTTGTAGATGCCTGACTTTGATATCTATGTGAGAACCACAGGCTGCAAGTATGTGGTGTTTTGTTCAGCTTGGTTTTTTCCCTCCCCCAGGCTTTTTGCTATGGTGCAGGATCATCGGTGTCTGCGTTAAGATACTTAACATCTTCTCAGAAGAAAAGTCTTCCTCCACCTGATAGTCAACAGGAGCAAATAGGCTTTGGGCAGTACGATGGGAGGCAATCAGAGGACTATTACTTGCAGAAGCACCCATATGTGTACAGAGGACACCAGGACAGAGGAGATGGCTCTGCGAGACCTCCCCTCACTGTGAGAGCAGCGAATGGCAGCAGGAACCCCGACACAGCACAGACCAGCAATGAGCCGGACACACACGTACAAGAGTCTCACAAACCAGAACCTAATGTTAGTCCTGGTGCTCTTTGAGCTGGGATTAAATTGAATAGATTTCAATGTCACCTGATAAACACGCTTAAACAACAAGCTTAACCCAAATCCTGGGGAGAGAGGAGTTAAGGAAGTACATGTTTCCTGACAGAACAGTTTGGTAGAGCTGTCTTGGACATGTTTCTTTCTGGAAAAATACTTTGCAATGGCTAACTGGCAGGAAACTACTGAATTAAAACTCTTTAAGACTTCAGTTTTGAAAGATCAGTACTTATGTCAGCCTGGGCATTCATGATTACCCCCAGGAGAAAGGGGGAGAGGGAAGTGCTGACTTTTTTGTAAACTAGAGAAAACTCAAAACAGATTTATACCCTACATTGTGTATATTTACATGCACTGTTACCCCCGGGGAAAAAATTATACTACTCATGCTTTGGGTGAGCTCTGCCCCTTGAGCTGAGGTGCCCTTGAAGCCATAGATGCTGTCACTTTAGATAGCTTAATTAATAATTATTATTAATTTTTTTACAGAATAGGTTGTACACTGAGTCTGAAGTTCATAGACTAGAAACTCTCAAAGCGGAAAACCATACTGAGGAACCTGCAGTTGAGCAGCAGAAACAGGAGACAGGCAAAGCAGAGCGAGAGGCTGGAGAAAACTGTGATCCCAATAAAAACCTAGAAGGGAAAAGCTCTGTGATGGAGCAACGTGAAGAGAAGGAAAAGAGCATTTTACGCGACTCCCAGGAAGGAGACTAAGGAAGGCCCGAGCTCTGCTGTAAGTGTCGTCTAATCTTTGGTTGTCATGTACTTGCTAATTCTGCTCTAGTTCTCCAGTGTCCGAAAGAGAACATCAGTAAGGTGTAAGGTGGGGTTGTAAAATCTGGGAGAGTTATAGGTACTGTGTCTGGAATTTGAAATAAATGTGTTAAGATAATAATATACGTTTAAGTGGCCAAGAAAACAGGCTTATGGGGTGTTGCTACTTGTCGGAAATCAAGTTTGTGTAATAAGTTTTGGGTAAAATTAGATTCTCAGTGGGGAAGCACTGATACTCTGATGTAGCAAACACAAGCCTAGCCAGGTAACTGTCCAACAGCCTCAAGGAAGTTACTGATATTCCTGTAATTCACATAACACTAATCACAGCTCAGATGGAGGTCTATCTTTGGGTTTATAGTCTGTAAAACCAGTTGGCTGTTTGTCGGCTCAGTTTTAGGACAGCCAACTGATTTTCTCCTAGTTTAATGATTTGCAGAGTGAGAAGCTGATGTGTCAGATGAGTTTTAGGGCAATTCAAAGCTGAACAGGGAAGAGGAAGCAGAGTAAAAGCATCAAAGCTCAGGATGATAAACTGATTGGTGATTTTTTTTTTGAAGAACATTCTGACGTTTCTCCTTACAAGCAGAGGGAGGAGTTCTAGTTTCAGTAGGATTCAGATTTCAGTGCCTAAAAAAAGCTGCAAGAGAATATTTATAAATCTTTCAGTAATTGTAAAATAGTTTGAATTATGTGTCTGTTTATTCTTACATTGCCATTTCCCTCTGAAGCTAAAATTAACTGTAGGTTCTTCTCTAGGGGTATAATACTTCAATAAAAACAGGACATCATTTATAAATACCCAAAGTGAACAGTTTGCCACCTTTGCTGTTAAAATCAGTGGCTTCTAACTGAAGGTACCTACAGTTAAACCAGGCACAGCCCTCAGGGTTCCCCAGAACTGCCTCGGGACTGGGATCTACTGCAGGGAAAATGAAGTTACAGTGGCTGTTCCCCAGAACTATCCCAGCATAGCACATCGTTAGCAAGAACAGAAGGAATTGAGGTCAGGTAATAAGCAGCCTATGAGCATTTACAGCATGTGACATTTGAAATTCAGGTACTGCAGAAACTACACTGTGTCCCTGGGAGTTCGTGCCAAGTGCCCACCACCCCTGTGATTCTCTGGTGCATGGACTTGTACCACACCATATGTAGAGCAGCATGAGCAGCTGTTACTTGAAAAGAAGTACTTCTAAAAACTTCTCCTGATTGTAAAACTGTGCTGAGTTAATGTAAGAACCACTTAACTAAGTATTACCAAAAAAACCCATCATGTTTTGAAAAAACTTATATTTTATTAAACAGAACTAAAACCAGGGTTTAATTTTTTTAATAGAAATGATTGTTGCTTCCAAACTGTGTTTCTGAAAAGACAGACTAACTACCGAAGCTATTTCTCAATTTTTTTTATTTTTTAAAAAAAGTATAAAAGAAAACAGGACCTTTTTTTCAGGAGGTACAAAGCAGGGGGGGGAAAAATCAAGTTTTCTTTAAAAACAACATAAAAATTTAGGTCTTACACTAGATTGAGACAGTAGTAGAATCCACACATGAGCACTGATAACCTTGACAGAGAAAAAATTAATGTTGATAGACTAGAGACAGTTAAGAGGGAGAGAGAGTAATGGTATCTCAGACTGCTATAAAAGCAGCTGCCAACTGCATGAGCAGGGGCAACTCTATAACTACCAGTCACACGTGTGATGCTGCTGCTATTTCTATGGAAAGTCATTAGAAAGGAGACAAAACTACTCATTGCAGTCATCTTTAAAAAGGCAAACAAAAATGATACCTAAGATGCTGCTGTACAGTACATTCCTGTGTGTGTGTCTTCAGCTAGAATTTGGTCCCTTTATAGCTGGGGGTAAATGGACTCTCTGTTCATCCATTCTCTTAGCTTGTGATCGTAAAATGAGGCTGAAAAAATCCTCATCTGGTACAGTGGATCCTTTTGCAGATGCTGGAGGAGCACATCTTTGATCATCCAGTCTGGAACCCTACAGACAGACCAAGAGATAAAGCTGCATATTTACAGGGACAGATATAATAAATGAACAATATAAGTGAAAAAACTCATAAAAGCTTTTGTTTTCAGATTTAGAGCTATTATATAGATTTAATTTTAAGTTTTGTTTCAAGCTAAACTGGTCAAATGAAGTTACTAAGAATGCAAGTTAAGCTAAAATGTCCATATGTATCTGAAAATACCCCCCAACTGTCCTATTGCAGAATGAGATTTAAGTGTCCTTTGTCCAGAAGAAGAATTTTAGCACTACTGTGCGGTATTTTTAGTCTCATATACAGAAAAATATAGTTGTCTTCCTTTCCTTATACAGGGAGTAAAAAATGGCCCCACTGGAGTCAGATTTGGAAAGGCAATACTGAAAGGCACCTCCACACTGTAAGGACAGGAACAGTTCAGTGACAGAGTTACAGAGCATGGGATGGTTTCTGTGCTCCTTTCACACAACTGCCCTCCTGGCCAGCTCCTACAGGCACCAGGTCAGGCTGCAACAGCTACGGCAGCTCCTGTGCCTGAGCTGGGAATTAGCATTCTCTGTCAGTGTAGGAAAAGCTTTCAGTACTGGATGGACCTTGGACGGTCATCCTTCAGACAAAAAGTCTCAAAGGACAGCAACCCTTTTGTTGCTGTTTAAACAGAAGCTAGTGCTTCTGTTTAAAGCGCTAGCCTCCATAATGATGAGAGGGGATTAAATATTTTTCCATGCCTTAAAAAGACAAAATATATCATACTAATTTCTAGGTTCTTTGCTTGTCTCAAAGGAGTAAACAGATAAGCTGCTAAAACAGAACATGATATTTCATCAGGTTGAAATTCAATTCCAGGTGCTTCTTTTCACCCCAGCTAACATACTTACCTTTGGAGAACTCAGTATCTGAACTTTGTATTTTGAGATGCTTATCAACTCATTTAATTAAATTCTTTTTGGTCTAAGTGGTATATATACCATGCTCTAATTGACAATCAGCCATCTCACCTGCATATTGCTATGAACTATCATTTACACTAAACATAATGGGAATGATGACCAAAACTTGAATACTAAATCCTTTAATTTCATTTCATAGGATTCCTGGTATATCAGGTGCCTTACACTTAAAAATCATTTTAATATTCATTTTAAGAGCCTCACTTGTTTTCCTTCACTTTTTAAGGATTTTTTCTAGAAATAGTTACCATAATATACATTTTTGTTACTTGACATAGTTACCATGGTATATATACCAAATTTACACTTACTAGACACTGGATAATTTAAAAAAAAAAAAAAAATCAAAACAAGAAACAGAAATTGTAAAAGAACCCCAAAACTTGAGGAAAAAATCCTAATATTTTGTTATATTCTTCCTTATCTGCCAAATCAGTATGTATCTTAAATCACATGGTAACCAAGCAACTCAATAACAGGAGGCACAAATCACATCCCCAGAGACTCAGAAGCTGAAGAACTTTTGTTAAGCACTGACCTGGCATTTTATCAATATATCAAAGAAGTCATCATCCAGCTCCCTGCTGTTGCTGGCCATGAGGTGCCCCAGCACGGCCTGGCTGTCGCGCTGGGGGAGGCGCAGCCCGGGCAGGTTGTTCAAACTGGCGCGCTGGTCGTCCAGCCGGCGGCTCTGCGAGCTTGCCAGGAGGTCCAGAAACTCATCTGTGTGTGGGGACACCACAGAAGTGGAAAAGGCTGGGGAGCAGGAAGAAAACAAGTTAGCCCAGAAATAACTGTAACATTTCTGAAAAAATTTCTGTAGTGAGTCGTGCACGCAAATACATTTTGAAAATGGCATTTGGCAGAAACTCAAGTCAGATACGGATTTTACTTCAAAAAAAAAATTACATTTTCGCATTGTTTTAGGTGGAGTAGAGGATTTTGCCACTGAAGCAGCTGGGAGTCTGTTCTTCTCCTGGAAGTAGCACCTCTGGTCGTCCATTCTGTTGCTCTGGAATCGACTCAGCAGATCAAAGAACCCTTCATCTGCCATTGTCTCTCGACTGCTTTTCTGAAAAGGAGAAAAGATTTAGAGGTATTTGGAACTTAAGAGTATCTAAAGCTGGGACAACTGCATCAGAGTTTAGTCCAGTCCTGTTTCATATTTGTGTATCTGATATCTATTAAAATCAATTTTTTTAGTCATCCCTTTCTATACACAGAGATTTATCATAAGAGGAGATATAAGAATATGGCAGCATTTTTGTAAGGTATAATATATTAGAAACATTTCATTCTCTCACATGGAAAGAAGCAGTGCTTGGATCATGGTACAGCTGGAGTTATTCCTCCTCAGCCATTAATCCACTGAAAAAAACCCAAATGCCCATGACAGAAGAAAAGCAACAAGAACAGCAATGAACAGTTTCCATTGTCTCCTCAGGTTTATGATCAAATGCCTTTTATTTTTAACTGAGTTCTGTCAAGAGTGGACATAATCTAAAATGTCCAAAATATCTGCTACTGCCTGAATCAGAGAAACTAGATTTTGTTAAGTTTAGAGAAGTAGTGTCTAGAAGAGACTTAGAAATAAAATACGTGGGTAAGCTGAGCTCTAACTTTAGAAAATCCATGAGGAATACAATGGTTTCAGTGTTAGGAAAAGCTTAAAGCTGGCACCACCCATGAGACAGCTGTAGAATGGAAGATTCTGCATGTTTTACAGAGCCACAGTGTTTAAATGAAGTTAAAGTGAAATGGACAGTTGCAGGAATGTGTTTTCCATAATTCTGATCAGACAAAGATGAGTGAAGGCGATGATCTCCACAGCTCACCAGACCTACCCTCTGGGAGTTGGGAAGTCGATGATCAATAGAATTACTGGCATCCTGCAAAACTTTGGAAGTGGTGCTGGTTTTGTACTTTTTGCCTTTTAGTCGATTTACAAAATGCAGTTTTGCTGAAGGTTTGGCAACCAGTGGTTTCTGTTTAGCAAGAATCTCACTGTTCCAGTTCTGAACCTAAGAAAACAAGAGTCATGAAATTAAGCCTTGAGATTTTAATTACCTCTTACTTGCTGCTGCTTCTCCTTCCCAAAATGAAGCAGCTTTATTTTGTTCATCCAACCACAAGGATGTTAAAACTTTGGGTTTGGTTCTGTTACTTGACCTGGGATTAGTGAGCTGTTGTTGGCTGGAGCAGGTTAGCGCTGTTACTGATTAGGCTGAGACCTGTTGTGTGACACCTGATGGATTAAAATGTGATCAAATAGTGTATTTAATTAAACACACTGAAGTTGTCCTTGCTGACTGCAGTGCAGGAAAAACAGTTATAATGTAAATGCTGAACTGCAGACACAGCTGGTATTTCCCACCTGACATTCTTAAAACTGGAAAGAAAAAAATTAAAAGCCCCCATATTACAAAGTGTCAGAGCAAAAAAACCCTTATACCAACCCAGATACTCAACAAGCCTTCCTTGAAGTCCTTCATATACACAAACTTCTCAGTAAAGACTGAAAAGGAAGAGGGAGAATAATGCCAGCACAAGAGCAAACAGGAATGACCATCTTGTTTCACTAAAGATCAGAATGGATAGCTTTGTCAACCTGTCAGATTTTCCCTAAAATATCTTCTAAAATAAATAGAATTATCCACAAAATAGCTTTATCCACAACTGACAGACTCTTATAACTGAGTAAAAACAAAACAAAACCTTTTCTTTCCTGATTCAACATCACTAAGCATGAACAGTCACAAATCTTCCAGCAACTGTGCCTACTGGATTGCCTTTTCAAGGCTTCCTGAGCACCCGCACACAGACTGTGACTCCAAGAAGATGGCATCCTGTCCACTGAAACCCTAGTGCTCCTGGTGTGCATTGCTGTAGATATCAAGGATTTCCATGGAAGAATCTACTCAATAAGTACGTTGAAAAAAAGTCCTTTATAAAGTGCTAAACTGCAATAGTAGATTAAAGCCAAAAATCTACAGGAAACAGTATATTTAGGGCACAGACTATCAGAGGATACACATTTTAAAAGTGATCCCAGATAAACAGATTCAGAGAGTAAGAAAACACAGCTGATGGTGGCCAAAAGCTTAGAGGTTCCCTGCAGAGGCCTCACCCTGGACTAAACAGTCTTTCTAAATCAGTACCCAAGCAGGTCTTGAGCATTAGCGCTGACTTCAGCTGTACCCACTGTCCATGTGCTTTGAGATTTGATCAACATGATGACAGGCTTTGCCTCACTTGAAGAGAGGGGAAAAATATCAATTTCAGTGTGCCACTGGAGTCATTCATGTAGAACTGCCAGCCCAGTATTGAAAGGCAGATAGAACTGAAGGAAAACTCTCATAGAGTGACACAAGGATTTTAATCAGGAACTCCTGTCTCTAAGAGATTTCTCTGAGCCTGGGGGGGGAAGTTGCTTTGCTTATCAGTGACTCAGGTGCAGCATTTCTGCAATAGCACCCTTACTCAAGATGGATATTGAAGCTCCTGATGGCTTGCAAGTTGATTGAAATCCCAAAAGGAAAAAAACCATATATTTTAAGTGCCTATAAAATGACTGTAGCCAAAGAAAAAAAATGTTCAGAACAGCTGAACTAAAGCTTAGAAATTTTACTCTGAATCACTCATGCTGCAACCTCAAACCATCTCTATAAAGATATGAAAAGGAATTCCTTTGATGCACCTACAGGACCTCATTCTTTCTTATTTGTGCAGTGAATAAAGCAAGCTTTCCACAAGCCATTACAGCCATTATCTGTGTCACACACTCCACACCCACACAACAAAACTATTATTTGTTAGTATGGTTAGACCTGCTGTTATGTAACTCCTAAGATCAACTAAATTAAAAGGGGAGGCACGTGGCACATCAGCAAACCCTTAGAAATGTTTCACTGCAATCTCAGCAGCAGAACAGAAGCAAAGTGCCAACCTTTTCTGGGGTTAATTTCATAAGTTCCATGTTCTCCATGCTGTGACGGCGTCCTGCTCTCGGTCTGGTACCTTCAAGAGAGAATCAAGTTCATCTTTTTATCATCAAAATTTATGGTGATTTTTAATCAAAGCTGTGGCTGTACTCATCTAAGGTCCAAGGCACAGCCATTCTGACTTCCAAAACGGTGCAGGTAAGTATATCAGCAAAGAATAACTAACCACTAGTAAAAGCAGCTTACAAAACCCACCCAAATCTAAGCTACCTAAGTTGCTTTCATAGGACATGAGAGAAGGACCTTTGAAAAGAGGAACAGCAAATGGACTGGGTTCTGCTGTAACCCCAGTGTTGCTGAGATGGCAGGAAGAGAAAAGACAGGATTTGACAGCAAATAGATACATCTCCCACATTAAAAAAGGGAGGGGAAGACACGGACACAATTAGAAACATCATCTGAAGAAACTAAGTAGTAACCAGTGATTCACAATGTAAATCCTCTAGAAAAGGAGGTGCTGAAGGGGTCCAATACTGCAAAAACAACTGTCTTTTGTTGGTGGGGGAGAAAACCAAGCAAACCTGCACACCAGTGTGGTCAGTAAAGAACACAACACTCTTTCTGAATGCTTTGTTCGAAAGTATTGCAGAAAGAGGCACATACCATTGAAACTGTTTTCTACCACATGGCTTTCTGACATCATGGAGTTGTTTGTACTGTAGCTTAATCCAAGAACCATTTGAAGATCTGAGAGATTAAGTCTGGCAGTGAGTTCTCCACTTCTGTCTCCTACCTTCAAGCAAATAAAATAAGCAATTATATTACCTTAAGAAGTACACACATGAAAGTGTAAAGCAATCCTTGTCCCCTAGATTTCTGACAGGAAAAGGCTGAAAAGGTTTTCCTGCTTGAATACTGAGAGAACCATCTTTTTTAATGAAGTACCTGACAACTCATAAAGCCTAAAATAATCTCTAATAGGCTACTCAACTTGGATTCCATGATGACATTATGAAAGGTGACACTAGAACTAAGCAAGCTGCAGTGAGATGGGGCTGAAATGATGTGGAATTAACTATCTCTGCCTTCAAAATGCATTCCATTACTCAAAATCAAATGCATGGATACACCTCCATAAAACCACTGTGTAAGTGAGAGCAAAAGCCAACAGTCAACAGTGGGAGTATGCAAATCATACCTCTCTTGAAATCTCCAGGTGCCTTTCTGCAAAGTGGATAGCTTGGTCATGGTTTCCCAGAGCAGTATATGCGTTCCCTAAACTCCAGCACGCTCTTCCTTCACCAATTCTGAAAAGCACACACACATTTTCAGTTACACCTTTACCCGCTGAACACCAGGGGTCAGGTTTGCACAGCACTGCCACAGTAAGATCGCTGTGCCAAGAAAAAGGGAGGCTGTCATCAGAGACGGTTCCAACACCAACACATTAGGTATTGTATTTAAAGAAGTGTGATCTGGGTATTACCATAAATATGAACAAATCTAATCACAATTTTAAGCTCACAGCAAACAAGTCACTCAGTTTTGCAAGCATGGAACATTGTATAACCTACTTTGCTTGTCCTCAGATTGCATGCCTTATCATTCTTCCTATATTCTGCTTATTGAGAATATGTACATTGTAGAATATGTACATTTAAATAATGTAAAAACTTTTAGTTGTACCCAACATTATAAAAAAGGCCTTAGAAATCATGACTGTAATACAAACATTACTTGCTACTGTGTTATTTACCTTTCCCCGCCTCCTCCCATATTATTAATTTGTGGACAAGTTGGAGACAGATTTTTATGAAAGTATGCAAAATTATTATAATGGAGTCATGAAAGAGAGATCTGCTTTTTCTTTCCTTAATTTACAGAGGCAATGCTGACAGGAGAAGATGTAGAGACAGTCACTCATCAATTGGTCTTTCATCTCAGACTCATTAACTGCAATACCTTCACGAGGAACTTTGGTTTTCCATATGAAAACCAGAGCCCAGCACTGCAGGGAATTCACATTAATTCAGCTGTCACATACCGAACAATGACAGCAGAGCTGGAGGTAACAGGATTTGCTGTAAGTGTCACACATACATGAAACAGTGTCTTAGGGCTTACTTATCATTTAATTCCTGAGCAATCACCAGGTGTTTCAGATGATAATCGATGGCTTTCTCGTAGTCCTGGAGCAGAGTGTACGTGTTCCCGAGGCTGTAGCAGGCCTGTGCTTCCACAGCTCTGTCCTTCAGCTGCCGAGCCAGCTGCAGCGTCCTCCTGGAAGAAAGGGTTAGTCACCTCAAAAATCACTGCAAGGAAAACCTTTCAAAAGTATCCCTGCACACCTAAAAATCAGTTATACAACTTAAACAAATTAGGAAACCTGGCTGGCAAATTACCGGCTAATAAATTACTTACTATATTGTAAACTCTTGCCTTGCCCTTCTCAAAGTATTTCCATCTATTTCATTCAAGGGCAGGCTGATCCCTCAAACAGCATCTTTTAATCTTAATTTATTGCTTCATTAATAATTTGTAGGAGTTTCCCTGACAGTATGCAAATTGACACAGTTTAGTACCAGTGTTACAATAATGACTTGCCCATCAGCAGAAGCAAGGCAGGGCTATACTCACCAAGCCAGCTTGACCCTGCTGGGCAAGAAGAATTCAAGTGCTAAGATGAATCTGCTCAGTACTGAGGCTTTTTTCCCTTTCAAAAAGAACAGGTAAGCTCTGAGATCCAAGTAAGATGCTAATAACACCTGTACTGTATCTTTGCCAAGCTTTTACTTTCCCAAGTACAGCAGCAACTCTTTAGTGGTGCAGAGGTCAAGAAAAAAGCCTGGATTAAAAATACAGACTCAAGATGTAAATTTGTGTTGCCATGCACCACCTCTCTCAGCTACTGAGCACACCCAAGGCAGCCACCCAACTCAGGGTAGAAAAGTTACTCAGATCCTTCCAGAACTCGCTAAGAGCCAAGACAGTAATGCCTGGTTCTAAAATAAATGGGAACAAATGCCTAGGAACAGAAAGATGTCTGTCTACAGTGCTGAGAGGAATCTATTTAGAGTAACAAAAGAGTTAAAAAACAACAAAAAAAATACTAATCCCACGCTTAAAAGAATCAGAATAGTTAAACAGCTAGGAAAAATATTTTTGCCAAACAAACAGAAGTTTTATTCCTAAGTATATGTTCAAGATGGCTATTCTACAGTGAGCTACAGTACCAGACACAACAAGTAAACTGTACAAGAGGTATAAATTGTATTTAGAAGAAGTCAACTAACTTGTAGTATTCTGAAGCGGTTTCAAATTCCCCCAGGAATATGTAGGCGTTTCCAAGGTTGCTGTACGCTCTTCTTTCCGCTGATCTATCACCAAATTCTTTTGCAATTAGGAGACGCTTAAAAATGTGAAATAATTGCATTATTTACTCCATTTTATACTTTGTAACATACATTTGCATACAGAAATGCACATGAAAAAATGCATTCTTTAGGTCAGCAATGCTTGATAAGAACAGCCAAACTTGAACTTCTGCCATTAAGATTTAAAACCTGCATTAAAAAGCTTGCAACAAGATCCAACACAACGCATGTACTAAAGGCCAGGAGCAACCAGTGACATTCTGCTAGAACAGAAATCCTTATTAGCACATGTTGTACCTGTTCATGGGCTAAAACTGCACTCCTGAAGTTGCCCAGAAGATAGTGTGTGTTTCCCAGATTTCCAAAGGCACGTCCTTGTGCTGCTCTGTCACCCAGCTCTGTTACTATTGTCAGATTTTCCCTGTTTTGGGGGAAAGTGAGAAGAAGAATAGTGACTTTTAAGAGGTTTTTTTTCCTCACGTTCATTTAAATAGTAATTTAAAAAATCTTTATATAAAGGAAAAGGTAGAGATATTCTATTTTGGCCTATTTCAATGGCCTTTATGCAGCCACAGATCTGAGTAGGAAACATTTCCTGTGAAGTACTGAACTCCACTGCATTCTTACTCAAACCAGTGTGCTCACCTCTAGTTACATATACAAGTATAACAAGGTCCTGTCAACTCAGCCTGGTCTGAAGAGCACTACTGGTTTCTAACCTAAGGGAAGGACTTGTGAGGTGCACTAAAAATGAGGGCAAACAAAAACCAGTGGACTCTGCCACTGAAAACAACAAATTCACAGGTACCTCAGTTCTGCATAGAAGTGTTCCACAGTTTAGCTCATGACACTACAAATCTCCCATATTCTAATGAACTACATGATCATATCCTCCCAATCCCCAACATTTACTTACTCATAATAATTTGCAGCTTTTTGTAAAGCATTTTTCACATCATCTGGAAGGTCCCCTGGATCGTGAGTCCCCGCACTAGCTACATTTTTCCCCTTAGAGTGATACACATTTCCCAGATTATACAGTGCTCTTGCTTCTCCAACCTAAACCAAAAGTAAAACAAGGCATTAAAATTTCATGCTTCAAAGTCTTTTGTCACAACAACTATTTGTACAATCCACGGATAGGAAAAAAGTTTGTTAACTACTCATCAAGACACACTCTGCCCATTCTGAACATGCTCTTACCATCCACCCAGTCATACCCCTCAATCCAATTCTTTTGCATACTACTTCCTTTTGAGGTGCAAGAGACAGAATAATTCCTGAGGTCACTCACCATTAAAAATTAAATTAAGAACAGACTCACCACAACATAGGATAATATTTAACCTGGATCTGTAGCTTTCCAGGTGCAAACAATTATATTACAACTAATAGAGTATTACTGTCTAGAAGAAATAATTGAATATTCAGTATTTATTTCTCTCTGAAAGGGGCACACTCCTTACCAGTACAACAGCATTCAGGAATGTGTGTTAGCAGTTTACTTCCATATTCCCACACAATTCTTACCTTATCATTAAGCTCTCTGGAAATATCCAGATGTCTTTGACAGCAAACGATAGCTTCTTCAAAATTCCCAAGTACCTTTAAGGTGTTGCCCAGATTCCCACTAGCTTTAGCTTCTCCCAGTAGATCTCCAATTGTCCTAAAATTGCAGAAATTAAGTACCCAGGAAATAGTGTACAATTTGAAACCAAGCAGATGATCGATGTATGGCAGACAATTACATGAATTTATGATCATCTGCTTAACATTTTTTAAAAGTTCATGTCTTTTATGAAGAGAACAGAGAGAAAATTCTTAATGATGATGTTGAAAGACAGTCCCAGTATTAGAAATAGAGATTTAACTGTGTCTGTATTTTACTTGACTGTCATAGTCTCCTGTTACTTCCAAGACACACCAGTCTCCCAGAAAGCTCAGAGGCACCAGGACATTGCTAGATGCTAAATGAGACTAAGGCAAGAGACTGCCACTGAACCACTGACTCGTACCTGGGGAATAACACAACAAATTCCCACAAGATCACAGCACTTGAGCAGGCTAAGGCAGGGGGAAGAATAGATTTATGCCTAAATTGAGGTTAAGTACATTAGGTGCCTGTGTCTTTTAATGGATCTATACCAAATCAGTAAAACTCAGATGCATAAATAGCATATGAAATGCACAGGGTTTTAGATTTCACAATATTACACTATGAGTTTCACACAGATAAACATGAATAGGTTCTGTCCAGCAAACAAGAGAGCAGTTTAACATTCTGGAGAACCAGAAAGACTGAGTTTTAGAAACAGGAAAGGGTAAAGAAAGGGTGGATTTAAAGAAGCCACTTAATTATCCACAACCCTGGTGAGGCCTCAGTTCTAGGATTATGGTGCTAGACCAAGTATTAGCTGCCAGGTTAGAGGCCAACCAAGTGACCTGCCAGACCCCCAGCCCTCTGCCACCACCACGTTCACTCATTAGCCAGTATTAATAGTAGGGTTTGGCAGGAAAAGGAGCAGCCAGCTGCTCATCTCTACGGGAATGGGATGACATGGAGAACATGGTTAAGGACACAAGATTACCTTGCAAGAGTTAAATCATGGTGGTGGTATTCCAAGGCCTTTGCATATTCATGCAGGTAGAAATAAGCATTGCCCAGCTGGCTGTAAATAGCACTCAGGGTACGTAAATCTTCAGTCCCAACCTGGACAGCGGCTTCAAAGAACGACACACCAGCCCGGCAATCTCCTGCTTTGCACAGGCGCTCACCTTCCAGAGCCAGCTCCAGGCAGGAAGCCTCCATCCTGCACAATGGAAACAAGCAAACAGTCACTCAAATGCAGTACTTTGTCCATCACCTGAGTTCTGAAGAGGGTCTTTTACTCACAGGGCTTCTATTTGTTTAGGAAAGGGAGTTAGCCCCACAGTACAACCAGTGAGCTCTGCATTATAATATTACAGAAACTTGGGCTGAAATGGGAGTTGCAACTTCAATGGTGATGAGTAAACTTAACATTACAACAAACAGCTTCAACTTGTTTTCTTTCTTCTGCAGTCTGAGGGAGGAAATCACTGCTTTGTCCATATATAGCACCAGTAGGATTAAAAAATGCAGTTTTCACCATCTAGACAAACATAACCACTTTAATTTTTAGGCTGATACGATAGTTACCTGCAAATTGTTTTAAGAAAAAAATTCAATTAGAATATTCTGTGTGTCAAAAACCATGACTAATTTTCCCTAAATTGTTTCCTATGTAATTCAATATTCCTTGGCACTTCATTTCTTATATTGGCACTGCTATGAAAATTCTCAGTGTAAGAAAAAATACCTAGATTCAATTAATGACAAAAGGTATGTCAATGCAAGTTACTTCACTGATACACCACCATTCCAGAACCCACTGGAATACTCCTTATTATTATCAACAAATAATTATGTAGTTATACAGGTACAAAACACTGCAGTCATGGATGAATTTGCAGAAGATTACATTTTGAACAATGAATGAAGAAGCTGATAGAGAACTACAGTGACAATAACCATTCACGTGCACTTTCGCCACTGTGAATTCAGGTGTACAAAATGTAACATGTCATAAGTGTTAACGATTATATACAAACATTTCCTACTTTCCAGTTGTGGGATGCAAGGGAGGTAGAGAAGAGGAGGAGAAGGAAGACGATAATTTCACGTCGTGGTCTCGAACCGAGATGGTTCTCTAGCTTTTGCAAGAGACATGCATTTTAAAAAGCTTGCAAAAACGTCATCATGCTATTTTTTAAAAGATTTTTTTACAAAAAAAAACTCGGTAAGAGACATTCTGTAATTGTTTAAAAAGCGTGTCCTAATATTGCCAAAAAGTGGACAATTAAATGCTGGCTTTTCCAATTGTTATTTTAATAACAATTAAAATTAATAACAATTAAATACATTAAAATGTATTAATAATTTAATAACAATTAAAAACATTAAAATGTTTTGACAAGACATAGTGATGAAGTATTTAACGTACCTGAAATATTTACATTTCCTTATTTTCCTAAACTGGAAAAAAACAGATCATACAGAATTCTTTTCAGATCTGAGTAAGAAGAATATATATTTGAAAAATCCAAAGACTTCTCAGAGATCTAGAAGAATTTGGATCGTAAGTACAATAAGCTACCAACACAAACAGTACCATACCTGCTGGTCTTCGACATTCCACAACTTAAGCACAATGAGATGACAGACATAATTAGCTTTTGCAATGAAAAGCACTGTGTGCTTGGTAGTTGGTAAAGATGCCAACAGCAAAAGGTAGAGCGGGCATGAAGTTCTTGCCAGGCCCAACTTCTCAGGTTGGATATCCATAACACATGCAGTATCTTAGGTTTGGAAACTCTTCTCAGAGAAGTTAAAGCATTCCTACAACACACCACCTGGTTTTCACTACACTGTGTATGTGTTGAAGGTAAGACAGAAAAAGGCAGAAATGATTAAGTGTAGTTAAGTACCAGGCAGGAATGATTACACCATCAGCAACTGAAGGTTTAGGACTTAAAACACATCATTGGGTAATCTTAATCCTATCCACAGAGGTTCTCTCCGGGCACCTCATGTTAACTGACATGTCCAATTAGAGTGATGGCTAGAAAATATGGTGCTTCTCAGTGCAAAGATTTAGACCATTACACAGCCACATTCAGTCCCTTAGATTTTTAGCTTGAGCGGCTAAAAAGGGCAGAACTTTCAGCAAAATGTGTGTGTGACATAAGTCAAAATGCTACACTGGACTCCACTTCTGTAAGTGAATTTATTCCATAAAAAAAACCCAAACATGTTTTGACTTGCAACTGTGATGCATCAGCCACATGTTCAATGGAGAAAAGGCAAAGTTAAAAAAGGTACAAGGCCAATGTCAGAGAGTGCTGTGCTCCAGGAACTCCCCTGGCAGACTGCATTCATCTCATTTCACACACCCCAAAGACGCCAAATGCCAAGGCAGCACTACCAGTTTCTCAGGGAACTTGAAACATAATCGTTTGACTTTGCAACTCTAGATTTAATATAGCTTGTGAAAATGAAAGATCTGGGTCCTTTCATACACAACACAAATAACTACGAAGCAAAAGGCTTATACCCAAACTGATGAAAATCAGCTGTTATTACAGTGTTTCAATTCAACCTGAATTACAGGAAGTAAATGAAAATGGGAGCTAGTAATTGTGTGAGTAAAAAAGGAACTCAAAATTTAACATTACTCTTGAGCCTAACTCTAGAAAGGTTGTGTTAACAGGTTGCTAGAATCTTACAGCCAATTAAACTTTATTTCCACTTGGATCCATTCTTACTGACCTACCAATTCAGTTGCCTGCACCCAATATTAATATTTTATTCATGTTATATAAGAGCTATGATATCATTCAGTTATTTTAAAAGTTTGCTAGGCTTACCCATCAAGTACAAAACTGGACTCAGAAGGGGTTTGGTTTTGGTTTGGATTTTCTTTTTTCTTCCCCTCCTCTACTTAAAAGGACTTATGCAAATGAACACTTTTTTTGTTTTGCTGGGGTTTTTTTAAGATTTACGTAGGTGTTCTCCACCTGTCACTACTAATGGTTAAATAGCATGTTGGCAGACCAGACAGGGCTAGGCTATCAATGTTTTAAGAAGTCATTAAATAGTTACAAGGAGAATATGACATTACTTTCTCTGCTCCCAGGGCTGAATTGAATTATTTACTCAACACCCAATGGCCAAACAAAAGATACATTGAATCCCCAGAGAGGAGAAGAGAACAAGGCCCATTCATCTTGGTACTTCTAATGAAATCCTGTTCCTGCTGAACAGGATAACCTTCCCCTAGATATTACTGTGGAACTGCTCACACAGGGCTTCATTTTGTTATTCTGTCTATAGCTGCCTGGACCTGTTCTCTGAAAGGCTGGCATCTTCTCAATAATTTCTCATTTGTAAAACTACCTCATCCTTATCTGTCCCTTCTAAGCTTTTCCTCTTGTCTGGCTCCCTTTTTTTCCCCTTGTTCTTCTCTGACCTCCTTCACATTCTCATTTAAACCTTTACACTTATAAGAATATAAACCCTAAACATATTGCCTCCCCCCAACCTCCCTGGTTTTTTCTCCCATTTTGGAGTCTCCCTCCCTTCAGCTGTTCCCATCTTACAATAAAATCAGAAAACTGGTAAGAAGTAAGGCAATAGAAGAAGGCACTAAGACTCATTGATTACTACAATCTCTAAAGACAATTTAGTTTTAGTCAGTTCAATTCCCAGCAAGAGGATTTTTTGCTCGAGGGGGAACAAGGTTGACATCAATTTGCCAAGAAACACATGACACACCTGGACACAAACCAAACCCCCCCATTATATCTCTTTAGTTGAGGTGCACAGCATTACTAACCCCACAGCATCCTGTAATAAAGCTCACAGACCATTCCTGACTCCTGCACTTACTCTTGGCTCCCACACGGAATGCAGGAGCCTCCACACTGACCACTCCAAACAGCTTCACCCCCACTGAACACTGGTTCCCTCTGACTACACTGGGTGGCAAAGTCAGAAACAAACAACACACACACCAAGAAACACACACCTGGATTTTGGGTTCTTTTGCTCCAATCAAGATAAGAGCAGTGACAAGTTTTTGGTGTGTAAATTTAATAGGCCAAGCCAAGAAAGTCCTACAAATATTTACCCTATAGATCATTTATTAGCCCCATTTAGTAGCATTAGCATTTTATTTTCAGTCACTAAACAACAAAAGAATAAAAAATAGTGTCCTTCCACCAGCATAAGCATTTTTATAGCTGCTAAAGTGATACTGGTCAAGTACTGTGGGGAGAAAGAAACATCTTGGACAGTCAGAAACAGACTTATAGTAAAGCCTTTCCTTAGGAGTGGGCCACCAGCTTCTTTTAAAATCAGTTGTAATGGATTGCCAAAAAGAAGGAGAGACGAGTCAGAGCCAAATGAGCCTGGGAACATAACTGTGATTAAAAAATTTTTAAAACTGGTAACACCCCTCCCCCCTGTAATTTATGACCTACTATTTCCTGCATTAAATTTTAAACTACGACCTAATAAATATTTCCAAATTAAATTTTAATTTAAATATTAAAAAATTAAAAATTAATTACAATGATTGAATTAAATCATCATCAAGTTCCAGTTCAATATACTGAATTAATTTGCAGTTTCTCTAAATTTTAGAAAAGTTTAATATTTTTTAAAATTAAAAGTATTATGGCATGACTTTTTAAAAATGTCCATCACATTACAGTTCTTAGACAAAGGCTTAATAAGGCCATTAATATTTTATTGATAATATTTTTAATTGGTACCATTCAAGCCTGTACTGGAATACAGCATAAAGCAGTAAGACATTTTGCCCTGAATGTGCTTGCCAATTTTTTCAAAGTTATTTTTGACTCGTCAATTTAAACGAGACAATTGGGCATAATGCTTTTTTTATCCATTTACTTCTATAACAGTACCCTGAACAGCTCCTGCTTTCATTAAAAAGTGAGCAAGGATCTTCTGTGGTTATCTGGGGAGGACCAAAAGCATCAGCAACAGCATGGGGACACCTCAGAGGAAAGCTGGGAGGGAGGAACATTAAAGAAACAAGTAGCACAGAAGAACCATCATGCTCACACACTTAGGGATTCCTGGTGTCTAAGCCACACTATAAAGATTTTAGCAAAATAAAGAGAGAGAGCAGACAGTAAATTACAGTTTATTTCTAAGTTTTCTCCTTACTGACCATGAAAAAGCTCCTCATGCTGACTGCATTGCTAACTAGAACACTGTAGTTCTAAGAAATGGAAGACAAGACCAAACTAACAGCAATGTAACATTGTCAGAACATTTTCAGAATTAAATCTAAGCATGTGCTGTCTTACAAAAACAGGTAGAGCCTTACTGCTGTTAGCCAGCTATAAAAAGGCCTCTAAAGCAAGAATGACCAGGTTGGGAGTTGAATCATGCTTTTTATTTCTTTTTAAAACAACCATTCCAGTGTTCCAGTGTCCCTTCCTGCTGAATGAGCTGCAAGATTTACCCTTCCAAACCCACGCACTACACAATGCTTCTGTTGTTCAGGGTCATTAGAGTGAGTCTGCAATGCCAACACGTTGCCCCATGTCTGTAAAGGGGATTCAGAAGAAAAATTATAAAAGCTCTCAGAAGGAAACTCACATCTCCTCTTCACTTGCAATAACGGTACTTTTTAGTCCAAGGTTTCAAAGCAGTTTCCATCTATCCATCAAATCTCTTCATTTTAAGCAAGGAAAACACCAGCATAGGTGACAGTGTGCCTAAAAATTCATTGTTTAAAGAAGTAATGATGGGATAAGTACAGAGAACTGCAGCAGACAAAACTTAACAATTTGCATAGGCAGTCCACAGCCAGAAGAAGAGGGAGCAGGTATTACCCTGCAGGGATCATACTTCATATCATTCTACCCAAAACACAAAGAAATACAGACAATTACGTACTATTTGCTACCATGCACAGTTCCAATACTGTACAATCACACAACTATATTAATATAATCTCCTAGACAGCAAATGTAAATTTTCATCGCTCAAAAATCAAGAAAAGAAAAAAGTGGTTCAGTTCCAATAACTAACAGAGATATCAAACTATTTGTTGCAGCTTGTTTAGTTTTCTATTATTAAGAGCACTTATTCATCCACAGTAAAATTAGCACAGCCTTACCTGTATCGCACGTGGAAGGAGCGATCCTCGCGCATGCTTATCCAAGCATTACTGTCCTCCATGGAGCTGCATTATCAGCAGGGAAAGTAACACCGTCCTCTAGTAGGGTAAGTACTTCACTACAGAAAATTGTTGTCAGAACACCATTCCAGTTAGTATATTAAGAAGTTGGAGTCAAGATATCCTAAGCTTCTGTAGAAAAACTCTTCTTTATTACCAAGGTTAGGAGGTCACTGTCAGACTCATCTCACACCTTCAGAAATGTTCATGTTCTTTCATCTGTGGCCCTTTAGCTCCACTCAGTTTCTGCAAAGGGAACACAAGATGCTTGGCTTGAAGTCTCATAGTCAGTTAATAACTCATAACCATTTGCAGCTGATGTAAAAGCATAACACTGCTCCTGCCAAGCAGGAAACGTCAATCAAGAACTGAAAGGCAGAGCCAAAGCCTTCTACGTACATACGGCAATTCCTGTAGGCAAGTGAGAAAGCAAAGGAGGTTTAACAAAAACCAATGCTCTCTCTTCTCTTGGAAACTTTGAATAATTTACCCTTGTTAGTATTCTTTGGCCTCATGAAGTTCCAACCAAAAAGCTACAGAATGAAAGGCATACTACAGAATAGATCACAAACTGCTTTACACAGAAACAGTGCTGCTGAAACCCGGATAATCAGCTGAAGGCCCTCTGCAGTGAGAACCAGAAGGCAGAATCCCATCTGGAGATCATCCATGCTGGAGACTGTCCCACTTGGAATCCTAGGAGCACAGCAGCCAGCAAAGGTTTAAGATCTATTCTCTTTTCCCCTTTCTGCTCCCCAAAGAAAAGGGGGGAGGTATGGGAGCTTGGGAGGTGAGAGGTGTTGTGTTTACACTGGCTTGCCATTCCAAAATGCTGCAGCATCGTGATATGAGCTCCAGACTCTGCTTCAAAGGGATTGCAGCAGCCAACAGGTAGACATCAGACATGTTTAGGCTGGCTGGGAAAAGATTAACAGAAAAGAAACTCTGTATTCAAAAGTCTACCCACTTTTAAACATATTTTTAGTAGAGACAGTGACATATTTATTGCTCAGTACTAATATTACCTTCCTTTGCAAGTAAACATATAGTTGTGTAACTCACAAATGCATATTTCATCAGGAGACTGCAGAGGTGTCAGAAGACAAGAACAGAGCTCAGATTCAGAGCTGTCAACAGAAGAAAATGCAACCCTCTATATTTAATTGTCAATGTAGGCCATGCCTTTTCCTCTCATTAGTTTTATCAAGTACCAGCTTTACTTCCCTTTCCCATCACACTCTACCTTCACAGCAGCCCTCAAACAGACTATCCACATTCTTCCAGTTAAACAACTATTTTGCCCTTCCACGCTCATCACTAGAATTATTTGGCATCAACAAGTGGGTGTGGGTGTATTTTTGCAATTATGAAGTGTGACACCTCCAGTTTACCATACCATTGCAACCCACATACTGGGCAGTCCATGTTACAGGTATTTACTCTCCGGAAGTTTGTCCAGGCCTCACATCAGATAACTCACACAGGCAGATGGCTGTAAGCCACCCAGTCTGCAGCAACCATCCATGAGCATTCCTGCTGCCAACTTTAATTAAAAAAACAAAGTTATACTTAAAAGTACATCAGAACACCTGCATTTATTTAAATATCAGTTATTTTTAGCAGTACATGCCACATCACCTGTTTATAGCTTCACTGTATCTGAGCTACACTTCTGTCCTCATACTTAAGCTCATCCTCTGACTGATGCCACCATCTCCCACCAGCTGGAAGCACTACTCCTGCTTCCTTGCCTCCTTACTGGCCATACAGCACATTCCTAGTCTTGGGAGGGTGATATGGACACACCCACATTGGCCAACACATCATCATCACATATCCAACAAAAATTACTGGGTCTGGTCTTCATAGCTCGCTTCTTCACCCGTAAGTCATTAGGATGCCAATGACTCCTCCGGCCAGGCCGACGTGTAATCAGTAAGCAAACTTAAAGCACATTAATTAGAGTGATGAATTCAAAATTCAGAAGGTGGAAGTCAAACACTTCCACAGATGGCATCTCTCAGGTGTAAACTGGCCTTGGAAGGATTGTGCTACAGCAAACTAAGCCTTGCTCTTTCAGCTGATGCACGTGAACTACTGAGAAACTGCTGAGAGTATCTGAGTAACCAGCCTCGCCTGAGCTGATGATCAACACAGGATTGACTCAGGGGGCACAGGACTTCAGCAGAAAAGCCAAGTGAACTAACAGGCATCAGGAGAAGGTCTATGCTGCCAGCATAACTAACAGTGAAACAAGTTTTCTCCTAAACTTGCATTTTTAATTAAAATTTCATGTAGATTGGAAAAAATCACTTCAGAAGAAGTTACAGAAGAAACTAAGACACCTCCATCTTTAAATCTGACCAGTACATTTCAAGTTCTTGACAGTAATAAAACATTAGTTGCAATTTCTTTCCCAAAAGCCTGCATGCAGGCTAATAGTCCTAGTTACTGCAACTTCCAGACAAGCATTTCACGTTTTAAGGCATTTTCCATTTCAGCAACAATTTATAACATACTATGAATTTTATCACTATGGCAGACAATCACTTTAATCAGTTTGCAGTTCTTAGTTACACTGAAGGTCTATGACAGATCCCTTCATTTTAACTTCTGGCAGGAAACTGTTTTTCCAGACAGGTGCAACTTCATCGGCAAGAAAAGCCAGAAAGCCAATATTGCTATTTATTAGCAGTCTACAGAGCCAAGAATCACAATACAGTGGGAGAGGAAGATGATTTTTACCCCCTGCATCGCCTTAAAATGGTACTTTTCTGCACTTTCGTTTGCTCCTTCCCTCAACCCACACCTTCCTTTTTGGAGCTTGTCAGATGGTTAAAAGCATTGCTTTGCTTATCCTCAGTCACATGGCTGGCAGGCTGACAGATCCTGACTGGTCACTTGGGGGCTGAGCAGTTCTGTTCTTTCTGCCTTTCCCAAAAGGAGACGACCAAGTCATGCCTTCTCTACCCATCTGCTACTTCTCACAAAGCTACGGGAAAGGAACACCAGCCAAGTGAAGTCATCACTGACTGAGAGAATCAAAAGCTACAAGAGGAGAGTACAGACTGAGGCAGATCAATTGCACAAATTGTATTTCCTTAGAAAAACTAGCAACAGAAGTTTGTTGTTCCATGATTAAGGCGAATTTCCCAAAGGTGAACTAAGTTTGAGTTTCCTTTTGGGAAGATGCTATAGCATGTGCGAGGAAAAGAAAAAAGAAGAAGGAAAAGAAGCTCGAACTGGATTATCTGAAAACAAAGCAGAGCTTTGTATACCCTGTGGAGGAAGACACAGACTACACAACAACAAAAAAACCCAACAGTTCCATTACTGAAATAGAGATTAGCTTGTCTCCAGACCTTCAAAATATGAAAGAGCATAGAACAAGGAACACTCAGAAATAGAGCATTTTCTATTTTAGTCTTCAATGCTGTTCAAGGATATTTTTAAAATTTACCTGAATAAATATGCCTAAAATAAGCCACCCAAGAAATCTTTAAAATTCCATATCAAGTATTGTATTTACATAGCAAACAGCATCATCGTTAGCACTTCTGCAGTAATACAGATTCCCCAGTGAATGAACTTTAAGGCAAATGTTTGCCATGCTGGGAAAAAAAATATTTTTTCCAAACCTTGAGCACAGTACAAGTGATTAGTCATGAGAGTGGACCATGCAGATACAAGAAACATTGTACTAAGACCAGTGTGGTTATTCTTGGAAGCTTAATTTTCAACTCCTCTCTGCACCACTTCTGACAGCTGTTCAACAGTGGTTAGCTGACAGCACACAGAAACCACCTTCACCGATGAGGTGAATTTGAGGTTTCATTCAGGGTCATGATGACATGGAGCAATGCCTGCTCTGAAACACTGCCTTTGTCTCCCCATGGATTTATATGTGGAGCAGAAAACCCTAGAATAAACCAGGGAGCTTCTGTTAAAGGACTAGTTTAGCAGCATACAAGCCCCTTTCCAGCACACAATCCAAGTGAGGCTCCCATCACACATTAATGGGTTGCATCTGAAGGACAGAACAGGAAAGATGAGGTTCATAAACAACTATCTCAGCTGCTCTCCCAGGTGTGAGTCTAATAAAGCACATGCTGCAGAGCCTGTACCACTACAGAGCATGGGAAAGACCCAGCCTAAACATCCTGTGCTATCAGGCTCAACAGACAACCTGCAAATAAATTAATACCACTATCTAATGTTCTTGGTTCAGATGCTTCCTCCTCCACCCCAACTACATTACCATGTTGACTTACAAATATGGACCCACATGAATCTAAGGCACATTGCTGAATATTACAGACAGTGCTGAAATGGCTGGAAAGGGTGAGTACTGTACTGGCTGTGGCACACAGGTGACAATCTTGAGATGATTAAATAAAAAACCAAACCAAAACACAACAACAATAGGCAGAAAGCATTTCTGAGATGAATTTTGCTCACAATGGAGTGATGCTCTCACCACAACCACAGCTGGAAATGAAAGCATGGATTTGAATTCAACACTAGAGGAACACAGCTCCAGAGCTGTGTTCCAGCATCTATTACCTAACTGCTAATATGGTCCTGCATTATGACAGACATGGTTAATAGCAGAGATACTTATCACCCTATTTCTAGAAAGGTTTTTTTGGTTGTGGCAGAAAGTACATATCCACATTGCAAGTATATTCAGAATACTGCCATATTCCAGACCAACTCTATTAACTTCAGTAAATGCAAAGGTGCCCTATCAGGCACAGTAAAGGTATAGTATAGCTTTGTAAACAGAGATATTTAAGGCATCTGGCAAGGCTGCAGGACATTTAGTGACTTACAGTCTTAGAATGTGCTGTAGACAAAAGCAAACAAACAGCTAACACACATAATTCCACTAAGAAGAACAAAACAAACAGGCAACAAATGCACATATGAGACTGGTATTGGTGCTCAATGATGCAGAGATGGCCCTCGCAGTGCCTCCATCACAGAGTATCCTTCCAGAATAGAACATCCTTTTTCTAAGAGAATTGGTAATTAGCTGGAAAATAGCTTGCTACTTAATGTACATAATTACTGTCCAGCGTGCAGGTTAAAGAACCTGGTGTAGCTGACACAAGCAACCACTAGCATTTTTATTATACAGATATTCCTGCAGATAGTTAGGGTAAGTCATCTATTTAAATCCTGAACTAAGGCAATCCCACACTATGATAAAATAAGAAAGTAAGAGAACATGAAGTGCCAGCAAAATATAACTAATGTCTCCATCATAAAACTAATCAGGCAACTGAACTCATTCTAATATGCAGCAAGATTAAGATTTAAGACACAAGAAGATAGCAGAATAATATCTTCTCTTTACTTTAAAAAAAGGAGCAAAGTCAGAATAGCTCATAATTTTTCACATATTTGATACATCAAGGTAATAGAATTCCTTTTTTTTTAATCAGAACAAGTTCCAAGTTTTTTTTACAAATTGTCATTCACACATGGAACAAAATATTGTGCCACCTTCTTTCCAAGCATCCCATAACTGGATATGAGATTGGCATTTAAGCACTGTAAAATAAAGTGCTTAAATGCCACAATAGACTGCAATGACAGTTCACAACAAAATAATAACTTCTGATCTTTTTATTTGTAACAGAAGTTGAAATCATATTCCCACAAAATCAGTAAGAATTTTGTTACCAAGTTCTCTTTGTTACCAAGAAGGTAAATTTGAATGTTGCTCCATCGGGAACATCTCATTGTGCAAATTAACGTATATGAGGCCTCTCCCAGGCAACAAGACACTCAACTACCTTCAGTTTGGGAAATGGAGCATGTTACACGATGTGAAAGAACGCCACATGGGAAGAGTTCAGCACAAATGGTTGGCTATTTGCACTTAAACTGACTGAGCAAGTTGATCCCAGATCTCTCCAATAAAACGTTCCATGTAGCTCAGCTCCTTCTTGGCCTATAACATCTCTTTTTAAGAGATCTTGGTAAGTAAAAGAAGGAAGATAAACAGATTGTACAAGTACCTTAAAGAGAAATGGGAAAAGTTGTCTTGAGATTGCATAAATTCAAAAAAAATTAATAATCCTTAGAGTCACTGGCAGTAAAACACAACAGCAATTTAAGTGAAGCAATGTAGCTGCTATTTCAGATTTCCTACATTGCACTGTGATGCTCATTCAGAGATTAAGTAGACATTCAGCATAAAGAACTCAGTGCCACTCCAGCAAGGTTTCATCCTGCAAGGAGCAGATGTGGCTCTCATAGAACCTGTATGACACAACTGAAATGATCCATGACAGTTTAATGCCAGCAGCATTTCTGGGTGCATCCCCGGTGCCCCTCAGTTCCCGAGTATTGACAGCAACCATTAACCATCCTCTCTAATGACTCCTCAGTTGAACAAGCATAGCTACAACCTGTAAAAAACTGTTAAAGTGCAGGATAAACACAAATGAACACATACTACGGGGAGAAGACCATGTGTTGGCTTTTCATACTGTTTGTTTCTTATAGACACAGGTACAGTGTATTTATAGCACATCACCCGTGTAGATTTAAGCCAACAGCATTTGTTGAGGTGCCAAGTTGTAAATTGCTTTGCATATTCATTCTAACACTCAGGATGCAGGTGCAAATCTATTCAGAATCTATTCACTGCATTTTCTTCCCTCAGTGATGGCTACTGGACTGGAGGCCATTCTGCCCCCACTGCCCATGGATATATCCACTACTGACACACATTATTACACCAATATAACTGGGTCACAATAGTGCATCCTGCCCTCTAACAAACCAGTGGCTGCATGCAAGGAACAGAATTCCTAATAGGATACTAGCAGGGCAATGGTAGGAAAAAAAAAATGTAGCAAACAGAAACAGTACAGAAATAAAATAGATTTAGAGAGCCGTCTTTATAAATCACATATGGTTTATATTCCCAGTAAGTCAGCTGCATGAAAGCTTTCCTTCCTATTAGCAAAAGGTTTATAATACACAAAAGTTTTATTATATGAACAAGAACCATATTCCTCAAACACTGTCAAATTTGAGTCCCAAGAGGCAGCTTGACATTAATCATCTGTTCAACAGTACATACGTTTCAGACCATCTCTTACCAGTTTGTCCACTTTTGTTTGTCCTGTATTTTACGTTCCTAATATTGTGGTTTCCACAAAATACCACCACTTTTTTTCTTTTCAGGTACTATCATTTGTATAGCAAATTTGCTATTAAATGGCTAAAGAAAAGTTCAGGGTTTTTTCTGGCACCTGGTATCTCTTTTTTCTTTCATTAGCAGGAGCAGTTATAGCAATAACAGGTTAATCTCTTGCAAAGTCTCAAGATCAACACCTGCTCCTTGAACAAAACCAATTTCATTCTGATTTTAAGCTTAAAAACTACTGGAACCAAGAACATAGTTACCAGATCTGGGCACGAATTACTAAATTGTGGAAAGTGAAAGTGACCACACAAGGGTAACAAAAATCCTGAATTACAAAAAGTACAAATATCTTGGCTATTAAATTAAAAAAGTGCAACATCAGGGGAAACTAAAAAATGATCCAGTTTTAAGCAAAACAGAAGAATCCAGATAAACTATAAAAAAAATAAAAACTCCCCACACATTCAATAGTTTAAACTATGGACAAATAGCATTTATTTTTAGGAAAACACCCATGTCTTACTAAAACTTTTCCTTCCTAACTAGTGACAGACCAGGATGCCCTCTGAATCATACTGTGCTGTCATTTGTTGACAAAAAAGGTTGAGAATTGACATTGGAAACAGTTCTAGTAAAATAAGAATACATTTCCACCCTGGCAAGCTGCAGGAAGTAAGACTCAGTTTCAAAATTGATTGTTCCCTGCAGCATGCCACAAGAAACAGGTATTCTATGTTTTTGCAATGCTTTTACTCAACATTCATAGGAGGAGACTGGCTTGCTTACTACCAAAAGAAAATCTATGTGAAGAAAGAATTGTTGTTTTTATATACCTCAGGAAAAAATGAAAAAGCGAAGCATCAACAATTTAAAGCCAAGTGACAATGAGCACACAAGAACAGAATGGTAAGATGTCAATGAAAAGCTTTTCAAAACTTACTTGAACCTTCTAACCATCAAGTTGTGAAGTAATTCTCCAGCAAGAGTAGCTGGAATTAAGTAGTCTTAGGATGCTTGGAAAACTTTCAAGAGCATTTAAACAACAGCATGTTAAATAAAGCAGCAGACAAGACTCACATATGTTTCTTCTAGTCCAATGAAGCTGTCTTAGGTTTCAGGTAAGTTTTGTCCCAGTTTTATACGGAAGTACTAAAAGTACAAAGTCCTTCCTGCTGGAGAGGGATGCAGGACCACAGTTCAGAAGGCCTGGTAACCATTAATTAAACCAATAAAAAGCAACATTGTTATAAGAAATTAATTTAGAAGGACTGTAATATCAGGACAACTTTTTTTGCTACCATTTACAGCTCTATTAAAATTATGACTTAAACAAGAGGTACAAAGTTTCCAGACAAAATTTAAGGAGGGACTAGAATCTCTTCACTGATCTTTTTGAGACGCAGGACTCAGCACCTTCTCCCAAATTCTGAGATGGCTGCACAGCTCTCCATGGCAACCCAGGATACATGAACCCCGCAGTCGCTGGCAAGAATCTAACAGGAACAACACATTAGGCTGAAAAAGCTTCTAAAGCAGAAGAAAGGCCACAACTTCAAGGTGGGGTAAAATTTACGTCTGGGCAACTGGGCCAATAAAAAGATAAAAAATAATTTATCATTTACTCCGCTCCTCTATTGAAAAAGTGAAGAAGCAAAAGCAGAGGGGGAAGGACTACACTAACAAGAGCTACAGTCTAGTGGATAAATAAGACTAGGTCTGGTATAACCTGACTTTAGATATGCCACAACGTACTGCCCAACTCGAACCCGTGCAGAGCTCAGAGCTCCTTCCCCTGTGCCTGTCTCCCTCCTCGCGGTGTGCTGGGTGAGCCTCTGGTTCCGCTTCCATGAACAGCCCGTTCCACTCCCGCCCTTGGACTTCTATTTTCTGTTCATCACCTACACCCACCCTGTTAAACGCAGCAAAACTGCTCAGAGCTCCCTGTTGGTCCCGGCTCCCTCCAGAGACACCCGGGCGGTCTCTCCCTGGCGCAGAACCCACCCGGCCCGCCTGCGCGGCCACCTCCTGTCTTTGTTCCCACAGGGAGTCCGGCGGCGCCGGCCCGGGCACGGAGCGGCCGCACCATGACCGTGTTCGCCAACGCGCGGGGCCGCTCGGCGGCGGCGCTGGGGGCGGTGAGGGCGCCGCAGCCCCGCGCAGCCGGGACCGGAGCAGCTGCCGCGGCCGCGCTCGGAGCCCCCGTCCCGGCGCCGCGCTCACCTGTGTGCCGGGCCGGCGGTGCCGTGCGGGACCGGCCGTGCTGCGAGGGCCAGGGGCTCTCAGGGGCCGGGGGCTCTCAGGGGCCGGGGGCAGACCCCGCCCGCCCACGCGCAGCCGCTCCCTGAACGTGCCAATGGGCGGCGCGCCCGCCCTTCCCCGGGGCGCGGCGCCCAACGGCTGGAGGGTGCGGCCGTCGCGTCATTTGCACGGGCCAATGGGGAGGCGGCGGGGGCGGGGCACAACCCAAGGGGCGGGGCGGCAGGAGGGCCCCGCCCGGTGCGAGCTTCCAGCGGAGCGCGGTGCCGGGCACAGGGACGGGGAGCGGGGATGAGGCAGCAGCGGGCAGGCCCTGCAGCACAACCGCGCTGCCCCCGCCGGAGGGAAGCGCACGGCCGCGCTGCTGCACTGGTGCCCGTAGGAAAGCGGTGCTGCAAGTTCGCCTCTGCCAACTCCAACCCCCGCACATAAGGTGAAACCACGCGCTTTATGAAGCCGAGCTGTTAAGTCTGCTGCTTTTCCTCTGGTGCAGAAGCTCAAGAAGCGCTTTAGGGAGGTGAGGTGAAAGGTGTTTGGGATTTTTAAACCTGATGTTGGACTCCAGGACCACTGGGGGCTCTGGTACGAAGTTTTTTTGTCTATACAATTACAGCAGGATTACCGAGCAAGGACAGATACCTGGCCCTAAGCTCAATGCTCCTGTTCCCAATGCTTTTGTCATTTGTGCCTTCCTATTCCCTCCAGCAGTTATTCCAGGCTTACAGTAGTACAAACATGGAAACAGCCCTTCCAGAGAATGGTTCTAAAAAAGCTACAGTAGGTAAATAGACATTAAGTCTATAGATAACTAGATATTATTACTCAGACATTCCAGATTTTGATCCATGCAATAATAAAAGCTCTGTCCAAAACTGGCGAAACAACGGCACTTACATTCTAAATAAACTGGGTATGGAGACTACAAAACAGTGCAAACCATCAGACTGGATGAAAACTCAAATGAATAATTCATTTTCAGATGCATTAGGCTGTAGCTCGGATGTAACTGAAGAGGAACAAGATGAATTACTTTATGATGGAGATGTAGAAATAACACATAAATATAATAATAATTCGTATCATTTGAATGACGGTATTTGTACAGAAGATATTTCTGGTATTTTAAACCTAATGTGTTCTGAAGATAACAAATACGCAACAGCAAATTATGCAGCTCATCCACAGCCTGAAGAATTCTCCAGTCAGCATAGAAGCACCAAAGGAACAATGGGAGTTTCAACTGAAATGCCTGGAAGTGAAGCTTCCTTTAAGAAGGAATTCCCTGTCGGTAGTTCCAGTAAACCATACAGCAAAGAACATTTAACTACCTCAAAGATGTCCGATGTCCTCCTGCATCATTTTTCTGAGGGAGAGTTACTGAGCACATGCCAGTTAATTGAATGTGAGATGATACCAGAATCGTCCTTCACTGACAGTATCGATGACACTGGGAGCGAACCTGAGCCTTCAGAACACCTCAGAGGCCCTTCAGTGCAGGAACAGTGGGCAACTACCTTTGAAGAGTATCACTTAGAAAAGCACAAAGAGGTAAACTCTAGTGGTAAAAATGAAAATGTGTTAAGTGAAAATAGACCTGTTTCAAAGAAACCTTGCACTGGTAAGTGTGGGTGCACACAAGAAAATTCACAGCTGATTAATGAGAATGAACACAGACACACCTTTCAAAACATGAAAGATGAGAGAGGCCTGTTTAAGAAAACAGTTTCACCTTGCAAGCTCCAATATAGCCAAGGTCAGGCTCACTGTTGCCTTCCTGATTTCTATGAAGTTGCTTCAGAAGTAAAAGTACCAAAAAGAACTGACAATATTAACTCAGTTCCTACAACTGGGAGAGCAAAACCCTTCCCTATTTTGCTAAGTAAATCAGTAAGTGTGAACAATATGCTGGAAAATAAGAATTACTTCAATTCTGCTGAAGTAGAGAATAAAGAAGAAATGAGCATTTCAGAACTGCTGCAACAGCTAAAGGTAATTAGGACGCTTGAAGAAATTCATATTTGAGTGGTTTATTGTAAGAAGATATTCTGTGTCCCATAAAATCTAACATGACTAGTTCAGGCAGGCAGTACATCACTTGACTCAAAAGCTGCTTTCACAAATAAAATTTAGTGGGACTGACTTTATACGACAATTTCATTACTAAGTATTCAATGACTAAGTATTATATAATACTCCAGTATTTAACACTGGAGTATTATTTGTGATGATAAAGCATCCTATCAAATCATTAGGAAATTCACTACAAATTTTCATTTCTAGTGTTATATGTAAAGGTTTAAGTTCACCAAAACTACTTAAATGTATTTTTAAGAAAAACTTTCTATTTTTATACTGTGCCTGTATTAAGAAAACTTTGGCCTTTTTTTACATCTTAAGGCTCTTCAACTATTTAGCCTGGTATTCTTTTTAAAGGATTTGTTTGACAACAATATTTCTTTTGTTGTAGTAAATTTATTTTAGAGTAGTAATTAGATAATCACTGCTCAATTTTGTGCCCTGACATGGAGTTCACTCACAGAGCTCTATGAATTTTTAAGTCCATTCCTAAATTTAGATCTTAGTAAATCACTCAAGATGTAACAAAGTTCTAATAGTTTTCCCTATTATTTCCTGGCTGCAAATGAGATGCTGACTCAGCATGCTGACACCCAGAATCATATAGACCATCTGAGATTTAATCCCAAGGTAAATCTCTCAAAATACTTTTTTTGTTTTCAAGTCATTCTTCTTTATCTCTAGGACTGACTATCCCCTAAAACTATTTTGTCACCTTCATGTTGTACTTCCCATTTACACAAATCCTCTTTATATTTTCACAAGTATTTAAGTATTTATACAATGAGACACTATATACATCTAACTATAAACTCAGAAAATTATATGGTACTGTTAAACATTTCATTAATATTTTGTGTTTTGAGTTATTTCTAAGTTTGTTGTTTTTGTAACTGTTCTATACATTATATCTATAACCAAAGTTCTCACTTTAACAGATACTTCCTCAGTCAGACTTTCCAAATGCCAGCACTGCCATTTCCTCAGGAGGCACTGGGACAGCACCTGGCATCATCACATTAGATGCTCCCATCCCTGTACAATCTACACATGGTTTGCTTAAAGCAAGTAAATAAAATTAACTATGCAAATGACTATTTTATGTAACTTGATTACACTTTTGGGCAGACATTTCAGCTGATCAGTCTTATCTTGTATCACACAGGATTGCAGTCTGGAACAGCAGCATCAGCACTACCAGCAGCTGGTATGGTAGAAGCACGATGTCCAAATCCTTCTAATTCACTGCCAGAACTAACACTAGGAGAAAAGATGTCTCAAATACTAAAGGATCAGACAGAGCAACTGACAAAGAAAGTAAGAGCTCTGTTTCAATATATACTTTGCACTGGTGCTTAAATTCCATATTCATTTGGCATATTTCTTTTCAAAATCCCAAATAAAAGTCTAATATTTTGTCTTTAAGGTAGAAGACTTCTCTAAGCATATGTCCCAAGAAACATTCTTTTTACAAGACAAATATCTGGTAAATTATTTTACATATTTTGAGCTATCTGAAATGCATTTTACATGGCTGTAGACTTACAATTTTCTGTCAAGTTGTTCATGTTCTCCTCAAATGAAATGTTTACTCTTTTTCTCAATTCAGACCAAAGGTACAAGTTTAAGAAGCAAAAATGAAGGTGTTCAGTAGGTGGTTGAATTCTTAAATCTGTTTTAAGGATTACAGTTCAAAACTATTAATGAAAGGCCTTAAGTTGCCATGTAATTTAGGAATTTTGACACATAGGGCATCAGTTCAGAAGTCAGGGTTTAATATTTTACTTGTACATAATAGAGCAGCACAGAGTACCAGGTGATCATACAATATGCAGTCCTGTTCCAATTCAGAGAATTATCAAAATTCTTACCAAGAGCACTGCAAACAGCATCTGGCTCACATAGCAAGCCACAGTGATAGCTACTTATGCTAAATGATAGTGACATTTGCTATTGAATTCTTTCTTATTGATGAAGGCTTTAAATCAACTGAAAAGATACCTTGATGCCTTGGAAAGGAATTACTTAACAGCTAGAGAAAAGCACCATAACTTACAGCTGCAGAACTTCAAGGACAAGTCTATCAACATTGGAGAGTTTGATCCTGACAGGTTGGAAGATAAGTGCTAAGTAGTACATCAGTATATTTTGAGTATCTTATATTTTGAGTGTCTTATAACTTTTACTTCATTTAACCATTAGAATTTTTCTGAAGTAAAAACATTATGTCATATGTGGTAAGCTAAGAGTGATTTGGCCAAAATTCATCTTGGGCTTTATATATCCCACTTATAATTAGGGTATCTATTTAATTAATTCAGATACTTAAAAGGGACTCAGTGAACTCCATTAATTTTATTTTTTTTCCTATGAGAAATGTACTGCAATGTCCCATATCATAGTAAGAAATAAAAGGTCAGTTTATACAGGTTTAACTAACTCTGTATTGCAATTGGATTTAGAAGGGTGGAAGGGGGAATATTTAGACTTGGCATGCTGCTTGAAGACATTCAAGAACAAATGGATCACAGCAAACACAGCCTGTCATCTTTGCTGACTTCCTATGAATCTGCCTATTCATCACATTCTTTTTGTGAGGTAATTGAGTTATATTATTTAAAGACTGCAATTTTTCGGTTTTACTGATGCAAGTCTTGAGAAATAAGTGTAGTTGTAAAATTATATGTTCTCTAATAAGAGCATAATGCTTTTAGATAGCATGTTACTTCAGAGAAAATATTTAATGAAATATTAACTTCAGAATATTTCATTAATTGTAACAGAAACCTAAGTATTAAAACACTGCTGCACTGAAGATGCTTAATTCCAGTTTCCAAAGCATTTATTTCAGAGTAAAAAAATATAAGCAGCTACTTTGACTTCTACAAAGCTGTCTTTGTTTTGGGGGAATGAATCAATTCCCACTGTCACTTAGTGGGAAGAAATATTACTTTGTTTGTCCATGATTTTTAAGCTGCAGAATTACTAAAAGACCAAACAGTACTGTGCTATAGAAAATTGAGTTTACTGCTAAGTATAGTAATATTTTATCCCAGATCATAAATACACACACACATAAAATCTTACTGCCTCCTACAAATCTACAGATAAGCCTCACCCAATGCTTTCATAGTCAATGTTTTACATAACATTTTCCTCTGAAGCCCAGGTTAGGAGAAACTCAGGAGATACTGTTTGGCAGAAGTCACATGCTTGAACTGCAATGACCACATCCACCTGTATCTGTGCTGTGGTTACTTTGTACAGGGCTCGGTGGTTTCAAGCATTGCTGATCCTCCAGAAAGAAGAGGTACTGAAACTCCATTTCTTTACAAGAACCATGAGGGAGAAAAGAGTCCCACAACTGATGTAATCCCACAGACAAATCAACTTTATTTAGAAGGCAAAAATTGCTGTCTTTGTCCTCACAGGTAAGCGAAAACTTGGAAACAGCTGTTGAAATTTTTATAAAAATGTACCCAAAATTATTTGCTGAGTAAGAAAATTGGAATGACTGGAATCTCTGAAAGCAACACGAATATTTCCAGAATAAAACTTCTACAGAATTCTGTAATTACGTACCCAAGAATTCCTCCCATTCCTCCCAGCCTGGCATTCCTACCTTTCTGAGTCTGAAAGTATTTCCTGAAGCCAAAACGCTACTATCGCTTTCACCTAGAGTTAAACCATACTTCTGTATAAAATTAATTACAGCCATACAAATTCAGGATGTGAATGACTCGTCAAAGCATCTCAATGAAATTAGAAAAATAACATAAATGGTTTCCCCTTAACCAATCTAAGGTTAAAAAAAAAGAGAGCTTTGCATCAAGTTTCAGAAAAGCAGCAGAGCTTCTGGGAAAAGAAGGTCTGCTAGGAAACAAGCATTCTTCTAACATAATGGTAGGAGATCTCTTCATACTTTTTTTTTCCAACTTACATTATCTTACTGAGCTTTGAGGGCGCACAACATTTTCCCTCCAGTTTTTGCACAGCACAGTGTGCAAAAAGCAACATGGTTATTTTGGAGTTTGGAATTTTGGCAAATCTCTATCCAAAGCTATATCTTACAATACATGCAGCACAGAACACAATCATACTAATCTGAATATTCCGTCAGATTATTTCACAGGGTAGATGTTAATATTTGTCTAGTCAAACTCACCTAGCTTCCACTTTTTTCTCTGTCATTGAAAGAAAGTTAGCTCAATCTTCTGATCATTATGTTCATGAATGGGTGAAAAACTTTCCAAATAAATCTGATCACTCTGTACACCCTAAATTGAAAATACACATCAAATAAATAAGGAACTTTGTTCTTGTCCTCTTAGAAGGTACATCTCAAATATTCCTCTAATTATCTAAAGGCAGTGCTATTAAAGCCTTAATAACTCAAAGTTACTAAGAAACCAAATCCTATTTAATATATGTTGTAGCAAAATACTATCAATGGTAACACATGTATAAATATGTAAGATTTCATACAACTTCACTATTTGAATATGTGATTATCACGACATCTACTTTTAAGGATTTTTAACAGCTTGTTAAGTCAGAATGTGTTCTTTAACTAAAGAGGTCATTATTTTGCAATTGGTTAATTATTAATTTAAACTTCTACTTACCACCTTTTCAGATAACTGAGTTCTTTCTATGAATAAATCTGATTTCTTATCAACTATGAAATAGTTAATTATTAATATAAAATGCTTGTAAGTCTCATCATAGAAGTATTCTGATGCAATTAAAATATCATTCTGTTTCCATGCTCAAAGAAATATAAACATCCAGGAAAGAAAAACTGGAACATCTTCACTCTTCAGTCAGAGAAAACCAACTGATTTATCAGATACCTACCTGAGTAAGTCATGATGGCATACAGAGGTCAGAACTGTGCTTAAACCTGCTAGTGAATCCTGTTAATACATTCCTGTCACATCTCAACTACATGAAAATTGTAGTTTCAACAGATGTTACTGCTTAGCACAGCACAAAGCACTAAGAACAAAAAGGAGGCTAAAGGGGACACCAAGTCAAATTCACTGTGGAAGTCTCAGTGACAGACCAAGAGGCAACAGACAAGTTGCAAGGCAATTTTCAGTTAGATAAGAGCAAAAAATTATTAAGTTGAGGTCTAGTCAAACATTGAAACAGTTTGCCCTGAAGAGGCTGTGGTATCTCCATTCTCAGAGATATTCAAAACTCAACTGGAGAGGGTCCTAAGCAACTTCATTTAAGTTGGTCCTTCTTTGAGAGGGGACAGGGCCAGATGATCTACAGAAGTCTTATCCAACCTGAATTAGTCTATAAATCTAATTCAGCTTTCTAGAGAAGGTTCCAAATATTGCCACTATTACCATTTTTAGAGCATGACACTGATATGCACACAATGCTTTGTTTTTTCTTCTGATGTACGTATTTTATGTCCTAGAAGAAGATTCCAAACTTGACAACTGAAACATTTCATATCAGTACTTCCACTTTCACTTTTGGGATTCAACTTTCTTATTCTGCATGAATAAGTTTTTGCATGAAAACACTGCAAAAACTTTTCCTTGATCTTTGATCCATTCAGAGTTGACACAGACAAGAAATACTCTCCCCTTCCTTAGTCTAGCTCCTAATAATATAATTTCATGAAATCCAAACTAGACCCCACAGAGGCTACTATGAGCTACTTAATTCAGTTGTCAAGTCATCCAAGACTTCAGCTCTTGGAAGCTTACTAGCAATCTGTAGGCATTTGTCTCTCAGGGCATCCCAATTTTATCTTTCCACTGCAGAATATTTTGAAGCTGTTAGTACCCAACAAATAAAGAATAGCATGAGCTGTCTAAATATATAGGTTATTCTTACCTTTGGTCTATCTGTTGTCCTTGTTTGTGATATGCTTGCCTTTTAATATAAGACACTGGGACCATTACTGTTAGTACTGGTTTGTGCAATAGTTAAAGCAGTGCTGTACTAGAGCTGCCCAAATTCTCATCACATTTCCATTAGGCTGCACTGTTTGCACAACACTATGCACAGGGAGATGGAGAGCTTCATTTTTTTATTAAAAAACAGTTCTTGGTCTGAAAATAACCACCACCAAAAAAATAATAAAAATCTACATTCAAGGCTTACAGTCAGGGCTGAAAGCCAATCTTTAAAGCTCAGTTCCCACACTCCTGTAAAATGGAGGAAAAAGTACTTCCTCAAATTGCAGTATCATTAAGGGCTCTGAAATTATGGTGCTGAAAGCCAAATAATTACCTGGATACACTAGCCTAAGTTTCTAATATTTCAGAACCTTTTAACTTATTTTTTGAATTCTAGGCAGTGATTCAGAAGACATCTCAGTCTACGATTCTTATAATGATTCACAAAGCAAGGACCTTGTCAACTGTGACACTCAGAATTACAAATCATTAAATACGAGATTATGTGGAGAGAGAAAAGGTACAATGATTGCAAAAATATTAATATCTACAAAGAAACATGGCTTATAGTGTTTGTTTTTCTAAACAACATGTCTCTGTTTTCAGGACTCAGATGCAGATGCCCCAGGGGAAGCAGAGATCAAGTTAAACTCAGGAATTACAAAGAGTCTGTTCAGTCTTGTGCCCTATGTAGAAATAAAAGTTCTGGTTCATCCTGTAAGTATGATGTGTTACTGAAATAATTACCAACCATAGGCTAGATTTTAAGGGGCAAGAAGCCACACTGCACATATCAGGCCAAATTTAATTTAGTATAAGCAATCATTAGCATTGTAGCTGAAACAGTGGGGTTTTATAGATCCTGTAGAGCAAAAATCAGGAAATCCAACTTTTACACACCTGCCCAAGTTTAATCCCCATGCACAACAGCTTTAACCTTCTCTGGTTCTTTATGAGAGGAGTGCCTTTCATATTCCATTCATGGCAGGAATATCTCATTTTGCAGTGCCACGTGAAAGAATATGAAAATTGGGCACTACTGTGCCAACTTTTACAGTGCCAGCCATTGCCTAAAGTAGTGTAAACAAGCACTAAAGAAAATTTCAGTTCTACACTCATCATGTGACATGCAGCAAAGTAAAGGAAAGACTAATAAAAAAAAAATTAAATGTTTAACATCTACTTTTTAAAGTCACTTATTCAGACTCTCTCTCTACCATAAGAAAAAATTGCTTAAAGAAAAATATAAAATTTGAACAGTCAGAAGAAAGTAAAGTTAGCTGCTTGTCTCTAGCAATTCTGTGAAACTATAAAATCAAAGCAGTACTCATGTAATTAGTAGGATTATGAGAATCTGATTATTCTCCACCTCCCCCCTACAGTTTTTCACTGTATGAAATAGAAATGTGCATACCATTTGCCACAGAGCTAAATTCAACAGCAAGCACAAAAAGGTTAATCTGTCCTCATTTACGAAAAACTTAAGCATATTCAAGTTTTATTCATCAGTGATAGTTTGCTTGATCTTTTATTTATGCTAAATGGAGAAAAATGTTAAATACACAGAAAATTCACAAAAAATTACCTTTTTTTTTTTTTTGCTTGTTTTAAACATGGCCTCTATGACTCCAGCTTATTCACAGAAAAGAATCTCCACAAAAAACGCTCAAAAAAATAAACAGCCACATGAACTTGTAAACAGACTTTCTGAAAGGTAAGTTGTAGCAATAACTATACAGTACATAAGAAAATCCCATTGTTGAAGATCCAGCAGGGAAAAAACACACCAGTATCATAGGCAGGAAGAATGTTTTATCTTTTGCAGTGCATGTTGTATATTAGAATTTTACTCAGTAATGAATTTAAAATATATACTCTAAGAACATGTATAAATAGTTCTTAGAGTAGTTTTTCAGTCTTTCTAAGTTAATGAAGAGTAAACATATAACTTCTTTATCTGGCACATTTAGTAATGAAACGAAATATTTAATTTTATTAAGAGGATGTTCCCATTCACTGATTCAAAGGCAGGTCTGTATTTTCAGGATGCAGCTCTGTTTGCTGCCAACTATTTCTTTATAATTAACAGTCCTCCTTTGAATTGTTGTAAACATTAAATAATTCTGGGAGACCAAGAAGTAAAATGGATTCTTAACTGTAGCACAGACTAGACTGAAATGCAGACAAGTTTTGTTACCATATTTTTTGACTCAATAGCAGTAATGGCCTGGACTTGGACTCAATAGCAGCTGCACTTGAGAATCAATGGCACAGACCCCTGTGTGAGAGAGCAGCACCAAGAGACTGATGCTGTGAGAGATTTCCTTACTCTGCATCCTGGCATGTTTTCTGTCTTACTGCAATAGAGATGGAGCACAAATAATAACTGTAAAACACAGTCCATCAAATGGAGAATTCTACTCACTGTAAAATTAACTTGCAACCCAGTGTGCTATCAAGGTGTGTGTATTTAATTCAGACTTTAGAAATTCTTTTGCTTACTGAAATTGTTTGTGTTTTATTCTCTATATCTTCTCTCTAGGGAATCCTTTGAGGCTGCCAAAACCTGCTGTTCAAGCACATGCAATAAAATTCTTGTTTCACATCAGTATATCCCCAGCAAGAAGTTTGCCCAAAGCAAATCTGCAATCAGAAACGCCAATGATTCCAATGCAAATGTAAGACTTGAAAGTGAAAATTAAGTGCCACACAACTATCTTGGAAAGGTTAAATCCACACATCAAGGCACTATTGAGCATCCCTTTCTTAGTAAGCTGATTATTACAATCTAAGCAAACATAGACCATTTGAGGATAAGACTGTATGGAGTTAAAAACCCAAGCATTTTAGCTTATATATTAGTATATAACTTCATGTAAGTATGTCCAGACTTTTTATACAACTTAGTCCCTGTATGAAATGATCAGGACAGAATAGTAGCACTGCATCTTACCTCTGAAATGGTTTCACATACTGAAAGAATGTCAACACCTAACCATACAAACTACTATCACAACCACAAGAAAGCCTTCTCGATACCACAAACATGCACAACACTGGCCCTGCTACTTTACAAAGGTGTAAATATCCCTCAGTTCCAATGATTACATAGTCAAAGAGAAATAAATAACAGATACTTCCAACTTGAATCATGAAGCAGTCTTATCACATAACTCAAGTTCTACTTCTCAACATGTATTCAGAGTGAAAATCGTGCACAAAACCTTAAACATCACCTTCTATTCTACACCTGTGTATGCATTTGCCTTCACTATTAACAAGGCTACGTTTTATTATTTCCAACAGATTTTAAGTTCTACTCTGGATCATGCCATACAGACAGCAAACAGTTTGAAGAAAACTACAGAACGAATGGTACGAGCAGTTTCAGAAGATCTGGCTAAAGTCAAAAGAAAACCTACTTTAGTTACCCAGTTTCAAATGCTATATTGTTTTGCTGGGTGATACTGAAGTGTTAGGACCTCTGCAAATACAAAGTGATGAATACAAAAATCAAAAAGTCAGCTAGCTAACTTGGTCAGCTGTTCTGTAACTGTTAGTATTAAACCACACCAGATATAAAGGTATTCCTCAAGTTTATGCTCAGTCTCAGAACTCTAAAACAAATTACTAATTCTACTGAAAGTCCTTAGTAGGTTGGCTAAAGGTACCTTTCTCTAAGGATCCATTGCTGTGTACAAGTTCCTTTCTCTAAGTGTCCACCTAAGGTAGCTTAATAAAAATTGGATTAAACAAGGAAAATTAACTTTGTGACTTTGATTTCCCCACACTCCAAAGTGTGAGAATAAACCTCAGTCATTACTAAGTATCATTTCTTCCCACATTTTAACAGCAGCTGCTTAAACACACCAAAACAGCCTCTGCACCTGAGACACCTATCTGCAAACATCACGCTAACATACCAAGTCACAGTTCACATTTCTAATTATTTTGGTTTTACAGTGCTCTACATTGAGACTTGTTTGTTTTTACAGTTACAAACTAGAATTCAGAAAAATGTTATAGGTATTTCTGCTAATTTTTTTAAAGTTTTGATACACGTGGTGTTTGATGAACCAGTTAATTTTAGAGTGTTGTTCCTGTATTCATATGAGAAAAAAAAGTCAGAATACATTCAATTCCTAACTCATTTAGGTGCATTTGAAAGATAGAGCCACTTATTCTCACCATGCTACATGTGCTGCAACATCTTAAAATGTAACCTTCTCATCTTTCATTCCTCTCTAGTGTGTGTGTGTGTGAACTTAACCTTTTCCCACCTAATTAACTCTGAATGATCTTACCTAGCAAAAATATTCTCTTAACCTGCTAGTTAACCTTAGAGCAAAATAAAGAGAAAAGAAACAAATCCACCTTTATGCAAAACAAGAAATTAATTCCTTCATGGTTGGGGAAAATGTAAATAAAAATCCATGAGTAATCTATTATTTTTCATTATGACATTTCTCAGCTTCTACATACAACAAACTAACATTTCAAGGCACATAAATACAACATCCCTTCAAAAGTTTAGTGATTTTAATTATGTAATTTTTAAAGACACATCTAATCATTACCAGTGTTACAGAATTCATACAGTTCAGATTATTCCCTTCAATGCAAATTTAAGTATTTCTTTCTTAATATGTAACAAAGCAGACAAGTGAGTAAATTCTCTTGAATACATCAGGTTTTCTCATTTGGTTTTCTTTTAGCTTTTCTTTTTTAAATTACCAAGCCATTTGAAAGATTCAACTGCTTCCCTTCTTTTCCTCTCCTTTTCCCCTGCCTCCACTTCCTCAAGAAGACATACTTATAGTTTTGGAATTTCTGTATCACAGGCAATTCAACTTCTAACAGATGCACTATGTAGACACAATCATAAGGAAGTTGCTAAGAAATTAATTTTTTTAAAAAGCTTCATTAATAATCCCTGTATATACTTAAATATAAAGTGTACTTCAGTGCACAGTTGACAGCATTTCTTCAGTTATTTATTGTGATTAGAACTGCTTAATACTTCTGTGATTAACTATCTCCCTTACCCAGCACCATCTAAAAAGCCTTTAGATTTTTCACAATTAAACATATTTAAAGAATTTTCAGTGAGTTACTTTTACAGAAAATATTACACTTTAAGATAATGCATTTGTATGAAACATTTTTACCATAAACCCATATATACAAATTTTCTCCTGAAGCCCCTACCCAAGGGCCTAGGCCCTTTTTAATTCAGTAATTTTTAGAAATAAATTCTATTATATAAAGGTTTCACAGTTCTCAAAGACAATTCCAGTTTATATATAGTCACGATAACTTTTAGCATAATTTCTTAGGAACAAACATGCCCTTTTGAAAAAGCACTTATATTATAATATTAAATACAACCTAAGAAACACGTGTTTAGTTTTTCCTCTCTCTGCCTTCTACTTCCCAAAAAGCAGCAAATTTAAATTATAACATGACTTTCCATTAGTCAGAACCATGTAGTATCATAGTGCAGTGTTTGGAAAAGTCAGTTCCATTAGAGTATGTACATACTGTTTGTCTTTGTAATACATCATAAACATCACCATATCTATTCATCCTTAATGGAGACCATATCTTTGGGTTTAGTAAGGCTCTTCACTTCATCCAGTAGTCTTTTAGGTGTCAAAATATGAGTAGAACCTGACAAAAGAACGTAAATATTAACTGTGTCAGTCAAATTCTGACTGTCAGACACTCCCTCTTTAAAACATCAGTGACATGCTGGCCTGTTTTTACTGTACCTGCAAAACTGACAAGTACAGCAGTTCAAAGCGTGTTCATATAAAACACCATCCTATAAATGTGTTACCATTAGGTAGGAAATGTCCCTCTCCCACACACACATCCAGATCAGGACTCGTGCTTGGAATAAAAGTTTCAAGTCCTGCTCTGCTCTGTTTGAAACACAGGCTTGAACCTGGGCCACTTATGCTGTGTACAGCTGTCCCAGCCTGCAAGAAATCTGTCCAGTAAATCAAAGGCTTTATCCTAGAATCAAGAAACTACCTGGATTAAAGGTCATCACAAACAGTAGTTTTCCACAGAAATATCAGTTACAAAAAATTGGCTTTTACTGACTAACATTTCTGTGAAAAATTTACAGCAAATTCCAAGTCTCGAGCAGCAAAGAAAATCCTTAGTATTCTTCAGGACTGCACAACTCTCTTATTCTCATAGAGAGTAATTATAACTTCTGCCATGAAGGGTCACCCTACAGTTCTAAAGGCAGTGCTTAACTGTTTAAGATTACAGCTGTCTGGAACTTTTGGTTTCAGCAGTGTCACTCTGAGTGGGCTAGTATTCCTTGAGTTCTGAATCACGAATGCAGCAAAATTTTAATCCTGCAGTAAGCCACATGGAAATCTGGCAAATTTCACCTTCCCTCAAAAATCAGGATTACAAACAAAACTACAAGAATCATCTCCAAACAAAAGGGAAGATAGTGCTGTGGTTAGTGCTAGATACCACAGTGAAAGAGTGACCACTAAACATGGTTTTGTAAGCAAGTCTCAGATGAAGAAACAGTCTGGTTAATCTGCATTTCTGTTATCCTGGTCTTTCTGTTGCAACTCAAAACTAGAACCAGCATTAGACCTACCTCAACCACCATCAATGAAACCAGCAAAGAAAAAATTAACCAGATAAACCAACCACACACAAGCACACCTACAACACTCCTGACTATTTAGAGGTAACAGACTCTAGATCTCAGAATCAAGGCTGTCATCGTTTTAGGAAAGGACTTATTTAAAATCATGGTAGATGAATTCAAGCCTTTCTGAAACTCAAGACCGAATTTAACTGCCAGACAGACATTTCAAGCAACTTAAAATGCGTTAGATGACCCTGCACCCAAATATCAGCTGCCCCTGCAGATGCATACAGGTCTCTGGTAAGGTTCTGTATTTAGACCTCTGTTTTGATATATCGTACTACTTCCAAAAGCAACAGGAGCAGCGCCAGTAAAGGCAAAGCACAGGCAGATGCAAAAGTTGTGAGGAAGCTGTAATGCAAGGAAACAGAGGTATGTTTAAATCCTTTTTGCTATACTTCAACATATTTCTCTGACATAATTCACAATGGTTCTTCTGTAGAGCATAACTACCTTTTTTGTCCTTAATACCCTGTTGCAAAAAAAAAAAAAACCCTCTCAACACCAAGCAGCCTGACCAAAATGAAAAGATGCTTCTAAGTGTATGGTTTTAAGCAATACACTGGCTATAATATTAATGTACTGAACCAACACAGGGCATGTATGAAAAACGATCCCAATGATGATCCTTACATTTTCCAGAAGCACATGTAGTACAGTGCACACACCACCCTTCTCCCAAGGCAAGCTTACCAATAACAACTTCACAGGACTTGTAGGCTTCAGAAACCTCATAAGCACAGCGCATCTCAGAATATGTGACTCCCCCAATTACAAATATAATCAGCCTTGCACTGCTCTTCCGCTCCTCTCTGGAACTACCCTTAGGTTTCTGGCGTGCACTGCAAAAGATTTCAGAAGATGACATTTATCCAGCTTTACGGTTTCATTTTTGGTTAAAATTATATACTTAACAAGCAGTTAATTCCTGTCATGCAGTTCATGGTTTGATTGTAATTTCAGCGAAAGTGTTTACATAAATTGATCGTTTATCAGTTATCAAAAGGGAGGTACTCCAAGTAAAGGTCTATATGACTAAGAAAAATTATTAAAATAACAACCAAGTTCAGTACGTTTTAGATTAAATAAAAATATAGGCTTGAGAATTTAGCATTACCTTATATACATTATTTTACCATTTAGTAAGCACACTTCCATAACTCTTTAGAATGTATATGACAAAAATATTGAGAAAGGGGTAAACTATTTTTCAGGAAATAAAATTATTTACCTTACTGCTCCTGAACCATTCCAGGTGGGAGGACACCGGGAAGAATAAGGCCAGTCTTTTGAATCCAGTTTGTTTTCTATAGCATCCTGAAGGGCAAAACAAAGACACACTTTAAACAGCCTTGCAGACCTAAAACCCACCAAGTTTCAGCTTTCAGTAAAGATGTCTACCTGGAATTTAATGACAACATATTCAGCTTAGAATAACCAATTGCAAGTCGCATCTCATGAACAACAGTCCTATGTAACAAAGTGCTAGACCACATAATGCTAAAATGTATTCTAAGTCTTTTGTGTATCACAAGGAATTGGGAGAACGTGTTTTTTTTATAAACACAATACTGATTTAACTGTTCAGATTTTACAAGTAGCTTTTCATCTGTAACAACCCAAAGTATTTAATTTCTCTACAGCAGTGTGTGAGAGAAGCCAGGGTCCACTAAAAATACAAATGAGCATGTGAAAGCCACCAAAATCTATGAATTACAGCAATGGGTCAGATTAACGGTCCAGTGAACTGGACCCTGTCTGACATCAGTCACTAACTGATGCTTAGGAAGAGGTTGAAGAATAAAGGAACTACATTTCCGGCAAGAAACATCTTCCAGTCTCTACCACATTACAGTTTAGATTTGAATTGCAGTTTAAAAACCCACTGGAGGAAAAAAAAAAAAAAAACCAAAGCAAATCTTTAAGTTACACTAAACACTGCCAATCACAGGACAAGCTGTTCTAAGAGACTTCTTGCTTTCACTTTCATTTGCTTCACCTTTAAAAAGACCTCTAATAAAGAGCATTACTAACACAAAGCAGTCTAATGTTCTGTATTACTGACAGACTAAAAAAAGATCACTTTTTCACCAGATGTATTTGACAATAGTAACTCATAATAGTATGGACTGGCTGTAACTGCTCACTCAAGTAAATTTCTGCACTTCACCCATGAATTAATTAGTTGGTCAAATTTACCTCCATAACATCTTTGATAACAGGTGTCCACCTAGAAAGTTGAAAGGTTTCTTCTGAAGAACGGTCTCTTCTTGGGTATTTATGCTGCTGAACAGCAAACTGAAAAGATTTTCAAAACATGGTTGCATTATATAATGTATTTGGACTTTTGAAAATTATTCACAGTCAGTAGTGGAAGGAGGGGGCATCAGTAGGAAAATTTAAAGAAATAATAATAATGACAAAGAACAACAATTAATACCTACAGAATTCGGTGTACACTAGAAATACTAACTTCAGAGACAAGGAACTGAGTAAATTGGCACTTTCCAAAACCAGCTAGGTCAAGTCACCATCTGATGATTGTAGAGGGAACATTATGGGTACCTTACTTTAAACAATTAACATGAATAATTTTCAAAGGATTTAGCATTTAAGAATTCCTAGTAATTGCCTGTTTCCAAAAACAGACTTGGATAATACTACTAGGAGTTGCTGAAAGAGCTGTAGACAAGTGCTTGGGTAGTAGGAACTTAGAAAATAAATAAACACATTCTTACTGAAGAGATAACAGGAACATCAAGGTATTTCCAATTTCTTATCATATCACTATCACTTTCTATATGCACATTCTGGATCAGCTTCTCCAAGTTCTCCTGGGTAGTTCCTTCAATATATGGAAAACAGACAACTTAATTACCAAGAGACTGTAAGACCAATTTTGTCTCACACTGTCTGGGCTGTTATTTAGTCCAGGATTTTTTTGTTTGTTTCGTTGTTTAACATACTATTATAGTTTAGATAAAATTTTGTTTAATGGTCCATTTTTGAGACCAAAACTCGATATTGCTGCAGATTCCTCAGACCAGCATTCTAACAATTTCCTCCTCTTCTACTACAAATTCTTCCCCACTGACTTAATTTGTGAAAACAAGAAAACAAACTATTGCACACATCCAAGAACAGGAATGATGCTAAAACACCGTATAAATCTGCACTTGAATTACATCTCTTAACTCCTTATCAGTAGTATCTTTGCTACCAATTTGAGCACAGCTACAGAGGATGGACAAGATTTCTTTCAAACCTCACCATCAACTCCAATATTAACTTATAGCAACTAAAAATATCTATCCTAAAACTTGAATTCAAATTAATAGCACTGAGGGAAAAAATAGGACAAGTTATCATACCATTTGTGCTAAAGATATATAGCAGAATAGCTCTGATTTTGTCATAACTCTCGTGACTTTTGTTCAGCAGAACTGGAAGGAGGACTCTCATGGAGTCTTTCACTTTTTGACCTTCTGCATCAGTTCCAAGAGCCAGGTCCTAAATTAATAAAAAATAAAGAGCACACACACAATGGTTTTAGAGAGTAGTCATTAAAAAGCAATATTGTTTTGTGTGGTTTGAAATGTATTTTTATGAAACCATAGGTTTCAGGAAACAATCAAGCCGCATCAATTTAAACTCAGTATGACACGTCTGACATTTATTTCAATAGCTGCAGCATTATAATAGCTCTACATAACACTCAAACATTTAAAAGTGTTTGATATCTAGAACTCCCAGAATTGTAATTTACAGTTTTTTACTTGAGATTAATAGTAAAATGTAATGCCTCACCCTAACAGGTGCTTTTCCCAGACATTTTAAAAAGGCTTCCACCAGCAGAACATACTACAGCAACCTCACAGGAGTTTTGAACAAAGAAAACAAAGATGGTCTTCATAAAAATCAGCCAGATTTCAAGACAAAAACCCCCAAACTCTAAGAATACCTCCATTACTGGCAGATTAAGAGCCTTGTACATCTCATTTAGTTTTAATACTAGTACCTCAAAAACTGACAGAAAAAAAAAAAGCATGAGATTTTTGTCACTTAAAACAAGCCTCTATTCCTGCAAACAAAAAAATCTGTATTTGCAATAAGTTGCTGCTTGGGTTTTGGCTTTTTTAAACATACCTGTTCAGTTTTACAGAGCCTTTCTATGTTAGATTTGAACTTGCTCATGCAATCTTCTGCTATGTTAAGATGAACAACTTGCTGTAAGACAGAAAGAAAGGAGAAAAAAAGACAATCACAAGCTGCCATAACTTTACTGTCTTTTTTTAACATACTAATCATTTTTACTGGTTATAAAAGTCAATCTTTCAACTATCCTTCAGAACCATCATGCATTTTTCCATGTTTTACCCTTCACTTAGAGACCGGCCCCGGTAATACCTTTTAAAACATTAAACACTAATGCCATATTCAATCCTCAAAGCACACAAATAATATGATTTTTTTACTTAGTAAAATGAAACACCTGGAAACAAGTTTTCTTCTCCAAATTTTACAGTAGGTGAACCTACTGGAGAACAGCTATATAGTACACTCAACAGGAAAACAACAGAATAAAGCTCGACTTCAATAACACAGAAAGTTAAAGTGCACAGAATTATTTATTGTGACGTTGTAATTACAAAAGACCCCTTACCTTACTGATCTCTTTACGATACTGTGGCATCCTTTTCATCAACTGGGACAGAGCAGAGAGTGATAACTGTGAAGAAACGATACAAGTTGAAAATCTGGCCCCCCCAATATTTGACATGCTTATTTCCCTTCTTGTTGCAGCCTTGCTTCCCCCACGACCCTTGAAAATTCCAGTTGAGAAAAACCTCAATCTCTGTAATAGGTCAATGAATTAAATGGATCTGAACAGCTGAAAATAACTGAATTATCAGGAAAGACTGCAATACTTCAATTTAAACAACTTACTTTTCCTTCTGCTTCTTTTTTTTTTGATGAAATCTCTTTCAAAAGTTTTGGTATTTCTCTGAAAAAAAAAAAGAAAAATTATTGAATGCAACAGCACAGAAGTTCTTAAATCTTTTGTTAAAATCTTAAAGGAACTGTACAACATGAACTTCTGAATGAAAGTAAAAACTTCAAATACAGGTCTCCTTCAGAGAAGAGAGCAATTTTTCACAGAAACAATGTAAGTTAAACTTATGATATCTGCATAATGTCATTTGATGTAACAGCTTGCTAGTACTTTACACAAAATAATCCCTTCAGATGCAAAAGATTTGAAAATACTTCCCAGGAAATTACTTTATTTCCATTTTCCTCAAGAACTGTAAGGAACATTAGCATAACAGTGTATCTTGATACATAACATATTTTGGAAGCACAGTTTCTTGCTGGCATCCATTAATTAACTGAATGAAGTCTATATTACAAACCATCTTCACTACTACCTGTATTCCTACCAAACAGCTTAAATACCTTCCCTCTCAAAGAAACCAAGTAGTTGGGTTTGTTATTCATTCACATACTCTATCACATCTGCAATGTGCTTGTGCCGCATCTTCACCCAGAGGTCATCATCTTCCTCCAAAATTGCCTCCTTTTCCTTCCCAGCAGATCCTTCTGTTTTGTATCTTCCAAGAGAAAATTCAGACAGTAATTTGGTTTTTGGGTTCCCCCTAATTCTCATTACTTATGACAGTATTATTTATTACAGTTTAATGAACATGAATGGTAACAGCAGTAACATACAAAGGTTTGCATTTACAAGCCAAGCTATTGCCTCACAAAAATATAATTAACAGAAGGATTTTACAGATTACATCTTTGAACATAGAAGATGAATTTTAGAATGGTTCTTTGGGGCAATAGCTTCTGGACATTCTTTTAAACCAACAGTAACTAGAGATTTAATCACACATTCACATGCACCTCCATTTCTCTTCAGCTTTCAATGTCAACTTCCCTCTGGTTCCAAATGCAACCTGCACAAACAACACACTGCAACTGCAAAGTGCAGCTTTCCATGTGTACTATAAGACATTTTATAACTGAAGGAAAATGAAGTCCCATTCACCAACAAAACAGACTAAGCAGGGCAAATTGCTTCACATATAAAAAGGAACATGCTTCACACCATTACAGAGCAGTTATTACTTGACTATAAACAAAGCTCACAATAAACCTACAAAGCAAGACAGTAATCACATTACACAATATTTTCACATTTACAGAAACTCACACAGTTGCCAGAAAGCAGAATGCGGGAAAAAAAAAAAATCACAGGATTAATTGTGAAATTCAGATCATGGCTACCTATAAAACATACTCTGCTACATCTTCATACCTGGCGAGTTTGAGATTCATAGAACTCTACACTTTCTATGAAAACATTCACTCAGTGCTTCCAACCAAAGACAGGCATTCCTGTTTGCTTGACCAAACAACGAGGCCATCAGGTCTCATTTGCTGTAGAGGGTCATCAGAAAGCAAAGTCCTACCAAAATCCTTGTTGTCAGAACAATCTGACAACAAAGTACGTAACTTATGCAAACCACTGTTAGACTGTTGCAACACTGCTTATGAACTGAACATGACTTACTTAAATGTGCACTTAGAATAGAAACATGTACATTTTAACAACTACACAAATTAAATTACTGGAGCTATGAAACTGAGCATTTCTGAGAAATAATCAAGAGTTTTCTCAATATGCAATTACTGGTCTAATTTGTCTTGTTATGTCCAAAAGGTTGAGAATATGAAAGAAAATCTAGAGAATCTCAGTGTGCACTATGACAAAGTTCTTGGTTTTTTAAAAAAATGCAATTTGTTAGACCCAAAACTTAACAAAAATGGTAGTTAGATCCTACCTAATCTCAACTAAGTGATGAAGTTAAAAAAATGAAGTTACAAATCCAAAAGGAAAGAGTCATAAGTGAAGCAACAGTTATGTAATACAAGGAGCTAATACTGCCATGGTGCAAGTATGCTAAACAACTCCAGAGATTTTATAATCAAGAGTAAAGGGTTTTAGGTTTGTTTTCTTTTTTAAAGTACTTGCTTGTAAGTATCGTTTTCAATTGGTAGCAGGTCATACGCCATTGCCTGGAAGGTGAGCTCATGAAGTACAGTTGATACTGGATCAAAGGCACGATCAATTATTATTAGTTGGGAGTGGGTTTTAGCCTAAAAAGCCATCAAACAAACATGAAGAAGTTAAGACATACAATACAAAGTTAATGCATGTTAAATCTATTTACATTAAGGTTACAGCACTGCAGATATGTTTTGAAAAATACCTGAAAAAACCCTGAAGTATGGTCCAAGTGTTTATCAACATTATTAGCAACAAACATTTAAATTACATACAATGGGTTTAAATATTAATTTTAAGGTAATGCTCTCAGCAACCTGAATTTTGTTCATCTAATGAACAAAAAGTTTAAAGGAAAAAAAAAAAGGCCACTCACTGACTTTTCATAGGTAACTGCATTGTTCATATTTCAGTGCCCATTATCTATACAGTGCTGCAACACAGGAAAAAAATCTCCAAACATTCAACTGAAAGTTTCATTTTGGGATTTAATAAAGTGGCAGTAGCAGCAGGTACATTTATTTCTGTAGCAGAGTGCAAAGCCACCAAGTCAGAATGGTTTAGCCTATACTTCTGTGTTAAAGCAGCTGCCCTAATCAGCCCTGACCTGTAGGGACAGATCAAAACTATTATTTGCATGAACAGCTCTATCTTTGTGGACAATAAATCCCTTCAGGAGAGCCATTTTAATTCTACAGGGAAGTCCCCTCTACACACAGCCTTATGGAAGGTGATATTAAAACAAAATTTATCCACTTGTCTTCAGGTTTATATCATCCCCTATATCATCACAGGGCTAATTTTTCAAGTAAAATCAGTTTATCAGTTTTTACCTTAGATACAGATTTACTGTATCAGCTACTACCTCTAAACTGCTATCATACACAAAAACAACTAAATGGCAATTAGTTGCCTTCATAATTAAATAAAATCTGGGTATTTAGAACCTATTGTCAAAGCCTATTTTGAACATGATTCTTTTTCCCCAGACTTAAAAAAAAGTAGCAAACATTTTAAGTTCACTTTCTACCTTTATTTGGCTTTTCTCATCTGTTCTGTAGTAGTTTTCAAGATTTTTTTCAACAAGCTGTGCAAGTTTGCTGGCTCTATCAGATGGTCCACTGGGAAAAAAAGGAAGCATGCAAAAAGAACTTAAATTTCTTCATCAGTACACTAAGGTGCTACCTTTAAAACAGAAAGAACTCCCTAGATTGATCCTCTGGTTTCACGAGCAGTTTCTGAACTCCATTCTAAGTATTTCCAATATATTTGCACTTTTACATTACGATTCCACTCTTTGAATGCTTCAGGTATTTCACACAGCAGAAACAGCTTCAGCCAAAAGACTGACATGAGCTGGCATATGGCCCAGCACCTAAAAGTCTCACTCAGAGGCAGGAAACAAGAAAGAAGAAAGACAAACGGAAAGAAAAGAAAAAGAAACAGTCAAGCAGTTATTTCTTTGTTACCTTTGCAGAGAATAAGGCACCACTTCACATTACACCACAGAATGCAGTTCTTGAACACAATTTCAGATGTCTACTTTGACATCGAAGATACTAATCTGTACTCCCTTTCAAAGCTCAAAGGAGGCATTCTTCTCAATATCTCTACTACAAGAAATCCTGATCCCATCTGCCACAGCAATTTATGAATTCCTTGGCACCAAGTGGAGCTGCAAATCTACAAACAGCAGCAGTTCTCCTACAGGATTATGCATCTGGTACACAGGAATGCAGCATAACAGTGTCATCCTACTGACCAAACATGAAACAAGCCATTTAGAACAAAACAGGGTCTAGCAAGTACTGTTCTACAAATGTACATAGAGAAATAACTCACTGTTTTACCTACACTTCACAAATTCCTATAATTCCATATTTCAGAGTTGTGGATTAAAAACAATTAACCCACAATTACAAAAATAAACCAAAAAAACCAACTAACCAAACTATGCTGCAGCCTCAAGCTATGACCAAACAATGTGGTAAGCACTAGAAGTGAAAGCAATTACACTGTAAAACACTGACTTTATATCATACTCCTTTATATACCTTTTATATCGTACTCCTGGATTCTCATCTAGTGTGGCACATAAGGTAACAATTTGTTCAGCCATTACTTGCATTACAGCATCTTTCTCCTTTGTCTTTTCCAGAGTCGGACTGTAACAGCGGTAGAATGCATCTGGGACATTGAGAATAAATACCTAGGTAGAGCACAAACAAGGAAAAAAGGGCCTAAATTGCACATATCTAAAATATCTGGTAAAAAACTTGCTAATAATTTAAAACTAAATGCTGTAAGAGAAAGTCACACATAATACCACCAAAAAAAAATTAATCCCACACTTCATTCTGCCTTCTCTGCCCTGTTGAGCTCATCAGCTTCTTGTTCTCACACTCTTTTTCCCTATTACTCTTTTCTCCTATGTAAATTACTATATTTTTCAAATTGCTTACTGCCTGTTCAGATGGAAGGAAGGAAAAGATATCAGGAAGAACTAAATCCTCTTCAGCGTCTTGTACAGAGCCACACAATGCAATATCAGAATAATTATAGAACGTATCAAGGTTAAATTTAAAATAAAATTTTATGTATTGTATCTGCTTATTAGATGAGGACTTTACCTTCAATAATTGAAATTTTTTAAATGCATTAAACCTTGATAAAAGAAGTTTAGTACTACAGAGAAAAAAAGTTTTTTCAACAGTTTTGTAAATGGAATGCAAACACAGAAACAACCCCATTGTCAGTAGATGGATTTTCTCCAGCTTCAGATGGACTCTGTAACTACAGAGCCAAAGAAGAACGTCCATCCAGATAAAGATGTTTGCCTCATTGAAGTACATAGTCACCTGGACTTCGCCCAGAGCTCACTCTGATTATTCACCCTTAGCACCCCAGAAAGCAGGTAAACCAGTTAACGCTGCTCCTTTGCTAAGGATTTAAAATGTTCTCACAACCCAAAATATCTAGAATACAAAACTACACCAAAAACAACAAGAGTGTTGTTCAACTGGAGTGCTGCTTATTTGCAACATCAGAAAACTAGTCACAATTTCTATTCTGACAGTGAGACCTCTGGAGAACCACGACCACAAAATTTTCATAGGCCTTATTTGGTAGAGTATTTCTGAAGAGCAGCCTTGGCAGAGCTCCCCAAAACAGTTTGAAAAAAAACTTGGGGGCATCAACCTCACTGGAAAGCAAACAAACAAGCCACCACGCTCATTATTCTCTGATGGCTTCTCAACCTAAAAAATAAAAAAACCTTTATAATAAAAAGGAGTCTGTCTTCAAACTAGGAAACTGCATCACAGCGACATGTGGCCAGCAGTAACCTCTCCTATATTCACCTGCCACTTGGTATATTAAGAGTTGTGACCCCCTTTGTTCATAATGTTTGATGTGGGAAACATTCATGGTTAGTTGTACAACTCTCAGTACTGGACACGGTTTGGAGGCTTCACTGTATTAGTATCAGTGTGCATTTCAGCCTTCTGTGTCTGATCAAGAGCATCAGCAACAAATTATTTGTCAACACAGTACCCACTGTGCGGCTGCACATTGAAACCACTCATTGGTTTCCATTGGTGGTCTCAAATTTTTAATTGAGAAAACAGGGATTTCCATGTTCTCCTCTCACTGAAAAGTCTGTCAGGCTGTGGTAGTTTTTATTTCCTGGTTTTTGTAAGGCTTTCATTTTGTTCCCCTTCCCTGCAGTTCTCTTAATCCATTTCTTCTTCTTTACTGATTTTCACCAAGTAGTTGGTCCTACTTACTCCTATTCCTATGCACCAACCTACCTTGTCTGCCAAAGTAACACCTCAGCATAAGCAGTAACATAAACTCTACTGTTTACTGAAGACAAACCAGAACACTTGCCTTCTCTTAGGGAACAGATTCCTTCTTTAACCTCCCTGCTTAACTGACATTAAGTCTGGCAAACAGACCACGTGCAAAGAATAAACCTTTCAGTATGAGAGCATTTGTTTTATCTGAAAAGCACAAACGAGTACTGGAAATGTGCCAAAATGGTAAAACATCTCACATACAGTTTGTCAGTCAAAAGCTACATTTTATTTCATTGTTTTCTAGAAGGTCAGCAACACTTGAAAATAATCCTCCAGACTGTTTTTTGCTGTTAAGATTAACTTACCTGAGACTCGTAAGGGAAGAAGGAAATATTGATCTCCTTGCATTTCTTTATTGATTTCGCACATGAAGATTTAATTTTATTGAAGAGGCTGTCAGGACAAACTAGGGGAAAAAAAAAAGACTAAGTATAAATAATTTGTGCATATTCCAGCTGTCAACTCGCTTATGAGCTTACAGTATTCAGAACAGACAATTCTAAATTGAAAACCAATTAACCGTAAAATACAAAAAAAAGTTGCCTGCTCTTCCTAAAGTGAGAGGGAACATATAATCAATATTTTGTGTTGTTCAAAAAGCACCACTGGTCAATTTTTACTAGCTTTGTGCAAGCGAAGTTGTAGAACACTCAATAACGGTTTGCAGCTGTGAAAGATGCTGATTTTATCAAAGCAAAACTTTCTGCTATTTATTCTCATATGGGAGAGAAAAAACACTTCCCAAGCTACAAAAAAGGTTAAACTGAGAAATAATGTGTACATATCTAACAGCAAAACACAGAAATACAGAATTTAATATAGGTCTCAAATGTGTTCCACTATGCTTCCAGGCTACACTGGATCCCAGTCTAGAAACTGAATTTAAGGAATACGTGAACAACACGAATACTACACAGACTTCTAAGTGACAGAACTATTTCTCTAACTCAGGAGTTATTCATCTCAACAGGAAAAGTTTTGGCAAGTATTCAAACTGAAAGCTTGCCACTTGCAACCAAGGAACACAGAGCAAGATAGTATTTTTCCAGAACAGTAACTGCTGCTTCAGTGTGAAATGAACCAAGAAACCAAGAGCTTTGGATAGTAATTTGATAACTGCTTTGAGAACATACAGTAGCAGATATGCACCATGCACAGACATCCACAAAGACACAACTCAGGCCCTACCTTCAGCAGCACGCTTGGGTTTTTTGTTTTCCCTTCATTACAGACCGTTTTAGTCACACTGACTGACTGCAGGGAACATGCAGTCACATTAAGCGCATTTACACTCATTGCCTCTGCTGAGCACGCAAGGGCTAAGTAGGCCCCTTCTTCCAGGTGAAGGGAAAAAGCTGGCTCACAAGTCTGAAGAACTACCTGAAATAACCAACTATTAACACTGCTCTTGCAGAAAGTTCTCATGCATATTTATTTTGTTTATGTGGAGATACGTAGTTATACCTGAATTGTGTTCCTCCACACTCTCCAACACAGGTGAAGACTGGAATACTTAAAAATAAAACTACATATCCTAAATTAAAAGCTGAGGAGCAGAACAATCAAGACTGGTAATTGTGAAAGAAATTACTATTGCAACACAGCATGATGACCACAATCTGGCAACCCAAATATATGGTTAATGACTTGAGTCTCAAATCTTCTCACAAGAAACAGGACCTCAACTTTTCAGGTACTCAATTATAGGAAAGAAGTGAGGAGATACTTATTTACCTATATAAAGTTATCAAACTACAACACAAAAGCTTACTTACAGTCAGTGAAATACACATATGCTGCTTTGTATCTGCTGCATGATTTAGTGATGAAGTCGTCAATAAGTCCATCTACAGACTTACGGGGGTAGAAAAAATAAGGAAAAAAACCATCATGACAGTGTTTTACCTTTGTTCACATACCAGATAAAGTTTCTCCCACCCTATTACCAAGTCCCACTTGGGAATACTGAAGTTCAACATACAAGAAAACACTTAAGCTTGAGATTTTTAATTCCACAGCAAGAATAACAAACAGTTACAGATGGTCAGTCATGCACCAAGACCACTTTAGGAAGCACCCAAATCAGGGTACTTGTAAAATTTCCCACCTATAACAGTGCTGAGATTTATTCTCCCAAGAATTTTTAGGAAGTAATAGAAATCTTATTATAGCCATTACTTTGAATTCTATTTTTCAATTTATTGCATCATTATGTGATACAACGTCTCTTTCAGTGAGGTTACAATAGCTAAGCAATGAAACAGTGCCTCCATTGACCACAAGGTACTTGTTTGTAACATACTCTGGTAGCACAGCATTTTCTTTTCATTATGGGAAATGAAGCATCACACGGAGAAGTATTACAGAAAATGCAAAAGTTAAGTACTGCATAGCTGTACACAGTAAATCAACATTTTAAAATCAGATTGTTTTTTCAGTCTGAAAGATCTTGCAACACTTTCTTTAAAATACTAACCTTTTTTGTGGGAGTTATTAGATATATTGCTTTCATGTGTGGGACAGGCTCACGGTTTTTATATACATTCTCCACCACTATAAAGTAAAAAATATTATTTATATATATATATACATAATATATAAATTTTATAATTAAGAGCATTATGCATCTTTAAGGAAGGCAGTAGAGAGTTAATAAAGTAACAGCAATCAAGTTGTCCACAATATTAGAGGCAGGGACATATCATCTGCCAAGAAAGCCCTGATTTTTTTCTTTGTTATTTTAAATGCATCAGGTTACCACATGACTTCTTCAACTCTCAGCCTAGTGACAACTAAAGTTGTAGGACTAAATTTTTCCTGGGTATTCTACACAAGCAGAGTTTTGACCTCACACAGAAAGATATGGCAAGGCAAACATGCTCAAATTACGGGGGCCAGTACAAACTGTCTTGCAAGAGAACTGCCTTGGCAAGATGGTTCTTTTTCCAGCACACTGAAGGAGAGGGAGAGCAAAATTATGCAGGGCATCATTTTGGACTACAGCCTCTTCTGTCCTTTGTTTGCCTATTTCCTGGGCACTTACTCTGTTTCAGTATAAGTGCAGGTAAAAATTAGATATTTTCAGCAAATCAGCTTCACTCAATTCTTGTTTTTCTCTCTTTAATAAAGTCATTAATATATAGTGTTGCAGTACACTAGCTTGAGAATGCAGAAATTTTGTGGGGGAGGAATGAGGAAGATAAGTTATGTCAGACATCTGGATGCTGAAAGACAGGCTCTTTTCAGCAGTGTACTCACTAAAAATAAAAGGTTTTTCTTAATGAAGAGGATACATGCTCACTGTCAGTTTCTCACAAAGGATAAGTAGTACCTCTTATGATTTATAACACACTCCGAAAAAGGAAACTGATACAGTTTTGCTATTATACTTCCAGAATAATCATCTTATACTGAATAATTGAAATAAGAAAAGTCTTGCTACTTGTGAAAAAATAACCAAGTCTAAACAACACCCTCTTACAAATGTATTTCTAAAAATCTAGACCTAAAGCTAATTAAAAACTAGATCGCTTACATTTTGTGCATTTATTTCAATCTCAAAGACAGGCATTAGCAAACAAACACCCACTCCCCTCTCCCAAAACAAAAATCACATACAAAAAAGCCCAAAAACCCAAACCCACCACACCAACCAAACAAAAAAATCTTAAAAGCACAGAACACTGAAAAACAAACAAACCAACCCTTACAGCAATCTTTAGGGAAAAAAATATTTAAAAAAAGGATCTGAACTTCTAGGCAAAGAAACATTTATTTCTTCATTAAAAAAATAATAAATCACAATTGGGTAACTACTGTATAAGCCAGAAAGTCTACTAGTCTAATATCCCATAGCTACTTGTCTTCATCAACCAAATAAAGATACTTTTCTGGAAGGGTATCGTCCATTTCGCTCCTTCCCTTTTTCTTACCAGGATATTGCCATCTGTACATTAATAAGAATTACACTTACCTGTGATACCCTCTGCCAGTAGATCAGTCATTTTGCAGCACAGTGACAGTAATTTAGTAGTGTAATCATCTAAAAGCATTACCTAAACATTTTGAAAAAACACACAAGTATTTACGTAAGTTAATCAGCTATAGCAAACCCACGTTATTGCCTTAACTTGGTGTGGAAATTTGAAGCTGAAATCTATTTCATTACTCTATATCTTTTCATTACCTGCATATAGCAACACTGCAGGAGAAAATTAGTCTCAAACAGCATTAGAAGGCAGCTCCCTACATACAGGATATCCAAAGATAAGCTTCATCTTAACTAAGTAGCTTGTCCCCCCGACTCATACTAAAAAATATTTTGAAACTTTCACTTGGTCACAAGTCTTTTGAATTCCTGCTAATATACACAATGGCCTGCTTAAATATATCTGTACTTATTCTAAAACTGTTTTATAGCTTAAGCAGCTCAAAGAGGTGAATCCACACGTACTAGAGTGCCATATAATTTATGAAAGTAATAAAGCATAAGTCTTTGAAAAGAAAAGTGGAAATAAACAAAAACAGTTTCTAATTTTTTTTAAAAACTAAAAAAAATAAGAGGCAATTAACCATTTGTTCTCCCTATACTAGCCTTTAGATTTTTCAACATGTATTATACAGTGTTCAGAGTTACCAAACCCCAAATCTATTACTTGGATAGAAAACAATGTTAGGTGAAAATACCAGCCATGAAGTTTATTTATTTGTTCTCTACTCAGTGATACAGATTTCTTGTTCAAGCGATGACAACATTCTTACAAAAATAACAAAACTGTACCTTCCATTCTTCCTCTTTCCTGAAGTCATCAAACACTGCTGATTTTAGCTCTGCAAGAAGAAAGAGTTTCTCAGTTAGAGGAATCAAATTGTTACTAAAAAAGAAAAAAATAATTCACTCATTTAGATTCATATGTTTAGAGGCCTAAAAAGAATAATAAAAAAACCCCACATCAATAAATATATCCACAGAATTCTTGACCACAAACTGTCCCTGCCTGTTTCTAGGTCTGTACACAAGGTGTAATAAAAAATCTTTAGCCTTGTGAAAATTTTATTAACCTCCATATTTCTGGAGAACATTCTTGCCAATTAATTAGTCCTTAGCATTACACAGAGTTCTTTTTAATAAGCTGAATGCCCAATAATCTTGTCCAAAAGCTCAAATATATTTTTTCTACAATACTGTATTTTGGTTGCTTATAAAATAAACCAGACCATACAAATGCGTAATTCAGTTGTCTTGAACCTCATTTCTGTAATTAAAAAATTGAAGTCCATTTTTTCCCATGATAAAAAGAAACTTTATTCCAAGCTGTCAGTGTACTAACACAGTGTACTTGCCCGTGTAACATTCCAGCAATGTTTTGCCCTCAACCTGCAGCTGCCTCATCCAAATAACTGACCTAGACTGCTTTACAAGCTCTTAAAATCATCTCACTGCTCTCCAGCAAGCATTCTGAACACACCAAAAACCATCACAAGCCCAGGAATGATTAGTGCTCCATTTTTGCCCAAGTTTTCATTTTCTTCTCACAAATTTCATACCAATCACACATCCTGAATACCTTTTCTACTTTTGTCTTCTTTGAATTAGTCTAGAAAAGCATTTTTTCTTCTACCTTTACTTCCTGATCTAGATAAGAACTATACACAAGGCTGCAGGAACTGCAGACTGCTAAATCCCTATGTGAAAAAATAAACAAACAAACAAGGAAGCCACACCTTGGCAAAGTCAGTGACCCGTTTATAACACACTTCCTGAAGAAAGGACTGTAAACAAGCGTTACAAAAAATAAAGTTGCAGAAGTGCCAAAATTAACGTAGCTATCTGTGATTAGGCTAGAACCCATTATACAAGTCTAGAACAGAACTCTTTGTGGAAAAACTTTATTTACAGATAGACACGGAGAGCAGCTGTATATAGTTAATGTCAGGATTTTATCCACAGGAACTACTGCTTCCTAAATACAGGTGCTTCCCCTACCCCCATAATTGTGAGCTGACAACAAACTGGGTGAATTAACTCTCCCACACACTTCTGCTTCAATTCAGACTAAAACTGCACCTAACAGAAGGGACTATCACAATGGCACAAAGGGGTTTTTAACAGCACCATGACATAGCACAGGTACAACTCCCTTTGTACACACACCACAGGTACTTCTGTACCTGTTCACAGAGCAGGAATAAGATACACATTGACACAAACTGCCACATAAACCACCAACACCACTGACATACTATTTTCAGATAAATCAGCCTTAAAAAAAAAAAAGCACCAACATGGTTGCTGATCCATTAAGAAGCAGCAGTTTATGGCCTTCAATTACTCATAATCAGAGTGCCAGAGTATGTATGAAACTTAGTTCATCAATTTTCATTGTTGTTGAAATGGAAAGACAAGAGTAACTAATTATCTAACAAAGCATTCTTTTCATGACATACCTCAACTAAACTTGCAATATAAATGTTTTATTATTTACATTGCTTTACCATCACTCTAATCTTCATTCCTCACAGTCTTGTCTGCACTGACAACGCCATTTTCAAAAGTCCTTACAGGCCCTTACAACACTATAATGCTTTGATCACATTCCTTCCTTGAAATGTCCAAGTCTTCTACAAAATATCTCAAGACAAAACGGTGGCTTGACAGTCAAAGGCACACATAACCTAACAGACCAAGACAGGAAAAGCAAAGCAGAAAAAGTAAGGATTTCTAAAGGTCAAGTTGTAAACAAAGGTATCTAATTCATACAAGCAGGGTATAGGTGCCAGCAATTGAGGACTGAACATCAGAGTTCAGTTCCTCTTTCTCAATATCCTCTTCCAGTGACAGGAGCAACCAGATCAGAGCTTTCAGGTGGAAGCAGAGGAGGAACAGAAAGAAGACAGCAGCAGGACCTTCCCATTTCAGTGACAGTCACTAGGCTGGCTGAACAGCTCATGGAGTCACAACCTCAGTACAATTAAGCCCGGGGTGAGGTGGCTGCTAATGCCTTTTCTCATAGGTCTCACACTACCTGAAATACTATGAGCCCTTCTACTCCACCAGGGAAGGGAGCAGTTGCAATTTCCTTTTCTGTAACAAACACCAGCAGAACCTGCTCCTAAACATGGAGTTAAAAATCTGCAGTTCATTTGTAAGACTACGTGGGAACGCCTTCAACTTTTTCTACTGAAACCGTGAAGCCGAACACAAAGCGGGCAGTGCCGCTCCGTGACACACACCAGAGCCCCTCCTGAGGCCGGAGTCTCTCCAAAACAGCCAGTTTGGATGCAATAGAGAAGTCCTGGAAGAGCTGGCTTCAGTTTAAGCTCTCTAAGAGCCGGGCCGGCGGGCTACAGCCCGCAGAGCTCACCCTTATCTCGGAATAAGGCGCGAGCGTCTCTATCCAGGCGCTGTCACCGCGGGCACCGCAAGGCGGGGCAGCCACCTCCCACCCCCGCGATGAGTCACCAGGTGTAGCAGCCGGGGAGAAGCCACCACCCACAGCCTCCGCCGCACAGCCGGCTCCCCGCAGGGCCGCCCGGGACCGACTCCGCTCGCCCTCCTCGGCTCCGACAACGGCGCGGCTCCGGCCGCGGCCCCGGACCCACCCCGGGCGGGCAGGGCACCCCCGACACCACACGGCGGGATATACGCGGGCGGCGCCCCAGCGGCGGCGGCTTCCAGCCGGCCCGCGCACACCGAGCGGCCCCGGGGCGCTCCCGGCCCGGGGCGGGGGCAGCAGCCCCGCACTCGCTCCCGCACTCACTCACTCTGCCACACAGCGCCCTTCAGCCCCCGCACCGGCGGCGCCATCTTGCTGCCAAGCCCTCCCGGCAGCACTCCCTTCCCCTCCCTCTTCAGGGACGGCGGGCGGAGCCGGGCGGCGGAGGAGGGCACTGCCTGCTCCTGGGCGGGGCGGGCTCCTGCCGGCCGGGCCCGGCCCCAATGGAGCCGGGCCCCCTTCCTCTGCCACATTGGGGTCCGTAATTCCCATTGGAGAAGCGCTCGGTGACCAGGGCTCGTCCCCTGAGGAAGGAGTCTCTTGCTGCTCACCTGTCAGCAGGTGAGCCCGGGACACGGGGGCCGCTCCCGACCCCCGCGGCGGCTCCTGGGGCTGTGTGTGGAGCAGCGGGGGGAGCTGGAGAGCGCAGAGCCGAGGGAGCGTCGCGAAACTTGCCGTGGTGCCGGGTCCCCTCGCGGTGGAAACCGGGGCTCCCTTATGAAAGCGGCCCCAGGGTTCTCTCTGACATTCGTGTAAAGCCGCCAAGGAAAACACTGTCGGGTCATAGAACGATACTGTTTGTTGTCGCCTACAATCGTCTGTCAGAAGTTACAGTTTGAAGACATAAAGTCGTGTTGTCTAAGGGGAACCAGCAGCTGGTACAGATACGAAGGAATATGAGGAAAATGTCTCTTTCCACAACGCCAGATACTGAGGAAGGGTGGTTCCCAGTCCATGGCAGTGTTCCATGCGAAGGGGAGTACCACGAGGGCATCATTCCCAACAGAAAAGAAGGTCCTTGTATGTAGACAAAAATACAGTAGGTAATGAGCTGAAGAGCAAATCTCAGATTTGCTTAATTATTGGGCTTAATTATTTTATTAATCTTGTATAACCCATACAGAGACTGCATCCTGTAAGAGAAGGGGGAAAACCCCACCGCCCGCCGGCGCTGTGTCGGCCCCTGTCCCCAGGGTTCGGTGGCCGCCGGCCGGCTGGGCTCCAGCGGGGAGGAGCGCCCAGCCCAGCGCGACCTCCTCTGTCCCGGGGAGCGAGCCTGCAGTGGCAGCACTGCCGAGACACAGAGCTGCTCACAGCAGGGATCGGCCTCGGCTCATCCCCGTGGGAAGGCTGGAACAAAGCTCTGACAAGATGTGTGGTGCGAAAAGTAAATCATTAGCATTTACTGGACTGCTTCTCAACTGCCTAGAAATGGTGAGTGCAACTCATTTACTCTGTAAATGTAAACTAAAAGTTAGGATGGAGACTATCATGCAGATGCTTCCACACTGGTATTGAGTTACTATTACACTTTTGCACTGTTTGCAAGTGACTGAAAAATAAAAGGATATATTAGGATTTGAGGCCTTTCAAAGTGTGTCAACAACTGAAAACGGGATCAATAGGAAGATTTAGAGAGGAAAATGAAAATGAAGAAGCAGTACAATCTGGACACCAGTACCAAATCTCATTGGTTGCATACTCTTTCCATGCTTAAAGAATCTAAGCCAATACATCATATCAGTAAAATGTGTTTAAAAACATAGTATTTTAAGTTGTTGTTGTTGCAATTAACATTCTTAGGTTTTTAATTTTCCAAATAAAATATTTCACATTGTATTTCTAATTTTCTTACATCTTCCTTTTCAGATCTTTTCAGCTAACACAGGTAAATCTTCAAAATGGTATTTTGGTTTTGCCTGCCTGTTTTTTAATGGGTCTGAAGAAAACACACACTTGTGATTTTTAATAAAATATTCTGTAAGTTCTAGCAGTTTTATAAACAAAAATTGTTTTCAAGTTTGATTCAACTTTAAAAAATTATGTTGATATCTTTATAAATTTTAAACCTCATTTTCAGGAGTCCCAATTCTGTTGGGCACTTGCACAAATATTCAGACTTACACCTTGACACTGGTGTGAACCAGAGAGAACACTCAGATGAACAAATTCTGCTGTCCACTACCTACATAACTGTGCTACAAATAGGATTCAAACTGTCCCATATTTGCACCAAATTAATTGTTATATATTTTAATAATAAAAATTAAAAATCACCAAAAGAAAATGCCACCACACTCCTTCCAAAAAAAAAAAAACCCAAACCAAACAAAAAAACCACACCAGGAGAAGCACGCTCTCCCCTGCACAAATATTTCCAATGTTCTGCGTTTTATACTTTCCGCAGTCTTGTATTTTGTGCCTCCACCTTAAAATGTGAATATTGAGTTTTTTGAAAGAAGAGATTACACGATTACAAGAAACGCTTTCAGCATTCATGCACTCTCTGGCAATAGTACATTCCTGCATATCCTGCACTGTCAAGAGCCTTAAATGCTTGATCATTGCAGACATGTTGCAGTATCTGGACACTTACTGTAACATATTCTTTTTATGATTAGCAAAACAACTGATCCTATTTATTTATGGAATAGTGTTGACATTGCTTGTATAGTCACATACGGATTATACATGGTATTTTTTAAAACAATTAGACTACAGCGTATCGGTAATTTAAGAAAAATAGCCATCATCACAGCATGATATTATGAGAGTGAGCAGCAGTTATTACAGTAATTAATGGATTACAAAAGTGAGCAAGGGAAATAGCACTCCAAATTCAGCACAATGCCTATTGTCTGAAAATTAGGTCACATAGATGCTTGATAAGGCACTGAACAATATTCTTGTCAAGACTTAACTAAATTCAGGAATGACTGAAATGTTTTCTGATAATGATTTTTTTGGGTGTTTTAGGTTTCTCTGTGTCTTTATATGATGTGACATCGCAAAGCATTTCTCTCAGATGGCCCAAGTTTTCAGGAGCCTCTTCTTACAGGGTCACAGCTACAGATGTGAATACTGTAGGCCATTCATTACTGGCTCATTTCAGTGATGTGACACTTAAAGCAACTCTAACTTCATTAATTCCCAATACTGTTTATGCTATACAAGCAGAAGCCATTGACAAGAATGGGATTATTCTTGCAGAAACACAGATTATGCAGTCAACAGGTTAGTAAGAGAAACTGGGAAGTATAATTTCCATTGTCCTCTGTATGACTGGGATTTCATCCTTGATGTTTCATTGTACTGGTAGGGAAAATCTGCCATTCTTGTTGAAGCCTTTTGCTGGTTCTCCTACTGAGTTCAATATTAGCATGATTAGCTCCTTTTCTCCTCTCATCTTGTTCCAAGTTTTCCTGATCTGGCACACACAGTTTGCTCAGACTGCATCTTTTTAAATCACCTACCCTTTCATTACAAAAGCAGATATGAAGCTATTTATAAATTTTTTAGAACTGCTAAACAGTAATTTTGTTTCATTCACAAAAGGACTTGTAGCATGTAAGTCACTGATGGATATTGAAAGAATCTACATAAACAGAAATCCTTTTTTATTTCATCACTGAAATGTAATTGAAAAAATATTCTGTTGAAATTCTGTTTTTAAAATAATTTAGCTGATAATTTTGAGAAATAGCCATTACTTTTCCAATTGAATGTTTCTTATAAAATTAATTATTACAATAAAATTTGAAAATAAAAAAGTAGAGGTGTTTTATCATGGTAAGTGTAAACAAGGAGAAGTATTTATCCTGCTAAGTGTAAACAAAATGTCTATTGCTAGCTTAGTTTTGAAGAAGAGATATTAATGATTAATGTTGTGTAATTTATTTCCGATATACATCACATGCTATATATTCTCTACTTGACTGTTAGGCAAAAAACTCCATTAGACTTGCACGTGGATTTCTTGCACAGAAATTTTTATGCACGGTTACTAAAGACAATATTTTAAAAGGAAAAAAAGCATAGTGCAATATCTTACTCAAAGATTGCAAAAGACCCACCTGCAAATGTTCCACAGGCATGGTCAGACAGAATATCTGTTACCATTTTTACAAGTGGGGCAACATAGGGTGTGTGACTGTAACTGATAAGGTGCTTGGAACTAAGAGAGCAGACATAACGCTCAGTTAAATAGCTGTGTAATACTTGCTGGGTCTCCCAAATCCCAGGTGAGCTGCCTTGCTTTGAGTAAGTTTGCCTCAGGGTGCATACTTTGTCCCAAATATTTTACATTCCTTTTCTTAATTTTATGTGGGATACACCTTCATTTTATCTTTTTTTCTTTTCCAGTGAGTGTATATCTGAGTATAGTGAGTCTAAGTGTATCTGCTCTGAGCATGGAGTTAGATGTCCTACATTTTGTCTGTGTGAAATGTTCAGAGCACTCAGCATTTCACAGGGCTCAGTTCCCCAACTTAAGCATGTCTATCATTATTTCCATTTTAGCTCCAGACATACCTGTTATTGACCAAGCTTATTCAAAACTTAGCAACAGTATCACAGTGGAATGGAGAGCGGTACCTGGGGCTACTAGTTACATGCTGACTGCACAAGATGGAGATTCCTTCATTGAAACTGTAGTTAAAAATTCTCCAGGCACAGTAACGGGGCTGAAACCTGCCACCTTGTACAGAATCACTATCAGATCTATAAATTCAGGAGGAAAAAGCCAGCCTTCACCTTTCAGAAAAGCAAAAACAGGTGGACTTTAAAATTCTTATTTCAAATTCTATAATGTTATTATAAAGCATTCATGCATGTACCAGTCCTGAATTATTATAATCTTGCATTTTAAATTGTAATGATCACATTCGCCTTTCAGTTTTTGACAGCTAGAATTCAGGTATTTGACTTAATGACCAGGACAAGAGTCTGAATTAATGGTTTACTTTATGATAGGAAGTTAAGTTAAATATTCAATTGGGAGTTTTGCTAGAATTTGTATGAATATATGTATTTTACTTTAACAAAAGGCATAAGTTGAAGGAATAGAAGAAATGAATAAAATAAAATAATAAGACAATGTAAAACTTAAAGGACGGGAAATGCAGTATCTTGGTGATTTTCATTCTTCAACACTCACAACCTTTCATACTTTCTGTATGAGTTACATTCATTTTACAAAACCTGTAATATAATAATCGATGCATCACAAATCACTTTCTATATTTATTCTATCAAGCTGGCATCCATTTATTTTTCTGCTTTTGTTGTCACTGAATTTGTCTCAGAGTTGGTGATTGTTGTTTCTGTATTCATTTCAAATTTGGCCCTTTCAAACTGTACTACTGAAAAACCAAAAGCTTGATTTTGTTCTTTCTCTACAGTCCTGGCTGCTCCGATTCTGTCTGTTAGTTCTCCGAGCTGTGACTCCATTGCACTGAGCTGGAAAGCTGTGTATATGGCAGCTGGATTCTCTGTGTCACTCATGAGGTCAGATGGTTTGGGCAGAATGCTGAGGGAGAACACCACCAATACCTCCTTGATATTTACAAATCTAGATCCAGGAACTCTCTATACTATCAAGGCTTATGCCTGGAATGCCAATGGGATGCCTGGAGATGATTTCACATATAACCAAAAAACAAGTAAGAAATTTTCTTTTCTGAAACCAAGTGAGCATTAAAAAAAAACCCCAAACCAAAACAGCAACAATATAGCAGGAAATATTTATGTGTGTGTATGATTGTGTTATGTTTTTCAAAGGTACACGGGGTAGATTTTCAGATCACATCATTTTTGCCCCATCTCAAAGTTTATGAAACCTCAGATAACATGACTATGTTTAATAAATATTACTGAGGCAAAGATACCATTAACTGTCCCTAAAGTGGTACCCAGGACAGGTGTGGATAAGGATTACACAAGTTTAGACTGATTTGAGGATTTTTCTAACTGTGAGAAGCAAATATTCAAATAAGGCAGGGAGTTTCAGCAGAAAGCTTCGTGACAGTGTATAACTAGAACTATTTCTTTTAAAAAATGTCACTTTAACATGAATGAGGCTAAGGTCTGCACCACAAAAAATGTATTTAGTTTGCAAATTATGAAAAAGCTCATGTCTGTAGGCCATAATCTAAGTTGTATTTATGTGTTCCAAACTATTGATATACCGTAGGTCCTAATGCACCGGCGGATGTTAAAGTAGCTTTTAATAGTGGTGCTTTAAGAGTTTCTTGGATGCCAACAGAAGGAGCTCTAACTTACACTGTCACAGCCTCCAGTGGACTCTTGAAACTGAAGTGTAACACATCCTCCTCCTCCTGCATGGTGCCATCCCTCCAGTGCAGCTCTGAATATTATGTTTCTGTCACAGCATACAATGATGCTGGATCCAGTAAACCTACTGATGCAGTAAGCTTAAAAACTAGTATGTGTCCTATTGATCCTTATATAGCTTATGGCATTCTAACATATATTTCTTTAATTTCAAATGCAAATTAGTCCATTGCAATTCACAAGTGATTCTCAAATAGTTATTTCTGCTTTTGACCTTTGTGCATGAATGGTGCCATATTCTTTTCTATTTCAGGGATAAGAGCCTAAACTTTCTTCATATTTGTGTAAGAAAAACTTGCAATGGTGTATATATTGTTGGCTGAAACAGTAAGCCTCTGTTTTCCTATTACTAGAAGTACATATTGTAAAGTCAATTTTCTGAGTGTAAAACTAATGTAAGGAATAACAGGTCTGTGAGGAAATGGCATTAAGGATTGCCTCTGGGCTGAGAAGTGTTCTAGGCTAAGTCTAGTTTTTAGTTAGAAAGAAGGTCAACAAAACCACATTCAGTCAAAGTAGCACCACTAGACTAAATTAAGAAACCATCAACCATCATCAGAACAGAAGCTCGCTTGTTTCAGCTACAGCACCAGTGCCATGTCAGAGGTTATTGCTTCCTGACCTGTTAGATGAACTGCCCATGTAATTAAAATCTAAAACATTTCTTTTATTACATGTTACTTTAAAGACACAACACTATTTACTTAGTTATTTGATGTAACCTGCCTCATTTTGACTTTTCATTGATAGGAGTTAGAGATCAATTCTGTGAGCAACTCTGAGGTGGATCTAATGGGATGAGAGAGCCTTACACAGTAGACAAGTATTAAGCTGTGGGCTCTGATCTCAGCCAACACTGCTTCAGCTGGATCATGTACATTCATTCTAATAGCAGCAAGCTACACTTCTTTGAACTAGAAAGAAAGGAAATGTTATTTAAGCAAAAGCCATAGAGTTTGCAGTTTAATGTGACATGATGCCACCAGAAAGGGAACCTAAGCAAAGGACAGTTCTACTCACAGACAGCCAGGGAGTTTCATACAAACATATAAAGGGCTTTCACACATAAAAGCTTTTGGATGCTAATTGTTATTCAAGCTAGTATTACAATTACCATCCAAACCTACTATTTGTGAGCACACACTGTGCCAGTTTCTTTTGAAATACTGCCCAGTGTCGCTGTTTTTTTCACTGTTCGACAGGGGCTCCTTAATCAGAATTTGTTTCTGTAAAACATGAAGATAGTATCTATTTTGTTCTGTAAAAATCATACCCACTTGTCATCTAAATGTAAGTAGCACCCTCTGTAAATGCAGATAATATTGCTGTTTGCTTGAACAAGACAGCAACTGAGTAGAATAATTCTGTATATTCCTGATTTTCCTTTACTATGTAAAAGTGTAACTTCAATAAAAATATTGTCGTTACAATTCTTTTTTTTTTTTAATTTTTTTTTCAGTTCCTTGTGCACCAGTAAACATATCAATTGAAGAGGATGAACTTGGTCACTTGCTGGTGTCATGGTCTAGCGTCAGTTTTGGTCATTATTACGTGGTTTTTGTGAAGAGTGATGATGGCTTGGAAGTGCACTGCAACACATCATATACTCAATGTCATTTTCAGTCAGACTGTGGCTTCACTTATTTCATTAGTGTCTTTGCATATAACAAGGCAGGGCAGAGTCCTTTAGGTGATGTATTCAATTACACTACTGGTAAGTAGCCACTTATTTTTGCAAATTCATTTGGATCCTTTAACTGTGTTTATGGACATTTTTATGGGAAGATGCTGACTTAAACTTCTATTTTTATTCAGGTTTTGGGCAAAACACACAAAGGTTGGCTGAAAAAAAAGGAACACTTCCCGTTGCCATTAAATTTAACTTGTGTAGTCAAGTGCAACATGCTTACAAACTTGAAAATAGTTTAACAATTCACAATCATCAATCAGGCAAGGACATATGAATAACTCACAGCCCTGGCGTAACATTTGAACTCTAGTCCTGTTTAGTTTTTTTCTAAACACCTCAGGAATGGTGTGTCAAAATCCTAAACTTCCTCAAAGAGAGTTTTCATACTTGGAAAATAAAAAAAAGATTAACCAGTTCAATGGGAAATTGAGAAGAATGTTGTTTGAATTATTTAACCTCTAGATGCTTTTAAAGCTTCAACCAAAGATATATGTAATTCCTGCGTCTGACCTAAACACTAGGATGTCCTGTATTGATTTTGGAAGGAGGAGCATTGAATTAATTCAGGAAATAAGTCTGGGATTCATGAGACTGTTTGCACAGTATTGGTCACCTTTGGAGATTTAAGACATGAAGCACATAGGCAAACTAAAGAAGGCTCCTATTCATGCCAGTTTCCCGTTCCCATTCGAGTTTCCCTCTCTGCCTCATCTGTTCCCAGCTCCTTGTTGCCCCAGCGACTTCAGGGCCGTGTTCGTGTCCAGCGACACCGTGCGGGTCACCTGGGCTCCTGTCCGAGGCGCCGACCTGTACGAGACCAGAGCTGCCGCCTGGAGCACGGTGGTGCTCTGCAATGACACGGCCCCGGCCTGCACCCTGTCAGCTCTGCAGTGCAACACCCGCTACCACATCACCGTTCACTCCTTCAGCGAGGCCAGGGGCAGCAACACCTCATGTGCGCCCACGCACGTGGCAACAGGTACCGTGATCACTCGTGTTTTCCTTTAGCAGGAGAAATAATTATTAGGCACCGCAGTGATTCATGGATGAAATGCATTACTGGAATGCTAACTTACTGTAACTGATAAAAATTAAAAAAAATAACCCTCCAAACCAGGAAGTCTTTAAAAATATACTGTAAGCAGGGATCTAAAAACAGATTTGGACTGAAAGTTTCTGGCAGCTCCAATATTTTGAAAATCAGATTTACAGTTTATCTCTGGTTTTGTACACAAACTCCTTATGTTGTCAGTTCTGTCACAAGGTCTAAATTCTCACCAGGACTAAGTATATAAGGATCATATACTTTTTCCAAAGCAGTTTGTTAGTTCTAACTGGAATTTAATTTTCATGTCTAACTTACATAGTATGTATAAACAATCTGTTTAAATACTGTTAATATGAAATATTTCAGCTCCCTGCAGTCCTGAAATTAAAAATGTCTCAAAGGAGGGTCTTTCTGTAATCAGTGTACAGTGGCAGTCTAACAATGAAGACGCTACATACGTTGTCACTGCCAGAGGAGAGGCTGGACTTTGGCATTGCACAAGCACTGGAAGCTCCTGTACCTTAACTGATCTTCCCTGTGGATCTGCTTTCTCTGTTAGTGCTATAGCAAGATCACCAGCAGGACAGAGCTTACCAAGCTACAGTGTCCCTTTAGAGATGGGTATGTGGGAATTGTATGTTAGCAGCATAATATTAAAATAGTTCTATGACTCTTTATATGTCTTTGGCTTTTTTTTTTTAATTACAGTGTGTGCATATTGTACTACCTATTGCTGGATGCCCTTTGTGTAAACCTGTCTGTATCTTTGTGTGTGTGAGAATGATCACTTGGCAGTTGCCACATACTGAGAAGCCTTAGTGCAAACAATTATTTTGTGGCACAGCTAACTAAAATGCAGTAACATAAGCCACTAATGTAATACATAACTTCTTTGTCAGCATTTTGATATTTAATATTACTAGGAGAAGCAATGAGATAATGTCCACATCAACAAATGAGCAGTATAAAGAACAGATTAAAGCACATCCTACTCACCACTCCTGCTATTAATTTTCTAACAGAGTTTTGTCCTCTACCACTTAACCCAGACAATCCCCAGGCCCTGTACAGCAGTTAATGTACACCAGGGTCTATTTTTAACAGGCAGTTTGGCTGCAGTCATCTTGCATTGTAGAGGAAGAGACTTTAAACAGCGCTGGACTGAGCTATATGACTTGAGGGGTAGAGGTAGACCCTGCTTAATTATCCCATGTACTCTGATACTTTCGAATCTTGGTGAACGATCGTGTTGTAGTAATTCCAGTATTATAACCCACTGTTATAGACAAATTGATCTTGTATTGATGTTCTGTTTATTAGAAGCTTGCCAGCAATGTCAAGTATTTTTCAGCATGCTACTGCTTGCCTGAGAAGTACGCACTTCTTCATTCCTTTGCTCTTGATCATGTACAATTCTGGCTGCAACCCAACAAAATACCTTCCAAACCAGAACTGACTTCTCTATTTTTTCTTTTCTTTAAGCTCCTTGTTGCCCTAACGACCTGATACTAACTCAGGTGACACAGTCTGTAACAAATATCAGCTGGTCTGCTGGGAAGGGTGCACAGACATATGTAACAACACTGGAGTCTCCAAAAGGACAGGCAAAGTGTCGCACTCTTCAGAACTACTGTCTCCTGGGATGCATCACATGTGGCACCAACTACACAGTGTCTCTGAAAGCAATTAGTGAAACGGGTCTGACATCCAGTTGCACATATCAGGGATATTCTTCCAGTATGTAAATTGTAAATGCACTTGGGAAGAAAAAGACTCAATATACAACGTACTTTGTATACTGTTGCTCTCATACAAATAGCACAGCTGAAATTCAGTACATACTTAGTACACTTGCAGCTCCCTCTTCTAAATTAATGTACTTTGGATTATTTTCATATAATTTAAAACTTGTCCTTATGACAGCCATCAGATGGCCATATAAAGAAGTTTTAATAACATTGCTCCAGAATCAATTTCTTAATTTAAATTATGCTATAGCATAATTAAATTTTAGAGACCTCAAAAGGATTTTGGGCACTTTAAGGTAGGCCTCGTGCCAGGTGAGAGCAACAATATTCCAACATGTAAAATGGCTGAATTCCAGCTCCATAATATGAGTCTGATAAAACATTTTCTTTCCTAGTTCAGTTCAAGAATTGTTTTGGCTTTCTGTGAAATAATAATTTCTCAGTGAAATTATGATAATCATAGTAATTTGGTTTAAAATGCACTCTAGGAGTTCACAAAATTTGCTTATTAATGTTTCTCTCTTTATTAGGTGCTTGCTGCCCATCTGGGGTGAAGCTATACAGACTGAACAACAATGGCATCAGGGTGTTCTGGCGAGCCTCTGACGAAACAATGAACTACAGCACTGATTTACATGGTTCAAAAGGCAACTTCACCTGTACCCCCAGCGCAGGTCGAAGTCACTGCGACATCACCGAGATACCCTGTGGGGATGTCTACACAGTGGTGGTAGCTCCACTGACTGATAAGGGTCCAAAGCTCACATTCTGTCCTAAAAAAATATATTCAGGTAAAATTTAAATTTCTTTGAATGATCTGGTTTTGTCCATGCATTCTAGATGGTTAAAATGTAATCCAAAGTTATGAAGGTAAAGGTGGCATGTTCTAGTGTTGACTACAGAGTAAACTTCGTGGGTGCTGTCTTGCAATATCTGTTACAAGAACTTCACAGGAGCATTTTGGGACTGGGCATACTTACCTACACAGATCCTCTTAACTAGATCAACTGTATCCTGGTGAAGGTTAGGAGTGGTTACAATATAGGAACAAATAAATGAGCATTTTTTGTTTTGTTTTTGAATTTGGTTTATGGATGTTTTTTAAATAAAGAAACAATTACTTCTATGAACCACTCCTAAGCACATTTTGAAGTAATAATTGTTTAAAGGGGTAGTAGTTACCTTGGGATTCCTTTCCTAGGGCATGGATTTAATCCATTTTAAAAGTACTGGTATCTGATGGGATTGCACAGTTGGACTACATACTACAGACTAATAATGTTTCACAGCTCACAACCTGACACCTCACATTTATACCACTGTTTCATGTCATTTCAGTAACTTGTTCTGGAAGCTCTGTTGGAATGGGTAAGAGCACATAGTACATTCATTACAAATTCACGGAGTTTGTAAAATATGTTCACATCGTTTAACTTCAAATAAGATGCATATAACATAAATTTGATCATCAAGGCTTCTGTTAGTATTATGCAGGTTTGTCTCACCCCCCATCTTATAATGAATAATTAAAAACCACAATCTTATCTATATTGTGGCCTGTATACCATCATGCATAGTCACAACACTATTTATCAGATAGTACAAAATAAAAGGCAGGCTTATCTTTTATAGCCTCACCATATCCCATTACAAATTAAACGAGGTTGCACTTCTGATTTTTATTTTTAAAAAGCTTAAAAAATGTGGCTTACCTCAACTTATTCTACCTTATTTCTTCTGGGGTTTAAACAGGATAGTCTTGTGTTTTATTTGCCTACGTAAACTGCTAGAAACAACTTCAAAAGCAGCCACTGAAAAACTTCTCAAAACAGTTGCTTTTCTATAACTGAAACTGAATTTCCAAATTCTTTTCTAGTGATTTATAGAGGCAAGAGCAATGCAGAACACATCTAAATGAAAATTCTGGTTCAGATAAGAAGGTAAGTTACAAGAATTGCCGCTGATATTATGATGTATTAATCAAACTTTTCCTGCTGATTAAATCTTTGGGACTGGAGATAATCCATATTTACCTCCAAAAGCTCATGTTGTCTACTCCTACTATCAATACTGATTTGTCCTCCATTTATAATAACCCTCTTTCACTTCATTAAACCTTTTCTAATACTATCCTCTAGTTCCCCATAAAAGCCTTCAAAATACAAACTGATCAAGATACTCTTCAGCACCCATTTACTTTCTCTCTTTGCCAGCTAAAATTGCTTACTCTTCAACACAATTACCAGCGTTCTGCACTATTTACTGCTCCTGTCTCAAAGGAATGGCAAGAAATCACTGCTGACTTTTTCCCCCCAAGGCTGATCATCTCCTTTTTGCTGCTATTCACCTACAGCTATCCTGGATGTTAAGGTTGTTGATAACACCATTCTCCCTAAATGCTCCTTTCACTCTTTCTTTCCCTGAAGCTGGAAAGACAACATCTGTGCTTAATGGCAACATTCACAGCTGCTCAGGACTGGGAGGAGGGAAGCTGAACAGCTAGTCATATCTGAGATCTAATCCAGGACATCAAATTTGAGCCCCAGCTGACAAGATCATTTTTAAAATGCAGCTGAACACTTGATGGAGATGTCTGTAATCTTGAACTATAATTTTCTGTGCAAGCAATCACTTTTAAAAGTTCTTCCAAGAACCGTTATTAATCAGTAGGTGTGTTCCAGAACTAATGTACCAACGAAATAAGGCTGAAATAAAGATCAAGAGAGTGAAGTTAAATTTCTTAAAAAAAGAAAACAAAACAAAGTAACAGCAGTTCAGGTAGAATCACTCAAAAGCAGCTTGAGGCTTAATCGAGTATTATTCCAAGGCTATTTCATTTTACTTCAAAATTTAAAAAAAGTTTCTTCCTTTAGAGTTTAGAGAGGTGACTCATGAGGAGTAAACAGAATGTCCTCTTCACATCAACTGACTTGCTTTGCACTGTAGCTAATGAAGAATTGACAGATATTACTAAAATTTTAATTTCCCATTTTTCAGAAAAGGCAGGACCTTTTCTCATACTCCTCACTGGTTACTTTCTCAGCCAACACAGAAAGCAAAGTTCAAGGTCAACAGTTCTACAAACATATGTAATCTTACAAAGAGAGTCTTCAGAAACTCAGTTGTATAAAGGTAACCAAAGACAACAGGCATTTTTACACAGCTGTATTAGGTATCTCAGTCACTGCTTCTGATCACCTGCACAGAATCATCTCACAGGAATCACCCTTCAATACGTTGATTGTAGATGGCCCAAGAATTACATGTTGCTTCTTAAAACATCATCTACATTTAGTCATGGTCAAACAAGTCTTTCTTTAGGAAACATTATTTGAAACTGCCCTGCATTAGCTAATAAACAGTTGGCAACTTTTCTCATTAATTGAAAAAAAAATATTATTGTTAAAGGCTTTCTTCCTCAAGGGTTTTACTTAAATATTTCTTCTTTGGAGACATCACTGTGAAACACTGCCACCAAGGCCTAAGTGTTTAACCAGGTGGCTATTAACTGGATTTTCAGAGGTCTAAAGCAATCAGTTTCTTTCAGAATCAAGTTCAGGGCCCAAATTTCTTCTTCTCGCATAAACAATTGTGGTAATTCCATGCTCTAACAGTAATTCTAATGTTTTTTAAACTGTTGGTGTATATTTTCTCAATTCTTCCTGGCATACAAACCTTAACATCTCAAAATTGCACACTACAAGCAGGACAATGCTATAGTACTGTTTTCATCAGCTCCCCTCACTTTTACAATTAAAAAGAAGCATAGTTGTAACAGAATGTATTATTTGCATGTCTGTTGGGGGGGAAAAAAAAGGAAAAAGCTGAAGAGGAGTAATGATTTTAAGAAAAAACACATTGATTCAGCTCAAAAAAAATGGTTAGGGGATGTACACAATTAACCAAAAGAGGGAGGAAAAGCAACAAAACCAAACTGAGCCAGATCCACACCTCCTGCTGTGGCCGTGTATATCTTCCAGGCCTTGTTCCTCAGGCATTAGGCATTGTCTTAATAGTAATTAACACTGCTGATATGTGAAATGACACTGGCAATCACTCAGATGATTAAAAAATTTTGGTGAGGATTAGTTGCAGGTTCTCTCCAGACTGAGGTAAATGCTTTTTTATGGGTCATGCTGACTTAATGGACGATGACATGTAATGTTTTCATAGATGTAGTTTCTACACTACTTACTAGTATGAAGCTCTGGTCTTTGTGAAATAAAAAACCACAACCAATAAATCCCCTCACCAAAATAACAAAAAAAAACCCTAACAAAAACCCCCAAGCAACCCAACCCCATTAAGCTCTTGAAAGAAGAGACTTTAGAACCAACAAGGTACATGGGCTTCATAGCAGTGCAAAAGGCTCAAACATCAGCAGAAGTTCCCTCATTGCTTCGGGTTCCCTTTAAGGGTGGAATTTGTATACTGTACGAGACTAAAAATATTACTAATGCAGTACTTACCGTTGGAGCCACAGGAAATTTCAAAGACAGATGAGGCTGCCAAGGGATAACTATCCCAGCTAGGTAACTATGGACATGTGGCATCCTGTGGGAACTTTGGGTTCACAGTGCTTCAGTCGTTGTGCTTTTACCCTGAGAACTGAAGAGTGCACAGACTGTCAGAGAGCAGCTCCTGGGGAAACTCCCATGCCTCCAATTAAAACTGGCAGAAGTTTTCTCCGAATGCCCTGAGCTGAATGCCCACAGTGCAGCTGCACTGCAGCAACTGCAGCAGAGTGGGCAGCACCAGCACCTCCACTGAACTTACCACTGCTCACCAGAGCTGCTTGCACACCACAGTTCCTTTTGGTTTCAAGGAAGGTCATGTGAAATAAAATGATATCAGAAAGACAAAAAGGAACCAGAGTCCCTGGATCCAAACCCAAGAGCTGCACGATACTAAATCCCAAGGATAACTTAAGACAGGTGTCTTGGTCCAAGTAATTTTCATGGGTCTTGGTAATGAATATTGTGCCATCCATTACACTAACTCAAGTACATAATATGCATCAGATTAAATCCAGAAGTCAAAAAGTACTATTTATTGGAAAATAAAAGCAAGTCCTCAAATTAGTGCACTTGTAAGAGGTACTGGCACGGGCTGGTCTTTTCACAAGCTGTACCAAAATGTTGACCATCTTTGTTGTAGTAAGACAGCCATTCTCCGCTTTCAGGTCAAAGATTGTGTTTCTCAAATACCTGTATTTTTCCTGCAAATAAACCATTCTTTCACTGTATTTCCCAACAATGGCGGAGGAGGGGGAGCCCTGAAGGAACAATTGGAAATCAGTAATCCATTTTCCCTGACAGAACAGTGGCCTTGCAGCCTCTCTGCCTAAGAGTGTACTTGCTTCAGAAACTGAAGGTTAAAAACAAGGCCAAAAGAAGCCCTCTAGACACAAACAAGATAAAGTTGTCCTCACTGTTTTGACTTGGCAGAGACAAGCTCTAATAATCTACTAGACAGGGTATTTCTTAAATGGCCAGTACAGTTTTTCTCCCATATTAAATGAGAGCTCAGTAGTTTTGTTTTACACTGCAAGGGAGTGACTTCTTTGAAGCTGAAGTTTTGTTTCAAGCTCAGATTTAAAATCAGGTAACACAAATATAAACAGACAATACCTCAACAACATCAGTATTAAAAGATCTTGATTACTAAGGATCACGATGACAAAGGAACTGTTTCTGAACTGTTAGTTCAGAAAAAAATTAGACCAGGGAGGAAGAAAAAAAATGAAGTTTGCTCCTTGGAATACTATGGAATGAAGTGTACTGTTAGAAGCTGAAACACTTTGTTTTCTCCTGGATGTTAAAACAAAACAAAAAAAAAAGCCTAAATGACCTGCATCACACAGAAGCAAAAAGGAACAATTATCAACTTATTTCTACCTTCTACCTTCAGGTCACTTCATCCTCATGAATGAGTCACACTTCATGTTCTTCCTGTTTTGGGGCTGCTGCATTTCTTTGTTTGCTACATGTCCCACATAAAGTACTTATTACATAAAATCCCTTATTCATACAAAATGTCACTTGATCTGAAAAAGAAATGTGGAGGAACCAAAACACTCTTCAACTGGCAATGAACATGCAGGGAAAAGCTGACACTCGATACAAAGGAATTAATTGAGAGTTTATTCCAGATGGTTCTCCTCACTTAGTATACAAGTCATCAGAATAATCTACCAAATAGACTTGGACTGTATTGATATGATTTTCTTCTATAATCCATTTTGGTTTTTGCTTCTAACAACCTGTTTTAAAAAAAAATCTGCCAGATGAAATGTTCAGCATGAACTGCGATCCTTCCTATTTGTAGAAAATATGACTTAAAAAAGGACACTGTCATTTAGTTCATATTTTAAATGTTTACACTTATAAAAATGCTTTGGAAGCTTGAAACTGAAATCCTTTGTAACATTTTTCTTCTTCCTACCTCCCTCTTCCCATCTTAAATGCCTTTATTAGCCCAGGATTAACATAAATGACAGAGTGCAGCTGATGATTAAAAAAACAAAAACATTAAAAGACCACAAATGGATAAATTGTGTTTAAAAAAAAAAGGAAGCTTACATGGATTTTTTTCAAACAAATAAAATGCATAGATGGCTACGGTACTCATCTGTCAACCTTTACAGTGTCCGCTTGAGGTAGCCTTTCTACAGAATTACTAAACAAGCCCCAACATCATCTAAATCCTTGCATCAAAACCACTATCTCTTTGAAAGTCCACTAATTTAACACCACTGGTGATCAACATAATACAAAGCTTTGAAGAAAACAGCAGGTACAGTGGACATAAATGTTAGTTCTAAATCTGCAGCCCTCAATGTACATTGTATGCACATAAATATCTCAGCTATAGTACACATTCCAGATCCATCCCTAAAAGCCATACTATTACGTAAAGCACAGCCATGCTAACTTCAGGATACAAACCATAATTCCACGTCTACGAAAGGGAAGTATAATTAGTGGCAGTTTATTGCCTCATACAAATTTAACCAACATGGCAACCATGCCGAAGGAATTAAAACATTTTCAGGACATATGTACAGACTGTACATTTCAGAAACATCTGAACAATAAAAATGCAAAAACAATCTCTGCATTACAAATTAAACTAAACAAATGGTTTGAAACCGTCAATGCATTGAATGGGTTTACAAAGGCACTTCCCTACCCAAAATAGGAAATGACAATCTGCAGCCTAGAGGGAGGTTGGAGAAGAGTGCTCATCAACTACTGCACAATCTCAACTTTAAGAAAAAATAAGCAGGATTTAATCAAACATTTATAGGATTCAATGTGATCCACTTCTGAAAGAATTCACAGAGTCTCATCTTTGATTTTCTCTTGCTTTTCCTGGCTCTCTCGTTCTGTACTTTGGCTCCTTCGGCGATCATGTTTGTCAGAATGGTCCTTGCTATCACTGTGATCATGTTTGTGGGAACGTTCTTTGCTTCTGCTACGCTTCCTAGATTTTTCTTTGCTGGGACTCTGATCTCGTTTTCTGGACTTCTCAACACTATCTGTTCTTCCTCTGCTTCTGCTTCTACTTCGTTTATTCGACTTCTCCTTATTTTCATTTTTATGTTTACTTGATTTTTCTTTGCTCCTGCTTCTGCTGCGCTTACCTGTGTTCCTACTGCGGCTCCTACTCCTATGTTTTCTTTCCCGGCTTCGACTTCTACTATGTTTTCTCTCTTTTTTGGAATCCCTCTTGTCATCCCGGTGTTTCTTCTCATCCTTGTCATCCTTGTGTCTTCTCTCTTCTGTATCACCCTTACTTTTTCTTTCTTTTGACCTTTCTCTAGATCGATCTTTTTCCCTCTCACTACCTCTTTCCTTATCATAATCTCTCTCTTTTTTTCGACTCCGTTCATTTTCTTTTTCTCGCTCCCTATCCCTGTCTCTTCTATCTCCTTTCCTGTCACGACTTCGACTACGGCTTCTGTATCTGTCCCTGCTCCTGCTTCGCCTCCGTTCCAGTGTGCGATCAGTACTTCGAGATCTCCGCCTTTCTTTTTCTCTCTCCTTTGCCTCACGTTCTAATCTCTGCCGTTCTCTTTCTCTTTCTAGTTCTCTGTCAAAACTAGATGATCCATGGCCTTCCCGATGGTGACTTCTGCTTCTGGATCTTCTGGGAGACCTCCTGGGACTGATCGATCTTGGTCTTGGAGACCTTTTAAAAAAGAAGATATTCAGTGTGAAACACATCCTTTTTAAGTTAAAGAGACCATCTTTCCTTTTCAATTTATACTTTACATACACAGTCTGTTTTTTATCTTAAATACCAAATATCATGTGATGATTTTAATCCATTAGCATCCGTAAACTTTTTTGCCTGTTGCCTTAAAACCCAACCCAGTCAAAAGACAAGATGTTGCTGGTAATAAGTTGTTCAATAATAAACTTTTAACATTCATTTTAAAAATAACGTGTATATGACCTTGAACGTCTACGTTCTGCATGCCGTTCGATTTCTTCCATTCCCTCCTTGCCCTCTTTCTTGATTTTTCTAGGTCTGCTTTTAATTTGCTGGTCAATAGCTTTCTGGACTGGCACAGGAATTCTTGGAAACAAGGTGGAAAACCATTCAAGCTTTGTGAGGAAGGAACGAAGCATCTCCCCAATGGTCATAACGCAACCCCCACCTGCCTTCACATCCAGGTCCTGTAAAATACAAGCAAAAAATATCCTGATGGTCAAAAATATTCTTTACTGATTAAAAAAAAATGTTTCTACATTACTGTCCTATTGAAGTCTCATGATTATGAAAGTTTACTTGTCTCATATTCTAATACATTTCCTTAGAAAAATTCAAACTCTGCGCCCTTTGGATTTAGCAGTATGTTACAGACAGGGAATGGGACTTAATATATATGCATGCAGGCACACACTAATCCTGCAGCCATCTGGATGGTAAGGGACTGTCGATGAAGAGATTAACGCAAAATCCCCTTATACAGTCTGGTTATATGGTATGATCTTGTATTTTATTTCAATGCCAAAATGTTGAGAAGTCCTCTGAAAGTACATTTAATACTCCATTTTGTGGATGTACAACCGTGTACCATCATACCCAACCCTGTGGCCTAAATCATTTATGAACTACATCATTGCCTATCTAAAAATGATCATAGAAAAACCTCTAGTACAAAATGGCATCCTAACAGAATTGGAAGCAATAGCAAACCAACTGCCATGAAGCAGTGAGGTTTCTAATTTAGAAATATGTAAAAAAATAAATAAATGAACAAATAATTGGAAACGCATAATCCATGATGACCATTGTCTCTGAAAAGGGTCATTACCGCATGAAGGCCTTCTTGCTATGCCCTCTCACAGCTCAGGACATGTTAGTCAGCTATTGTCAGTCCCAAACCTATAGTGCAAGCACACAAGGAAAGTGAGATTTGTTATCTAAACAGGAAGAGAAAATCTAAACGTAAAACTGCTTGCACTCACACACATTTAAGTGTTCAGATATACAGTTTTTCCAAATATAATCGCTGCAGAGATCTAAAGAAGAAAAAAAGGAGTTAAACGTAGCACCTGGAGAGTACGTACAGTTAAACAAAATAAACATAAGAAGCATTTTGAAAGGTAACTCTGTATCCTGGGAAGTTTTTCACAGCAGCATGACAAAAGATTAACTGCTTCCACATATTTAAGAACTGAAGGGGAAAAAAAATCCTGTAGGTTTAAATAATTCCATATATAAAAATTTGCTTCATCCTATAGAGTTTGACCAGGACTAGTAAGAAACTTAAGCAGCCCCAAGCACGTAACACAAAGCTACTGATAGCAGCTGGGAAAGAAACACTAATTCCAAAAATATACTGGGAGATTTTAAACAAGAAACAAATACATCTTGATAACCAATATCTGCAAGAACTAAAATGTATAAATAAAAAATATGCTTTGAATAATGAACCAGTTAAGACTTGCACAATGCAATGCGCTTGTGATCACTTTATTGTCCTTTGAGTCCACACTGAGTTTGCGAGACCCTGAGAATGAAGCCACCCCAATCCTTCTCATAAATTACAGTCCAGCATTGCAGAGGAGAGTTCATTTTAACTACCCCACCTGGGGGAGAAGGAGGAGATCACAGAGATGCAATCAAGGTTCAAATTTGTTTTGATTTTTGTTAAAAATGTAGAATAGCACAGGTTTACCTGAAATAACAGCTGTTTCCTTTGCACAGTGTTTTTGATACTTAGCATGAAAGAAGTTGTTCATTGCAGTCAGATACAGGTGTAATTAACACTATTTTTATTACAAATATCTGGACATCATTTGCAACTACAGCATTTGGAATTTCTTGAAGTAGATGTATACTGTCACACTGAAGAGGGCAGATGATCCTTCCTGTTCCATTCTTAAATCTAAGATGTAACTTAAAACCTGCTCAATAAATACAGATTGCAGCAGTACGTAGCAGACCGTGTATTCAAGTTCATAGCCCAAGAAGCGTCACCCACCAACTCCCTACTCTGTTTCCCCAAACAGTAAATCAGGACTAGGATACCAAAGGTATTCTCCCACCTGACTGCATAATAATGCAGCCTCTGCACTGGACTTCAGTGAGCAACTCATCTTCTTTATTTGTCCCCAAAGACATGAACAATGGAACCTTATGCCATAATCAGGCTGTTTGCTTCTCCTCTGGAGAAATCCTGGGTTTAGTTATTCCAGGACATGAATAATAACAACAGAGATTTTTGGCAGTATTTTCCAAGGTGAATGTTGGTTTCTACTATGTACTTCCCACTCTTTTATGTCAGCGTCAATTCTCCCATCCCAGTAATAAATAGATAATATAAATTTAGCATTCTCATGACTTACTACACCTTGCTTTTAAGATATGACTTTGAAAAATGCACAGAAGCCACACATACCCTGCTGTTTGAATTCTGATTTAGTACACCTGTTTCACATGGCTTTGTCAATCTGACACAGTAACATACTAACCAGCAAAAAATTCTATTAGATCTTTACGAAAAATAACCCATGTCCGAGCTCAAACCTGCTTCCTGCACTAATTAATAAAAATTAAAGAACAGAACGTTACAACAAACTACAGAAAACCTTATGAAACAATGTTTAAACCTAAAGTAGGAACACGAAAAGAAACAAAAGAAAACAAATTATTACCCTCGCCGACATACCTCTTCGTCATCAAGAAAGGATTCAAACCAGTCCCATAGATCTGTAGGTGGTTGTGTGTACCTTCAAGTACAAAAAGAATGTAAAATTTTAATACAGTTGTCTGCATATTAAAACAGTCATTAGTTGATAACAGTGATACTTACCTAATATACATAAATCCAAGAGCCCTAATATATGGAGAGTCTGTATGAGTTATAAGGCCCATCACTTGCTTACGAGTGAGTTTCAGGGTAAATAATTTGTAGAGCAGACAAAAGGCAGTGGACACAATTCCTCCAGTTCCAACACCACGCACCTTTCAAAAGCAAAAAGTTAGGTGAGGATGCAGGAAGTCAAAGACATTATCCCAAATCTTCAAAAGAATGTGAGAACTAACACATAATAAAATCTAAATCTACAAAAAAAGCTATGTGGAAAAAGTAACACTACCTGCATCCACAGCTTTGGAAGCAAGAGGAATATATCTACTCTATGTAATAAATACTTCTACATCTAGAGACTGATGTCAACAGACCAGCAAGTTTTAACTATGCTTGGCAAAGTTCTTTACCAGACAGAAAAATTTAAGAAGGCACGTACTTCTACTTACCCCTCCACACATCCCTGTCTGGCCTGCGGTTTTCCTGCTGCCCTTCTCCCATGGTTCAACATGTGTAACCTGAAAGGGTGAGGTGAGGGACAGGAGAAAGTAAATTACAATTGCAACCTCCATAATGTTTAGGTGCTTGTACAAACCTGATTTAAACAATGGACATCATAAACCAGTCTTTAAAGTTTGTCTTCTATGAAATTTAAGATCAAGTCTGCTTTGTCATTAAAGCAAAGCATCCGGCTTTTTAAACTACAACATTAAGAAATTAGAGCCAAAATCATGACTGAAGTTTAAAACAAACAAATCCCGAAACACCAAAGGAAGCATCCATGCTCATTCTATACTCCACGTACTTTCAAATGCTTTATGATTAAAGTCTATCATTACTGTTTTCTTGGGTGACTAAACAACTGCCTGTATTTAAACTGTCTCCTTTAGTTTAGTGATATCTGCTGCTGAGAGCTACAGAAGTCAAAATATAGTGTCTCACATTCATGAGTTTCACTTACGCAGTGAGCTTAGCTAGAGATTCCTTTTGGTATCACTTACAGTTAGGACAAAAGAAAGATGTTTATAAAGTGTAGTATTTTAATAAAAAAAATCAGTGTTTTTTCTTCTAGACTGCAGTGATGTTCTTAGGTAAAATGGTTCCTAAGTACTAACAAGTAAATTTGCTCATTTCAAATCTTGTGAGATACATTTAGAGATGAGCACACACACACAGTTAACCAACACCATTCCTAAAACTTGACAATAAGAGTCATAAACATGTTCAGAACCACAAAACTGCCTGTGCTGCATCTGAAATTGTGAAATTCAGAGAAGCAATGTCTGGCTCAATAAAGAAGTATACTGCCTAAGCACATCAACTTAAAAAAAATACATAACAGACAAAAAACCCCCAAACAATGGTGATACACCAGATTTGGAATAAGAGTTCATGGCTGTACTTCACAAATTAAATTTTTTTAACAATACATGAAACAAAACCAATTATGCACACAATTACATGAAATCAGAGATATACTAACAGCTGAAGTTGCTGAACTGTTTGTTTGTGTTTTTTATAGTTGCTGTCTTAGCCAAACAGGAAATATAAGAGATGCCAGTACTGTAGAATTCAAAATTCATTATGACTTCCTGTATTGCATAAGAAGTTCTCAAATACAACATAAATAATACTGCACATCGTTCTGATTATAGAGAGTTTTGCCTCTCACAGGAAATGAAAAGTATTTTTTAGTCCAAGTATTGAGTATGATGCTATCACAATGCTAGTCTTCAGTCTTTTTAATTTAAGTTATATTTATTGGCCGCAATCAATATAAACATGCTAGGTTTGACAGATATTAATTAAAAAATAAGCAAATAACAAAGTTAAAGTTTTGATCCTTCAAAGACTGCTGCATATGCTTAGCTTGTTAGAAGAACAGACTAAATGAAATTGAGAACATGTACATGGTCCTAAGGTCAGAGATAAAGAAAGAGGAAGTCCTGCACTTTGCAGATACAGAACTGAAACAGGAGACCAGAAGTACAAGTAAATTAATTCAAATATTTGGACAGAATCCATATCTTCAAAGACGATCCCTATCACTAACTGCCTGTGTAACTGAAAATCATCTTTCCCGGTAATCCGGCACCCAGCATTCTCCACTTTTTTAAATGAGCCACCAGTTTCTCAAAGAAAGACAAACACTTGAAAATACATCTCCTAGGATGGGTGTCATGTTTATTCAAAGAAAAGAAAACACACAACAATTATTCAGAAATCTTAAAACATGAAGAAAATTCAAATCTTCTTAATATCAATGAAGCACCTTAACCATCTCCCCCACACCCATTACTCACGAGTTAGTAAGAGGCTGAGTTTTCTCTTTATTTAGCCTGCAGTTTTGAGTCAGAGTAACTGAGAAGTTCAGTAAGCAAACTTTATTTGCACAGGATTAATAATCAGATTTTTAATGGCATGACAAAATTTTCCCCCAATTTAAGATTAGGCCACTTGTGGAATGAAACAGTAAGACAAGTAACACGAAATATCTGACCTGCTTCAGGTGAGCTCTGCTAATACAAAGACAACAGATCCCATCAAATATTTTTTACTACATCTGAAAAGGTCCACTTAAAATGAGTATGCTCTCAAATTTTCTGAAAATGTTTCCTTTATAAATTTTTCAGCTCTAGCCATCACTTGCATAAGTAAAGTCTGCTACTTTCCATTCAGATAGTCAGTCTCTCTCACATGCAGCAACTGGAGAGATGCTTTGTCGACAATCTCTGTTACTCTCAGTACTAGGAGAAATAAATAATCAGCTTCAAGTGACAGAGCACAGGCAGACAAATGCTATCATTAAGTGAAAAAACAGTAGCATAGGTAAGCCCAAACTGCCAAAAATCTCAAAAATACTGTGGCGGAGTTACTTTTCTCAATTACAGTGCCCTAAGTAACTTGACTTGCCTTGGTCAAACGAAACAAAAAGGCTACCTTTGCTTTTTTTTAATTTCAAATACACTGAAACCTGCTGACACGGTAACATTATCAAGCAGAATGAATTCACTTGAGAAAAATACCCGAATAACCACCAAAGTACGGGTGGCTAAAGACAGCTGAATTATTCAAGCTTAAATTATCTAAATTTTGGTCTCGTTATCATAACAAAGAAAGTGGCTGTGTTGATGAGCATTAATTATGCATACCTCTACCTGGGAGACTGGCTTGATGGAAGCCTCGCTGCAAAACTGATTCAATCCTGCTAGCAAAACTGATTCAATCCTGCTAACAAAACAAGAACCGAGACATGGATGCCCCGATACAGACCACTCCTCTCCCCAGCACATCCTACCTAACGCCAAGAAAACTTCTTTAACGGGTAACGGAGGAGGGAATCCCAACGTTTAAGTGACGAGGAAAGCCACATGCAGACTCCCGTTGGACCACCTGCAGTCACCATCGTACCCTGTGTGTCAGTGGTTACATGGGGTGTCGGCAGCCCCCGGGCTGCGGGGAGGGCCCGTCCCTGGCCGCGGCCGCTCCGTGCCCTCCGCGCTCGCTCCGGCTGAAGGCGCAGCCCTTCGACGGCCATTTCGCCCCCACCGCCCCGGCTCACGCCGCCCTCTCCAAACCTAACTCACAGCTCCGCAGTTCCAAATCCGACGCGGAATACGCCTCTTTCGCGAGGCAGACAAGGCAGCACCCCCAGCTAAGCACTACAAGTGGTATTCGCTCCCATCCCTCAGCGCGGGGTAAGGGGCGAGAAGGTGCGGGCCGCAGTCAAACCGGGCCCGGCGCCGGCGCGGCCGGCAGGCTCACCTTGAAATAGATCTCGTCCACCACTTCGTGGTAGGTCTTGAGCTCGTAGAGCTGCACCTTGAAATAGGGCGACGAGAGGATGTTGGTGAGGATCATGGGGTTCAGGTTCATGGTCTTCTCGTTGCCCCACAGCGGCAGCACGTTGCCCGGCTTGCCCGAGGCCGCCGGCTTGGGGCCCCCGCCCTGCAGCGGCTGCTGCGCGGGCGGGACGGCGCCGGGCGGGTGCTGGGCCGCCTGCTGCCCCTGGCAGTTGGCGACCGCGGGGCTGTTGTTGGCCATGGCGGGGCGGGCTGGGGCGGGCGGGCCGCGCACACGGAGCGGGGCCGGCGGGCGCTGCCTCAGCCCCGACAAGATGGCGGCCGGGGAAGTGACGGCGGCGCCTTCCGGGGCCGCGTCACCGGCCCGCGGGGAAGGGGCGGGGGCGCTCCGGGGCCTCGGCGCGTCCCGCGACTCCTCCGGCCGTTCTTCCCGCTGCCGACGGCGGCTCCTCCCGCCGTTCTTCCCGCCCGCGGATCCTCCCGTCCCCGCCGCGCCGCGCTTCGACTCGGCCGCCGCCTCATGGCCGGGATACCCCCGCCGGGGGAAGCGAGGGGACCCGTGTCCCGCCGGGGATGGCTGCTGGCACCGGCACACGGGGGTTAGTAGATCGAGCCAGCGACTTAGCAAGGTTGGAAACTGGTCACTTGTCGTCGGCAATGAGGCCAGGGTGCAGCAGGAGCAGGGGAGGGAGCGCCGGCCGCTTCTGCCTCCACGGCAGCGGAAAAGCAAAGAAATCATAGAATCATAGAAAGGGTTTGGGGTGGACAGGACTTCGAGGATCATCTCGTTCCAGCCTCCCTGCCCTGGGCAGGGACACCTTCCTCTAGACCAGGTTGCTCAGAGCCCCATCCAACCTGGCCTTAAACACCTCCAGGGATGGGTCATCCACAGCTTCCCTACTGGGGAAGGGAAGAAATAGTGTCAGGGATGTTGGGTGTGCAGGAGCCCCGGTGTGCGATGGTGACCAGTGCTGGTGACAAGGCCGCTCCTCCAGCTGAGAACCCTGTCAGACACAAAGAAAACAGTTGCTACACCCTGCTGCTCAGTTCCAGCACAACACATCTTTCTGAAATCAGTAATAATACATACAGCCTCGGAACAAGAAGAATTAGGTTAATGCAGTTTGAAAACATCTGGATTTAAGAAAATAACTGTCTACATGTAAATACTGACAGGAAACAAAAGGAACTCCTCCAGTTTTGCCTGCAAAAGCAGAAAAAAAGACTCCAACACAATTAGTTACGTACTTCGGTGTCAAGCTTTAAACCTGAATTACAAAAGGGAGGAGACAATACACAATTTAGAAAAATTGCTAAAATATTCTAAACATCAAATGACTATGCACAAACATAACTGAAAGTCCACTGAAATTACTGCAAACTGGGCATAATGTGGCAAAATACGTTCAGTTGTACACACACAGAAGGGTTCCCCATTGCTCAGCACATCAGGAAACAGGTACAGGGAGAAGCTGGTATGAAAGGATCCATGGAAATAGCATCTCTACATATGTGCTATTTAAAACTAATTTAGACTTTTAATTTAGAAACCAGAAGATAAATACTACTGGAAGTAACATTAAAATACCTTCAGTCTTCACTACACATTGAAACCCTGAGAAACAGTAGTTTATCTTCATTACCCTGGCCCTTCAACGTACCTTAGAGCTTGAAGGATAGCAGAAAAATGTTCTGATCAGGGCCCTGGCAATAAACTGTTTCTCTAAGCTGCCTGTTCTGCTATCTAGGCTCTTCACTCCCTTTTTCTAGGAATAACCACCAGTCTTCTTTTGGCCTTCTCTTCCCATCTTGGCTGATTTCCAAACATGTTCACAAAATCTTCATTACTTACTTACAGGGCTCTACCATATTGATGCAGTAAATATCCATATAACAATCCCATATGAAATCAAAGAACTAATCACAAAACTTAATTTTAAGAAAGTGTCTTTACAGAAGCGACCTTGTTCTGGAGGCAGTTAGCTAGAGCAGTAACTTTCTTTGAACCTGAGTCGTTTTATTGTTGTTCTTTAGGGTATCCTTGACTGAGCACTTCCTTAATTTATACTGTATAATCACTTCAAGACAGCCTGTGTTTCTGTTATAATTTATATTATCCAAATTGTGTTTTCATACATTTAGCTTTTCCTGTTGAAATATTTAGTCACTATATTCCAAGCCTCAGTACTTTTTACTCTGTTTAAGATAACATTTTTGTACTTCTTATACATTCCCTCTTTGGTGGTGATGCTGAAACCTCTGATATAGTTGCAACCTATGAATCCATTTGCTCCAAATTAGATTTCCTTCCCTCAGGCATCCCACCTGGTCTTTATACTGAATACAGCCAAAATGAAAAGAAAAAAAACAAAACACCAAGAACCCTCAAAAGAGGTGATTTTCACTTGCAAACTGCAAGACACTATACACAATTATAAAAGAGTTAGAGGATGGTGATTTGTGTGTAAGAGTCTAGCCTCACTTCTCATTCACACAAATTAATTCTGAACTTTTTCAAATGGGCCAAATCTGTTGAAGCTGAGGAGAAAAATCCTAGTACTTAAGTCACTGAATTTGGGTTGAGAGAAGTGGTTGTTAGCTCTTAAATTATAGATTAAATAGCATTCCTGTATGTATATTCCTGTCAGCGGACTAGTGTCTCCTGGCAGCAGAGCTGCATTAGATTTCTTTTGCTATCACATTTAATTACATGCACTGCAACTTCAAAAAGGAAAAGTACTGGAATTGCACACAGTTGTCTTTTTCATCCCACTTACTGAAGGAAATAAGTGTCAGCAGTTTAAAATTTCTTGATTCGTGACTTTATACTCTGAGATGCTTTTATTCCAGTGTAGTCATATCATTTGTTGCTCTCTGTAAGGTACAAAATTAACAGGCTTCTCTAAAAATAACCTGCTTAATTTGTGTGCATATTGAACTAAATGCAATTTCAATATTCAGTTTGAAACAGTTTCTGTCCATGGCCACATTGGGATATACAGGTCTGTAAATCTTAATGGGGAGAAATCCCACAAGAAAACTGACCAGACATTAAATATACAATGTTTTTTCTATAACTAAAGATCGTTAATATTACAAATATATATTGTATACAAATAATATTACCATCTGCAATGCAAACTGATAGTAATAGCAGTATGGCCAGGCTGCCACACTTGAATATACTTTTTGGTGATCCACTGGTTTTAGTGATCTCCGCCTCATTGACCCAGGCAAGGCTTGTTCACTACATGTGGAGACCAGCGCAACAGCGCGTTTGCCCAATGGGGCGTAGCAAACACGTCTGCAAACACCACACCACCTCAAGGTACTGGCAGGTGGGCCCGAGAAGCAGAACGTCTTCCCGCGTCGGCGCTGCCGTCCCTCCCTCGCGACGCCTCTTCCGCTCTCTTCTCCGACGGCTTCTGCCAGGGCGGGAGGAGGCGGGTGGGCCCGAGAAACACCAGCGCCTCCGTACCAAGGCAACCCGCACCCCACGCCCCCGGAGGCACATCTCCAAGCCCCTCCCCGCCCCCCCCACAGGCCCCCCCACTTCCACCAAACTCTCCAAGCTTCACTTGGACTCACCACGGCGACGCACGGCGCAGTCCCAGCCGCTGCGGGGAGCCGGGCCCTCTGGGCAAAGGCAGCTGGGCATGCGAAGCAGCGGCCAAAGAGCCTGCCGCCCTGCTTACAGGGGGCTCCGGCTGCTGCCTGGACCACAAAGCGCCTGGGACACCAGGGCACTGGCCCCGACTTACAGGGGGGCCCTGGGCCCAAAGGCCTGCGGAGGCTCCTTCTCTCCGCTTCGGGGGGCACCTGACCCGCTCCCCGCTAACGGGGCGGTCGCCCCGCACAGGCTGCCAGCTGAGGGAGCGCAAAGGCTCCCAGACCCGGACCCTGCTTACAGGCGGGTCCACACCCAGGGAGCCACGGAGCTCGGCCTTCCCCCGCAGCATCAAGTACCTGGCTCAAGGGCCAGGCACTGGGGCTCGTGGCCTAAGGCCCTGAGCTGGGCCCCGAGGGCAGGGAGGGCACACGCCCAGCCCCACGCCTGTGAGAGGCCGGGGGACCCCGCGGGACACCCGCCTGATTACAGGGGGTCCCTCCAACCGCCCGCCGAGCAGGGGGGACGCACAAAGCCCCACTTAGGGGGCCGCCCCCCCGAGGCCCGGCACTCCCAACAACGGCCTCGCGGCCTAAGGCCGCCGGGGACAGGGCCCCCAGCCCCGAGGACGGGGGGAGGCCCACGCTGGCACGTCGCCAGCAGGACGGGCAGCCCCGCGGCGCGGGTGGCGGTGCCCGCGCCGCCACTAACGGGCTTCGCTCCGTCCTCGGGAACAAGGGGCAAGCCCCTCAGCACGCTGAGGCCCTTCTGGCCCGTGCGCAGCCCGGGGGCGAGCCTGAGGCTCTCCTCTCCTGCTCGGCGGCGGGGCTGGCTCCCCACGGGTTGGCGCACAGAGCCCCTCTTTCCCTCCTGGGAAGTCCAAGCTACGCTGCCTACATCTCTACGGGGGCTACAGGAGGGACCAGCTCGCTCGCTCACTCACACCGACAAGACAAGCACACAAAGGGGGAACGTCCCAGAAGAGGGAGCAAGCTCTGTGCGCCGAGCCGTGGGGAGCCGGCCCTGCCGCCGAGCAGGACGGGAGAGCCTCGGGCTTGCCCCCGGGCTGCGCACGGGCCAGAAGGGCCTCAGCGCGCTGAGGGGCAAGGGACACGGGCTGTGACGCACCCCGACTACGGGGGGTCACTCTGGCTAGGGGCCGCCAGCAGGCACCAAAGGCGCCAAGGGAAAAAGCCCTGCCCTGCTTACAGGGCGGGCGGGCTGGGGGTCCGGGAGAGCTCCGTTTCCCCCCTCGGGCGCGGAGGCGGGCACTCTCGCCCTCCTTACAGGGCGGTTGCCCCTCTCTCCGGGCAGCCACAGGAGCGCGATGGCAAAAGGCCAACGCCAAGCAAAGCAAAGGACCTGGCCCTGCTTACAGGGAGGTCGCCCAGCGCCAAGCCGGCCGGCGCAGCCGGAAGCTGCCCGCCGGACTCTTAGGGATCCCTGCCCCGGGTCATGCCAGGGAGGGGCCTTTGCCCAGAGGGCCCTTCTCCCGCCCCCTCTTGAGCGCGAAGCCGACGCTCTTCTTCCTGGCTCTTGCCTCGCCGTCCCGCTCCACGGCTCCGCTTTCTTCTCGGAGGGCTCCTGCCAAGGCAGGAGGACGCAGCTCGGACTCAGAAGCTCCGAGTCCTTGCAGGACCCGAAGGAAAGCAGGACCCAGAGGCAGCTGCCCCGGCCACCACCCGCCCGCCCACTCGCAGGACCCCCACACCTCCACACCACCCCCCAACTTCAGCTGCTCTCACCGCGGCGTCTTCCCGCGTCGGCGCTGCCGTCCCTCCCTCGCGACGCCTCTTCCGCTCTCTTCTCCGACGGCTTCTGCCAGGGCGGGAGGAGGCGGGTGGGCCCGAGAAACACCAGCTCCTCCGTACCAAGGCAACCCGCACCCCACGCCCCCGGAGGCACATCTCCAAGCCCCTCCCCGCCCCCCCACAGGCCCCCCCACTTCCACCAAACTCTCCAAGCTTCACTTGGACTCACCACGGCGACGCACGGCGCAGTCCCAGCCGCTGCGGGGAGCCGGGCCCTCTGGGCAAAGGCAGCTGGGCATGCGAAGCAGCGGCCAAAGAGCCTGCCGCCCTGCTTACAGGGGGCTCCGGCTGCTGCCTGGACCACAAAGCGCCGGGACACCAGGGCACTGGCCCCGACTTACAGGGGGGCCCTGGGCCCAAAGGCCTGCGGAGGCTCCTTCTCTCCGCTTCGGGGGGCACCTGACCCGCTCCCCGCTAACGGGGCGGTCGCCCCGCACAGGCTGCCAGCTGAGGGAGCGCAAAGGCTCCCAGACCCGGACCCTGCTTACAGGCGGGTCCACACCCAGGGAGCCACGGAGCTCGGCCTTCCCCCGCAGCATCAAGTACCTGGCTCAAGGGCCAGGCACTGGGGCTCGTGGCCTAAGGCCCTGAGCTGGGCCCCGAGGGCAGGGAGGGCACACGCCCAGCCCCACGCCTGTGAGAGGCCGGGGGACCCCGCGGGACACCCGCCTGATTACAGGGGGTCCCTCCAACCGCCCGCCGAGCAGGGGGGACGCACAAAGCCCCACTTAGGGGGCCGCCCCCCCGAGGCCCGGCACTCCCAACAACGGCCTCGCGGCCTAAGGCCGCCGGGGACAGGGCCCCCAGCCCCGAGGGCGGGGGGAGGCCCACGCTGGCACGTCGCCAGCAGGACGGGCAGCCCCGCGGCGCGGGTGGCGGTGCCCGCGCCGCCACTAACGGGCTTCGCTCCGTCCTGGGGGACAAGGGGCAAGCCCCTCAGCACGCTGAGGCCCTTCTGGCCCGTGCGCAGCGCGGGGGCGAGCCTGAGGCTCTCCTCTCCTGCTCGGCGGCGGGGCTGGCTCCCCACGGGTTGGCGCACAGAGCCCCTCTTTCCCTCCTGGGAAGTCTAAGCTACGCTGCCTACATCTCTACGGGGGCTACAGGAGGGACCAGCTCGCTCGCTCACTCACACCGACAAGACAAGCACACAAAGGGGGAACGTCCCAGAAGAGGGAGCAAGCTCTGTGCGCCGAGCCGTGGGGAGCCGGCCCTGCCGCCGAGCAGGACAGGAGAGCCTCGGGCTCGCCCCCGGGCTGCGCGCGGGCCAGAAGGGCCTCAGCGCGCTGAGGGGCAAGGGACACGGGCTGTGACGCACCCCGACTACGGGGGGGTCACTCTGGCTAGGGGCCGCCAGCAGGCACCAAAGGTGCCAAGGGAAAAAGCCCTGCCCTGCTTACAGGGCGGGCGGGCTGGGGGTCCGGGAGAGCTCCGTTTCCCCCCTCGGGCGCGGAGGCGGGCACTCTCGCCCTCCTTACAGGGCGGTTGCCCCTCTCTCCGGGCAGCCACAGGAGCGCGATGGCAAAAGGCCAACGCCAAGCAAAGCAAAGGACCTGGCCCTGCTTACAGGGAGGTCGCCCAGCGCCAAGCCGGCCGGCGCAGCCGGAAGCTGCCCGCCGGACTCTTAGGGATCCCTGCCCCGGGTCATGCCAGGGAGGGGCCTTTGCCCAGAGGGCCCTTCTCCCGCCCCCTCTTGAGCGCGAAGCCGACGCTCTTCTTCCTGGCTCTTGCCTCGCCGTCCCGCTCCACGGCTCCGCTTTCTTCTCGGAGGGCTCCTGCCAAGGCAGGAGGACGCAGCTCGGACTCAGAAGCTCCGAGTCCTTGCACCGAAGGAAAGCAGGACCCAGAGGCAGCTGCCCCGGCCACCACCCGCCCGCCCACTCGCAGGACCCCCACACCTCCACACCACCCCCCAACTTCAGCTGCTCTCACCGCGGCGTCTTCCCGCGTCGGCGCTGCCGTCCCTCCCTCGCGACGCCTCTTCCGCTCTCTTCTCCGACGGCTTCTGCCAGGGCGGGAGGAGGCGGGTGGGCCCGAGAAACACCAGCTCCTCCGTACCAAGGCAACCCGCACCCCACGCCCCCGGAGGCACATCTCCAAGCCCCTCCCCGCCCCCCCCACAGGCCCCCCCACTTCCACCAACCTCTCCAAGCTTCACTTGGACTCACCACGGCGACGCACGGCGCAGTCCCAGCCGCTGCGGAGAGCCGGGCCCTCTGGGCAAAGGCAGCTGGGCATGCGAAGCAGCGGCCAAAGAGCCTGCCGCCCTGCTTACAGGGGGCTCCGGCTGCTGCCTGGACCACAAAGCGCCTGGGACACCAGGGCACTGGCCCCGACTTACAGGGGGGCCCTGGGCCCAAAGGCCTGCGGAGGCTCCTTCTCTCCGCTTCGGGGGGCACCTGACCCGCTCCCCGCTAACGGGGCGGTCGCCCCGCACAGGCTGCCAGCTGAGGGAGCGCAAAGGCTCCCAGACCCGGACCCTGCTTACAGGCGGGTGCACACCCAGGGAGCCACGGAGCTCGGCCTTCCCCCGCAGCATCAAGTACCTGGCTCAAGGGCCAGGCACTGGGGCTCGTGGCCTAAGGCCCTGAGCTGGGCCCCGAGGGCAGGGAGGGCACACGCCCAGCCCCACGCCTGTGAGAGGCCGGGGGACCCCGCGGGACACCCGCCTGATTACAGGGGGTCCCTCCAACCGCCCGCCGAGCGGGGGGGACGCACAAAGCCCCACTTAGGGGGCCGCCCCCCCCCGAGGCCCGGCACTCCCAACAACGGCCTCGCGGCCTAAGGCCGCCGGGGACAGGGCCCCCAGCCCCGAGGACGGGGGGAGGCCCACGCTGGCACGTCGCCAGCAGGACGGGCAGCCCCGCGGCGCGGGTGGCGGTGCCCGCGCCGCCACTAACGGGCTTCGCTCCGTCCTCGGGAACAAGGAGCAAGCCCCTCAGCACGCTGAGGCCCTTCTGGCCCGTGCGCAGCCCGGGGGCGAGCCTGAGGCTCTCCTCTCCTGCTCGGCGGCGGGGCTGGCTCCCCACGGGTTGGCGCACAGAGCCCCTCTTTCCCTCCTGGGAAGTCCAAGCTACGCTGCCTAACATCTCTACGGGGGCTACAGGTAGGACCACGCTTCGCTCGATCACTCACACCGAACAAGACAAGCCACACCAAAGGGGACGTTTCCCGAAGAGGGAGCACGCTCTGTGCCGCCGGTAGCGTGGGGAGCCGGCCCTTGCCGCCGAGCCGGACGGGGCGCCTCGGGCTTGCCCCAGCTGCGCACGGCCAGAGGCCTCAGCGCCGTGCGGGGCAAGCGGCCACGGGCTGTGACGCGCCCCGACTTTTTTTTTTTTTTCTTTACGGGGTTCACTCCTGGCTAGGGGCCGCCAAGCAGGCACCAACGGCGCCAATGGAAAGCCCTGGCTGCTACAGGCGGGCGGGATGGGGGTCCGGGAGCGCTCCGTTTCCCCCTCGGGCGCGGAGGGCGGGCACTCTCGCCCTCCTTACAGGGCGGTTGCCCCTCTCTCCGGGCAGCCACAGCAGCGCGATGGCAAAAGGCCAACGCCAAGCAAAGCAAAGGACCTGGCCCTGCTTACAGGGAGGTCGCCCAGCGCCAAGCCGGCCGGCGCAGCCGGAAGCTGCCCGCCGGACTCTTAGGGATCCCTGCCCCGGGTCATGCTAGGGAGGGGCCTTTGCCCAGAGGGCCCTTCTCCCGCCCCCTCTTGAGCGCGAAGCCGACGCTCTTCTTCCTGGCTCTTGCCTCGCCGTCCCGCTCCACGGCTCCGCTTTCTTCTCGGAGGGCTCCTGCCAAGGCAGGAGGACGCAGCTCGGACTCAGAAGCTCCGAGTCCTTGCACCGAAGGAAAGCAGGACCCAGAGGCAGCTGCCCCGGCCACCACCCGCCCGCCCACTCGCAGGACCCCCACACCTCCACACCACCCCCCAACTTCAGCTGCTCTCACCGCGGCGTCTTCCCGCGTCGGCGCTGCCGTCCCTCCCTCGCGACGCCTCTTCCGCTCTCTTCTCCGACGGCTTCTGCCAGGGCGGGAGGAGGCGGGTGGGCCCGAGAAACACCAGCTCCTCCGTACCAAGGCAACCCGCACCCCACGCCCCCGGAGGCACATCTCCAAGCCCCTCCCCGCCCCCCCACAGGCCCCCCCACTTCCACCAAACTCTCCAAGCTTCACTTGGACTCACCACGGCGACGCACGGCGCAGTCCCAGCCGCTGCGGGGAGCCGGGCCCTCTGGGCAAAGGCAGCTGGGCCTGCGAAGCAGCGGCCAAAGAGCCTGCCGCCCTGCTTACAGGGGGCTCCGGCTGCTGCCTGGAGCACAAAGCGCCCGGGACACCAGGGCACTGGCCCCGACTTACAGGGGGGCCCTGGGCCCAAAGGCCTGCGGAGGCTCCTTCTCTCCGCTTCGGGGGGCACCTGACCCGCTCCCCGCTAACGGGGCGGTCGCCCCGCACAGGCTGCCAGCTGAGGGAGCGCAAAGGCTCCCAGACCCGGACCCTGCTTACAGGCGGGTGCACACCCAGGGAGCCACGGAGCTCGGCCTTCCCCCGCAGCATCAAGTACCTGGCTCAAGGGCCAGGCACTGGGGCTCGTGGCCTAAGGCCCTGAGCTGGGCCCCGAGGGCAGGGAGGGCACACGCCCAGCCCCACGCCTGTGAGAGGCCGGGGGACCCCGCGGGACACCCGCCTGATTACAGGGGGTCCCTCCAACCGCCCGCCGAGCGGGGGGGACGCACAAAGCCCCACTTAGGGGGCCGCCCCCCCCCGAGGCCCGGCACTCCCAACAACGGCCTCGCGGCCTAAGGCCGCCGGGGACAGGGCCCCCAGCCCCGAGGACGGGGGGAGGCCCACGCTGGCACGTCGCCAGCAGGACGGGCAGCCCCGCGGCGCGGGTGGCGGTGCCCGCGCCGCC